TTTTCAACGGTCTGCGCGTGACTGTGAACCAAGAAGTGCTTGATTCGTGTTCAAGCACTTCTTGATAGGGACATATTTTGAGCGTTCGTGGTGTATCTAGGGTATTTAATATCATTGGCCCTAGAACATGATAGGGCCAAGTTCACGATACATCGAATGCTAGTCTTAAGAGTAAGCCCTCAGTACATAAAGTATCAAAGTATAGAATGGAACATGTGAACGAAATGAAGAGCCGCGTAGGGCGGTCACAAAGTCATAAGCTCGTGGCGACAATCGGACAGTATAAAATTATTATTAACTATAACAATATTGAGGATCTATAGTTGGTATGGGAGCGCGCATCTCATACAATTTTATGAAATAACATTTGTGCTCAAGTGCTTCACATTTGTGAAACATCGACTTCTGATATGATAAAAATGTACATTTGACATATTCTCAATATAAACAAAAAAGTGGCTGGTGGGTGATCAAAAATCACCACTTTTGTATAAATAACATATTTTTTTACGATAAAGTATCGTAAGTTATTTCAAACTCGACGAGTCTTCCGTTTGACAGTCTGTACGAGTCACGTACAGTCATCTTGTACATAGGCAGAGCAAACATAATCTACTTTATCTTATAGCTGTGAATCTAAGAAATGCATCATAATACGTCACTGTATTAGGTATATAAAAACATATATTTAAATCTAAAGAAAATATAACTAGAAAAAATTCCACGCGGACCGGGCAGACGGGACTCGAACCAGCACCCTTCGCAAAATTATGCTACCGCGGCCCTCACGGCCCGCGTCGAAATTCCTCTAGCCATTCTTAAGCTGCAAGGCAGCGCCATCTCTTCACATTGTAGGTAACCCACAATTTTCTATAGATTTAAACATCAAGCAGTTACATGCTTTAAAAAAAATTATAACATATATTTACTTAAGAAATCAATGCTCGTCATGCATTCAACAATATCAGTTGTTTTCTTACTTCATCCTTATATCATTATTTAAGATATTATTTCAGAAAGATCTCGTCGGCTTCACTGGATACAATCGCGCTGAAGTCCGACCGTCATCAATATTTTGATATATCGACATTATCAAAAACGACTTAAGTATTTCTCGAAGCATACACTGAGCGTAGATCGCGCGTCCTCATACAACTTTAGTCCCGTACATTACAAGTGTTAATTCTACCATAGTCCGGTCGGTACACAAGCCCTGGGGCAACGTTACCCCAACTATACGACAATATTACTCTTAACTCCGGCCCCACACGTTGGTACCAATATTGGCTTGACCCCACATGTTGGTACCAATAATGACCAACCCCATTAGAGCACCGCATTCAAGGGCACCCGCTTGTAACAACAAAGCTTGTACAAATTTTACTAGTAAAAAGTCCATTCGGCCCTGTACTCCATGGACGAAGAACTACCGAGAAAGTATTCGAATCGCCTTCGTCAAAGTGTCTATGAACGGTCAGTTTGGTCTTACGTCCGCTAGGGGCGCTTCTTAGATTCCATGGAAACCTTGCCGATGGCAATGCGAATACTTTCTCGCTAGTTGTTCGTGCTCTGGGTACACATCTCAGACAAGCCACACCCCCAAACGTAGCCATACAAGTTTGGAACCTAATTTCTCATTCGACCGTGACGTCACACTAATGTAGCCAATCAAAACGCGGTTTACCCTCCCACCAAGCCACCAACTTAAACGAATTCTATTTCAAACAGAAATCAAGTATTAAAGGACAAGTGTTTATATTATGTGGCGAAAATTTGAACTAACGCCGCCGTCTTTGCAAACGTCATATTTTGCAAGTCATTAACGACGACAGTGGCGCCCTCCGTGAACTGTCACTCGCTCACATTGGCACTTTAATGCAGACTCTAGTGAGGTGCTCAATCATGAAATTAGTATTGGGCGAATTCTATTTTAAACAGAAATCAAGTATTGAACTACAAGTGCCTTTATTATGTGGCGAAAATTTGAAGTAACGCCCCCGTCTTTGCAAAAGTCATATTTTGCAAGTCATTAACGAAGACAGTGGCGCCCTCCGTGAACTGTCACTCGCTCACATTCGCAGTTTAATGCAGACTCTAGTGGGGTGCCCAATCATGGAATTAGTATTGGGCCCAACGTTGGCGATTGGCCGTCACGTGTGGGTTGTCACGGAACCATTGCAAACATTGGCGCCAACGTGTGTGGGCGATGTGTCTAACACGATACATACTCGCTAACTGTGCCGCACCACTGGCGGCCACGCCGGAACAAGCCAAACTAGCAACCTCGCCCACAATTTGCTTAATTCCACTCTTAAGGGCCCCATACACGGAACGATTCGTCGTTGCGATCGATCTGAAGGAAATCGTCAACGATCGAGCGTTCAGAAATGCCACTACATACACGAAACGATTGATCGTTTACGATATTCATGGTTACATGGGATTTGGTTGCGATTTGCGATATCGTCTTCGATTAAGTAAATCGTTAACGAACTTGACATACACTGTCGATCCATCGTTTCGATCGGTCTGAAACTACGGATCGCACAGATCAATCGTACCGTATATGGGACACTGACGATCGATCGTTTACGATATTCATGATTGCATGGGTTTTTGTTGCGATCTCCGATATCGTCTGCGTTTAAGTAAATCGTAAACGATTTTGACATACACTGTCGATCCATCGTTTCGATCGGTCTGAAACGACGGATCGTACAGATCAATCGTTCCGTATACAAATGTGTCGATCAAACTTCTGTGTACCTGTTATAATGGTTAATCGATGAAGTTCGCGCCGACTTTGATATCATTTTTAGTTTATGACTAATATTAGTACAAATGGACTTTAACAAATATGTATAAAGTAATGATAGCTAGTGTCATCTGCTTGGGGTCCGCATAAGCAGTATTTGCGGGCTATTTAAAACTTTACGGCTCTAGAGATAGGTCATTTCGCCAAGTTAATCTATGGTTAAACTTCTTCATACAAAAGAAGGCTCTAACAATCACAAAAAACGGCTTATAGTCCCGTGGGTAGCGCGCCCCGATCGGGGCATGTGGTCTTATTTAAGGAATCCAAAAAACCGACGCAAGTCATTCTGTCTCTGTCGCACGTTACATAGAATAGCATGTGCGAGGGGGGCAGAATGTCTTACGTCGTCATTTACGATTACTTTCTTCAATGACGCGAGTAATACAGTAACTTATTACCGATATAATCTAATCATGCACTCGCAAATGTCACTGTCATTCGTATTGAAACATACACATCGTTCGGTTTCGTCAATGTCAGTACACACGTCATTGCGGGAACACGTGATAACATTTGAGGAGATGGCGAACAAAACGGCATAATTACGCATAAAATCTAAAATAATTACGCATCTGGTAAAATTACTTTCATTTTACAGTTTGGAGATTTTGGGCCCGCTGAATTTGAATATCTCTCTCATTTTCCAGATAAGCCAAAACCGCCTATAACAGTGTTAAAATTACTAAAGGAAAATGCAAGAATGGGCCAAAAAAAATTATGTTGAGTCGTATAACTTTTTTTTGCTGGGGCCAATTTTGTCGACGCCATAACAAAAGTTAAAGGTGTTTATTAGATCTACATCGTAGTGTATGTCCCAAATCTGCACAACATATTTTTTTTGGGCCGAAAGACAAAGGCAAGATTTGCATTGCCCTTTATAAATAAAAAACTACGCCAAAAGCTCACTGTATGTATACCTTAACAGTTTTTTACAGATCCAGTGTAATTTTACTTTATGTAATAATACCGTTTTGTTCGCCAGCTCCTCATTTTTATTGTCTGGGCATATCACGGGCCTTTTGGTCCTTCGAGTAATGTCTTTACACAAGTGACATGTGGTGACAGGTTGCAAGATATGGTTTGTTCCGTAAGGCGACGCCAGTGGGCGTTTGTGCGACTACAGGAACACTCCGCCCTAACGACTGCGTCTGTATGCTGCCCACTGCCCTATTGCTACGCTCATATTACTGGCAAAGCGTATTCTTACAATATCGACTATACGAAAAAAGATATATTGGTCTGGCGAAAAAGATAAAACGCAATTTAGAGCAATCGTCAAGTTACACATAGTTAAAAATAATTTCGACTTTTTTTACATCCTGATATAGCATCTTACTCATAGATGCCATAAATATATGAATACGTACGTTACAAGGCAGTCGCAGATATACACCGCTCTCAGGTTCCATCAGTCATTCGATTCATTGAAGCATTATTAAAAAAGAAAGATTAATTTTGCATAAAATTTCCTCCTCTTTGTAAAGTAGGTGGAATTGTTAAGAAATGGGGCTGTAACCTATTAAAATCAATTAAATACGATTGCCAGTAAACTACAAAAAAGTGTGCATTATGCATCTTCGTTAAATAAACTTTGAATTACATTAGGTTTTCAACAGGGTAGGGGGCAGCGTTTACACGAGAACGCGCAGCCTGGACGCCCGAATAAAGCCCCTTCACATCTAAACAACGCTCAGAACTAATAGCTCACGACACGCTCCGTCCCTTTGGAGTCAATCACCTTATAAATAATGGCAGTCAGTAGTGTATCAAAACGTCCATCGACCGACGCGATCGACGCAACGTAGAAAACTGTTCTAGGTCGAAACTTAAAATTAGGGAGTGATGTTTCAATGTGGAACGTTACAAGAGCTGTCACCGTGATGGGGCTACACCGGAAACGAAACCGATTCCACCTCGTTCTTTACCGCCGCTTTTCACACTCCGGGCACGCGATGAACGATCGCTTTTAACAATCCGGACCGATGAAACGACACGAGAGAATTTCGTTTCGCATCCGGCGCAACCTACAATTTATGAAATTTTACGCGGTTCACCGCTCACAATTTACCATACTCGGAGACGCTCAACGGAGCCGGGAAACTCGGAGAGAAGGTCGGATTTCCGATCGAAGCATCTCGCGTATCGACGATCGAGTGTGGCCAGCGATCGGCAGCAGTTATTATCACTATAAGGGGTTGTCGCGCGAGGTGGAAGGCACGGGCGCGGAAGGCACCGCCCTGTATGAGGCCCGCGGGCCCGCCCCGCGCGCGCTGCGCCGCGACCCCGCCCGCCCCGACCCGGCCCCGCCCCCTCCCCGCCCACAAACGCAGAGGCCGCGGCTGGCCACGCCCACTATAGCGCCCGAAGCGCACGCCCCGCCTAGACCCAGCCCCTGGAAACGAAGCCGAACACACATCAATGCCCCCATGCCTCTTCTTCTTATATAACATACATTACTAGCTGACCTGGCGAACTTCTTACCGCCATAAAAATAGGGGCAGGTGGTAGAAGAGAAAATTTAGGGTTGTATGTATTTTTTAATAACACATTATAAAAAAATAAATATTGTCATTGTAGGTTTCAGAACACTACGTAACAGATGGCCAACCATTATCATTTAAGGATATGAAAAATAAATAGTAGCCTATTTGCAGACCCACGGAATATGCATATAAAATTTCATAAAAATCGGTCAGGCCATTTCGGAGGAGTATGGTAACTAACATTGTGACACAAGAATTTTATATAAAGATGAAGATAAATCGCCGAAAACATAAATGAGATGGCAACCTTGTAGATTATAAAACGGAAGTTTTAATTTGAGATAAAATCCTGGTGCCCCGCATACTACTCACCGAGGCGGAGTACAGCAAGCGCGCGAGGTGCGCGGGCGCCCAGCGGTACTCGGGCGCGCACAGCAGCGCGTGCAGCGTCAGGGGGGGGGGGGAGGGGGGGGGGGGGGGTCCAGGTGCCCCGCATACTACTCACCGAGGCGGAGTACAGCAGGCGCGCGAGGTGCGCGGGCGCCCAGCGGTACTCGGGCGCGCACAGCAGCGCGTGCAGCGTCAGGGGGGGGGGGAGGGGGGGGGGGGGGGTCCAGGTGCCCCGCATACTACTCACCGAGGCGGAGTACAGCAGGCGCGCGAGGTGCGCGGGCGCCCAGCGGTACTCGGGCGCGCACAGCAGCGCGTGCAGCGTCAGGGGGGGGGGGAGGGGGGGGGGGGGGGTCCAGGTGCCCCGCATACTACTCACCGAGGCGGAGTACAGCAGGCGCGCGAGGTGCGCGGGCGCCCAGCGGTACTCGGGCGCGCACAGCAGCGCGTGCAGCGTCAGGGGGGGGGGGAGGGGGGGGGGGGGGGTCCAGGTGCCCCGCATACTACTCACCGAGGCGGAGTACAGCAGGCGCGCGAGGTGCGCGGGCGCCCAGCGGTACTCGGGCGCGCACAGCAGCGCGTGCAGCGTCAGGGGGGGGGGGAGGGGGGGGGGGGGGGGTCCAGGTGCCCCGCATACTACTCACCGAGGCGGAGTACAGCAGGCGCGCGAGGTGCGCGGGCGCCCAGCGGTACTCGGGCGCGCACAGCAGCGCGTGCAGCGTCAGGGGGGGGGGGGGGGGAGGGGGGGGGGAGGGGGGGGGGGGGTCCAGGTGCCCCGCATACTACTCACCGAGGCGGAGTACAGCAGGCGCGCGAGGTGCGCGGGCGCCCAGCGGTACTCGGGCGCGCACAGCAGCGCGTGCAGCGTCAGGGGGGGGGGGGGGAGGGGGGGGGGGGGGTCCAGGTGCCCCGCATACTACTCACCGAGGCGGAGTACAGCAGGCGCGCGAGGTGCGCGGGCGCCCAGCGGTACTCGGGCGCGCACAGCAGCGCGTGCAGCGTCAGGGGGGGGGGGGAGGGGGGGGGGGGGGGGGGTCCAGGTGCCCCGCATACTACTCACCGAGGCGGAGTACAGCAGGCGCGCGAGGTGCGCGGGCGCCCAGCGGTACTCGGGCGCGCACAGCAGCGCGTGCAGCGTCAGGGGGGGGGGGGGAGGGGGGGGGGGGTCCAGGTGCCCCGCATACTACTCACCGAGGCGGAGTACAGCAGGCGCGCGAGGTGCGCGGGCGCCCAGCGGTACTCGGGCGCGCACAGCAGCGCGTGCAGCGTCAGGGGGGGGGGGGGGGGGGGGGGGGGGGGGGGGGGGTCCAGGTGCCCCGCATACTACTCACCGAGGCGGAGTACAGCAGGCGCGCGAGGTGCGCGGGCGCCCAGCGGTACTCGGGCGCGCACAGCAGCGCGTGCAGCGTCAGGGCCCCGCCGCACGTGAGCGACACCCCGCTCCATACCGACGTCCATGTGCCCTGTTAACAGACAACTCGATGTCACTTTAGGTACAATATGGCTCCCGATTTTTGAAGTGAAACTTCTCTATCGGCGTTGGAAAAAAATTTACCGTCACATTTTTCGGTTACGCGTCACATTTTTCCGTTACGCGCCATCTTTTTTTATATTAATAGTTGATAGCTGAATGAAGTTGATAGCTGAATAACCCAGCGATTCTCGCTCAGCGATACTCGCTCAGCGATACTAGCTCAGCGATACTCGCTCAGCTATACTCGCTCGGTTAAGCTGGCTTGGCTGTCAAAAGCCGTGCGCGTGCTTTTTAACTCAGGACTGCCAATTCGTTTCTAGTTTCTACTCGCTTATCGTTCATCGTCGGAGGTGGAACATGTGCCTTAGATTACTGAGCCGTGTAATCATAACAGTTTCATAGGCAGTAATTTGTATTCATGTCTATGATAATAAAATCCTTTTGTTTAAACTTTATCTAATTTAACTTTATTTAACCAATTTCTGGAAAGTTGCATATAGATCATTTTTCGAAAAATAAGGCCATAAAGAACTTTCACTTCTTACGTGTGTACACTAGTACACGCACACATTTTTTGTCTCCCCAAATGGTGTTAGCGAGGTCCTGAAGTGTCGCTTTCAAAGTTTGTCAAAACGCGCGTGAAATAAAAAGAAGAATGGGTAAAACACACCCAGCTCCGCCAACAATGTTATTGGTATGAATCGATAGATCTATGAAAAACTAGCCTTTTTTATATTATGACACCGAAAAAAAATTTCCTGGTATTCAAAAGATATGACACCGTAAAAAATATCACGGTAATCAAAAGATATGACACATGGGCACATTTAAGTAGCTGAATAAGTTCAATTTATACTACCTTCATTTTATATTATTAGTAACCATAATAATATGCCATAGCGTAATATACGACAAAGCTTGCCAGCAATCCTGCGCTTGCACTTACTGAGACACCTCAAAACGGTTTACGGGGGTTGAAGGACTTGCAGTTGCAAATAGTCGAATCGTCTTACTCCGTTGTGATTGTGCGCTCCCTGCCTTGATCGATTTTTATCTAACACATATTTAACTCATTTTGCCATAATTAATCTAAATAACTCCCAAATATTTAAAACATTTTTAATTAGAAAAAACGCACATAGTCAACCCACAAGCAATAATATTTGACATGTCGGAGACCTCAAACTATACAAGCGCCTATAGCGACGGATTCATTGGCGATAGCCCTCATTCCGAGACGGGCAGCAGTCTACAACCGGTTGCTTTTCCAAGCAAGGCGACATGCCGCGACTGCACAATGCATAGAACTTTTTTGAGTGTGTATGCTATACTGTTGGTCGCAGAAAACCTTTACACGTCACCGGATTTGAGGACGGCGAGATTCTAAGGGGACCATAAGCCGAGAATTAGCGAGTGCCTCTAGAGATATTCTAATCGGTCTCGCAGCACACTCACCAGGCGGTGCCAGTCGAGGGGCATGAGGGCGTGCAGGCCGGTGAGCTGCATGGCCAGCAGCGCGGCGTGCAGCAGGCAGGAGGTGAGCGCGGCCAGCTGCAGCAGCTGCACGCGCGCCGCTAGAGGCAGCAGCTGCAGCACACTCACCAGGCGGTGCCAGTCGAGGGGCATGAGGGCGTGCAGGCCGGTGAGCTGCATGGCCAGCAGCGCGGCGTGCAGCAGGCAGGAGGTGAGCGCGGCCAGCTGCAGCAGCTGCACGCGCGCCGCTAGAGGCAGCAGCTGCAGCACACTCACCAGGCGGTGCCAGTCGAGGGGCATGAGGGCGTGCAGGCCGGTGAGCTGCATGGCCAGCAGCGCGGCGTGCAGCAGGCAGGAGGTGAGCGCGGCCAGCTGCAGCAGCTGCACGCGCGCCGCTAGAGGCAGCAGCTGCAGCACACTCACCAGGCGGTGCCAGTCGAGGGGCATGAGGGCGTGCAGGCCGGTGAGCTGCATGGCCAGCAGCGCGGCGTGCAGCAGGCAGGAGGTGAGCGCGGCCAGCTGCAGCAGCTGCACGCGCGCCGCTAGAGGCAGCAGCTGCAGCCGCAGCCCCACGGCGGCCCACACGCACATCGCCGCGCCCGCGCAGCACGCCACCACCTGACCCACAACACCGTGCTTTATTGAAATGAAACAAAGACCTGCATGCATCAAAGATTAATGGAGACAAAAGGTAAATTTAAAAAATCAAAAAACCCGACTGCTTAATTATACTTCAAATAAAAACTGAAAAGAAAAAAACAAGTCCAGTAGTCTATAATTCTGTTAATAAGGAACAAAGCTACTTAAACAGTCGGGACCCACTGTTGAAAAATATTATGTATTCTTGAATATCTAATGGGTCCCGACTGTTAAAGTAGCTTTGTTCCTTATTAACAGAATTATAGACTACTGGACTTGTTTTTTTCTTTTCAGTTTTTATTTGAAGTATAATTAAGCAGTCGGGTTTTTTGATTTTTTAAATTTACCTTTTTTATTTCACACTTTTTAGTTAGTTAGTATTTTAAGACGGTATACACCGTAGTCTTGTTACTTCAGTATGGGAATTAATATCGCGGGAATTATTAAGTACCTGGCGTCGGTCTAAAAGATTGGTTTATTAAGACATATAAAGACTTTACCAGCGGGGTCAAGGCTACAGATGGGCCTCAATTTTCGCAAAAATGTGTGAAGTTAAATCAAGTCGTTACATAAATATCTCTTATGTATGTAAATTTTATAGTAAACTAGCACTTACTCAAAAAGTCATCTTTTGTTTATGTTTTTTTTTAATAGTTTAGCAGTAAATATAAAATTCATTTACTTTTATTCGTCGACTATTTAAAATTGGCAGTGGCTGCATTGTCATGTCAATACCGGACGTCTAAGATTGTGATATACACAAATTCAGTGTCAGTCCCTAGTCTCATAATTTGATAAACCTACATAATTCACAGAAACCCAATATGTAGATACCAGAAGTTAACTTCAAATGTTTTTAATCACCCTATATACAATACCAATCAATGACGTTTATGTCGCAGGTTGAAGAAAGCAGTAATTCCCGTCTGTTGTTTTGGACAATGGTGGCAATTGCCTTAGATCACTAAATTAAAAATTATGCAATCACCAAAGCAAATTTTATAATATTTGATTAAACTTAAGGCGCATAATAAAATTTTCATAAAGTTAGGTAGAGCACCATAGCAATCTCATTTGTTATCAATTTATAGTTCTCTTTGTATTTTTCTTTTAAAGCGTTCACGTTCAAAGACTTTGTGTTCGACCCTTTTTTATTGGTAGTGTAAAGCTCGAATGAAGAGTACTCCCAAAATTATTAAATTAAAATTAGTAGTGCAATCATGGCAATTATTTTCCAAATTTTTTTTTTGTTTAAAAAATTACCGAATAACGTATCACTGTTAAGCACAAATGCTAAGTAACTTTTATAAATATAATCAAATAAACCTATTACTTACTTTATTTTTAAATCTTTTTCATCAATTAAATACTTATCTTATCCTAACTATCTATACTAATATTATAAAGAAGCAAGATTTGTATGTTTGTAACAAATAATCTGTCAAACTACTGAACCGGTTTCAAATATTAAATCATCATAGGGTAGCTACGTTATTTATTATAACATTTTTCTTTATTTAAATACATTTTGTCCGAGTGACATAGGCTATATTTTATCCCGATAAATAAATTTTGCCCGTACAATGCCCGGGTGGATCACTATAAGTTTATTATAATATTATAGATGCGAAAGTGAGTTTGTTTGTTGCGCTTCCTTGCCCTAATAGCTAAATCGAATATAATGAATTCCCATATAGAAGTAGATGGGAACTTGGTTCTTAGCTACAACATCGCAATACTTATAGGCGTAGGGTGATGAAAGGGGTGATTTACCTATAAAAATCTACATTATTTACTTTGAATTTTGCAGAATTATTACAAAACCAATATTATCGCGAGCTGATTAATAAATACAGGGATTCCAATAAGTATGTACTTACTAGCGAAAAATGGGTTATTTGTCATTATATTAAGTAAACCTTTTTTGTAAGTAATATCGTTAAAAAAATGAAAAACAGTAAAATTCTGAGTTTTTCATTAAAATTCAATAATCAGAAATACCTATTATGATAATATATTTTTCATCATTTGATAAGAAGGAACTGTATCACAGTTTTATTGTTAGTGCTTCGTATAGGATCAGATACTGCGAATAGCCCATTTTTTTTTCTTTTACATAGTACATCGCGCTATCACTTTGTCATCGTTGTAACTTTTTAAATATTTGTCGAAATGACATAGTCTTAAAGCAAAGTTTATCGTCTTTAAATATGAAAAGCGATAAAAGTATTTGTTTTGATAAAAAATGATTTGTTAATACAAAATGTGCATTTTGGAAATAGATATCAAATAATATTTTAGTTTTGATTTACTATTTTAGCGGTAATGACTTACACATTAAAAATAGATATATGGTGTCACGGACTTTTTTTTAGAACTATTTAAGAGATACATTTTCACTCTACATTACATTCATGTAACTTTTATTGTTTTTGCAGTGCAGGCCAAAATGGCTCGCAGATGGGAGATTTTTTTCCGTCTTATGTGACACTTATTGTTATATATTGGCCAATTCACTCAATAACTACATAAATTATTATATATATGTAACTATCATATATGAACTATATTACTGTTAAGTTTCATTAAAATCCATTCAGTATTTTTTAGGTGAAAGAGTAACAAAGATCCATACAAACTTATGATTGAAATTGAAAGCGTAAGTGGTTAATATACAACTTTAAAGCGTTGTAGATCCTAAACAATCATATTGAATGAAAAATGGTGTTAGGAACCTAAATATGATTTTTGATTATCTAGACAGTGATACCCCACTCGACATATTTTGTCAACTTATTTTTTTTACTTCGTCACAATATGGCGCCCAATTTTGCCTATATTGAATTTTGATTACTATCATATCTTTAGTAGCACTCCCATAATTGAGACGAATCGATTGATGTATGAATCATCAAAATCGGTCCAGGCGTTTGGTCTCTAGTGTGCCACAAAGGAACAAACATACATATATAGACTGTTAAACACATAACCCTGTCTGCGCGTCGCGCTTCGCGCTCTTGCATTGCGCAGCCGGGTAAAAAGATAATCAGCCTCCCCTAGCGTAACTAGCAATACGTTAATGACGACCTCCGGGTCCGGGTGGTTTGCACCCCCGATATTGTAGTGTCGCCTACTCGAGAGGTCCCGGATTCGAATCTCGGTGGGGGCAAATTTTTGTGTGATAAATACGAGCATTTGTACTCCAATCATAGATGAAATGTATTTCTATATAAATTTACATATGTACAGTATATATTCTATCCGTTACCCTAGTATCCCATAACACAAGCCATACAGTGCTCACTTTGGGGCTAGGCAAATTGGCGTGTTTAAAAAAAGAAAAAAAAAAATGGTTGCCTGTAAAGTCGGTTTTACGGGCGAAGATTTTACGTGACAACGTCTTTTTCTCGGTAGAATATTTATTGATATGAATATAATTAAATTGCACAATAGGAACAAGGAATTGAATGAAAATAAGAATTGCACAAATTTTAACTATAGAAATATATTTTGTTTACTAAAACATTGTACATGTAAACTTAAACTTAACACGAGAGACTCATCGTAACGTTACCGAGCGTTACACTTTTTCATAAGTGACTCCCAGCCGCAACCTAATTTAAGACGTTGTCACGTCAATAAAACATTTATAGACATCTGTGAATGTTGAATTTGTATTGGAGCAGCAAATACGTTAAAGCACACTGACGATACATGTTTACAAATTATTTCAACACTACAAGTTGTCAGTTCATTTTAAAACTAACAAGTGTTTTTGGCGGAAAATTTGACAGTCACGATATTGCCAAATATGAAAAAGAAAAAGTAGATGGAGTCTGTGCGGAAAGAGTATGGGCGTGGCAAAAAACGGAACTAACATTAAGATTTTTATATGGCAATCTATCCAGCCATCTGTCTAACGTCGAAGTTATGTATTGATACGGATTTGTTTGTTGTTGTGATTTCTAGCAATTTTTTTTGTATTTAATCATGTCTAAAAGAGGTAAATCCTTGTAAATACGGTAGAAAAGCACTACAGCGCCCTCAAATCTAAATCCCATTTTTTTTCCGCACAGACTCTACCGGGGACCCAGAAAAATGTCCAAAAACCAGAATTATGTAAATATATTTCATTATAGATATTGTTTTACTACATGTTTAAATTTCATTATATTTGGTTTGTTACAAATAATAATTGCATATACATTTTATTGATGTGACACTGTCCTATTTAACATATTATGGGTATCGATGGGTGCCCACGATACAGGTTTCTCCTAGTTGAAGAGATGCAACCATAATCTCCAGAAATTGTACTGGCAAATTTTAATGCTGTAAAAGTGCTAAGCATAGTTCATTTAATTAAGGTAATGTGAGGCTAAGAACTCACAAAGCGCTTTTTTCGGTACCTGCCGCAAAGCTGTTTTGTTTTAAAAAAATCACGAGACCGCAGTTTTCTGTCGAGTGAAGCCCGCGTCTGTGGGTAATCGCGTGCCGAAAACAGCGCGCGCGGCGGTACTGCGCGTGCGAGTCCCACGACCGCTCCGTGCCCTCCGTGCCGCACCTGTGAGGCTGGGGTGGGGGTATGGTTACCGCGAGCGCCGCGGCGCCGCGCAGCGTGCACAGATGGCGCGGGCGGCAGTAGAGCGGCGCGAGCGCGCGCGGGGCGGGCGGCTGCGCGCGGCGGTACTGCGCGTGCGAGTCCCACGACCGCTCCGTGCCCTCCGTGCCGCACGGAGACCGCCCGCCGCCGCCCGCGCCGCAACCGCTGCCCGCTATCTCGAAATCCTGACGAAACACCGCAAAAGCTCAACTTTTATGCTCTTTAAACTGCAAAATGTACGCCGATTGTGATCAGACTGCACATAGGATGTACTATGTGCAATCTGATCGCAATCAGCTGAAAAACGATATTAAAAACCCTAGAAACGACACAAACACTCAAATGTGTCCCAATCAAGAAATACTGGAACACCACTGGAGCACTTCTCATTTTACAGTCACGGGCAATTCTTCGAAAAGTCAAAATGCTGCAGAGCTCCAAAAAAAAAGGCGTATTTGATAAATAGCCGTCTCGTTACCTCGCACTCCATACCTGCTATATTGCTAACAACACATTCAGGAATATGCATATTCAAAGAAATAAAGTCCTTATTCGTCCACCCATAGCAACAAGTCATAAAATTTTACAAGCTTGCATTTCAAACTGTTGTTACTCTTTGAAGCATGCATTTAAATTAAGACCTTATAATATGTATTAAAGGTGAGTTTGAATATTTAAATAATGCCTTATATTGTTTTTGACTACGCAATCATCTTACGGAGCTCCATGGACTGTCCAATATACCTTTTGGTAGGCTATCATTTTGTTCATGTTGTGGTATCTAAGGTATTAAATATTTTCAATGACTCTCAATTTAGAAAGTTTACAATAGTGTTGCTAGAACAAATCATCATTTACCCCCAGAAAAGCCTTATTGCATTAAGAACTTATAATATAGCCATACTTACATACAAGATATACTTTTGATATATCTATTTATAACAAGTGCAGTTGGCGTACTACAATTAAGCCAATTTACCTAATCCTGCTCCCCCAGCATAAGCACTGGGATATGATCTATAGCTCGTTTTTATCACACTCACTTTTTATTGCATTTTATTTTGAGACATGCAATAATTAAAATAAATAAAAAAATAAAAAAATAGGTATGGTAATAAAAAAAAATAACAAAATAGGTATGGTAAGTAGGCACTGCATATTGAGTTGAACATTGATGTAAATTTGAAAATTGCGTCAAAGTCCATAGTACTTTGACAGTTAGATGCAAATAAAAACCGTAATATAATGTAAATTGTGGTGCTCATGCTACGGGTACTGGTTTGAACCTTCGCAATCCACAGACTTTTTTGAAACATCTTGTGTACGGAAATAGCTAGTTTGCTCTTATGTCCAATAGGGGTGTTGCTTAGTTGGTGACAGAAACTTTGACAATGCAAAGTTACGGAGCTTTCAAAAAAATGTGCTTGGACCATATATTATGGAGGTAACAATGCCTAGAACTTTTGTTTTTTTCTATGTGAGCAATGCAAAACAAAACATGCACTTGTTTAACATAAATTAGGCTGTTTTCTCAATTCCTAGATACTGTAATCTATGGACAAAATGAATACTGTAGTAGGTAAATTCTCATTCATTTAATTTATTATAATTATCTGAAATTAGGTAATTATTTATTTCGTATGCAAGATTACAAAATATTGCAAAATAGCCCCACTTCAATTAAACAGAATTTTTACTAACATTAATATTCTCATAATCACTTTATATCACTATTTAGAGTTTTATTTTCAATTTTACACTAGATATCTTCCTCCTCAAAATTCACCAGTCTTAATATATTCATATCACAGTGTTTATGGCACTTGACATGAAAACACTCCCCTTCAAATATTTTAATTGGGTCACACACCTCACTTTACTGTGCACATTTCTAGGGTGGTTTATACATTGTGTTCTACATAATTATGAGTAAAGCTAACCAATTCCCAATATAAAGAAATAAAGATGTATATTTCTAATTCAGAATGTCCACATTCTGTATTTTTTTAGCAATCAAAACAGCATTGAGAAAGTTATCCTAAATTATATGAGGTGTAAACATTACAAATTTTCATGTCCTTTTCATTCATGGTTGGTAACATTATCATAACATCAGCAATTCATGTTTTATTGCATCTACTGAAACTTGGTAATTTCCACCAAAGGAGGTTACAAAGGCCATTAGATAAATAGACACATTAGCATAATGATGGTTTTGAATAAATAGGCATTCAGTACATTTACGGGTGGTTGTATCTGGAATAATCTAGGATTCATGTACCTGCACGTCTTCGCCGCGGCAGCTCGTGGGCTCCAGCTCGCGAATCTCGTCCAACAGCAGCTCCACTTCGTCAGTCGAGTACAGCTCGCTCACAGACACGTAGCGCGCCGGCGCCGCTTGCATATCACCCAAACACTCGTCTACCGCCGAGCGCCTTCGCCCCGGCACCTCCTACCATCACAAACTTCATCACTATACAAAAACTATTCCACACGTTCCGCATTAACTACCTTCGCTATGTAAGGCACGTTACCTTTTCCGAACGTTGACATTGATATTTCGCCCTCCTGAAAGAGACCACATAATCCAAAGGCTATGTTTTTGACTGTAAAAATGTTGACCCAATAAACAAAACCATTTCCACGACGCTTTTCATTCAGTGCACGCCATGTTTGTTATTATTATTTTTTCTATTACTGGCTGTCATGCAACGGCAATAAAATCTATACAGCCAAAACCACTATATTTTGTGAAAACTTTGGACCCGATTCTCATAGCTTTATTTGACAGAAAACTGTTGTTGATTTAAATAATTTTAAGAACCATTCCAAAATCGGGTGCCAGTAAGTAATTTCTGGATCTATTTGGCTCTATAAAATGTTAGGTATATAATGATGTCGATTCTGACATGATTCTCTAAAGCTAAACTTAAATTTGACAACAGTGGTGTCGATTCTGGCGTGATTCTCTAAACTTAAAACTAAATTTAACATCAGTCTCTCTTTTTCATTCTGTATAGAGAATGACAAGGAAACTCTGTTGTCAAGTTTAAGTTTAGATTTAGAGAATCGTGCCAGAATCGACACCAGTGTTTCCTTGTCATTATCTATACAGAATGAGAAGGAGAGACTGATGTTAAATTTAGTTTTAAGTTTAGAGAATCACGCTAGTATCGACACCACTTTCTTAGACTACGTGCCCCAACCACAGTCGACGCGGCTCAGTGAAAGTTGAAACATCAAAGTAAAAAGTTGCAATGAATGTATGGGAGAGTAAATAATCAAAGGGATACTCGATATTAGTGATGTAACGAATGACATTTTTTGAACATTCGCGAATGCGAATGGGGATGCGAATGTCTGGTACCGATATTCGCGAATGCGAATACGAATATTTAGTTTTTTTTAAATTGGCGCCAATTGTCTATGGCATGGTGGCAGTCTCGTTCGAATTGTCGAGTTGGTATGAACTCATCCGACTGAAGTGTCCTTCCGCTCGCACCGGTCTTTCCGTAAACAAAACAAGTGAATTTTGAGGTTAGTGATTGTGAGTGGTAATACTGATTTATTAACATGAGTAAATCTAATTCTAGTGAAACATGGACTTATTTCACACTTTGCGATGCTGAACGAGCTAAATGCAAACTGTGTAACAATGAATTGTTTTTTTCTAATATTCATATTCGCAAAACAATCGCAGAGATTTTGCGAATGCGAATGTGAATATTCAAAAATATGCGAATATTTGCGAATGCGAATTTTCGTTACATCACTACTCGATATACATCGATGCATCGAAAACATCGCTGTTTGCAATGGAAAACATCGAAAAGAGTTTTACCACGTAGTGATAATATACTCTTTGGTTTGACCTCAGTAAAAAAAACTTAAGTTTGACCACTAATTTTACTTAATACTATTATGAAAGCATCATTATACCGGATTCTCTGATATGGACCCGATGTTGGCAACAAGAGTCAGTGCAGTGACAATAAAAAATAACTACGAGTTTCTATGTTTATACACATTTAATAAACTTTTTGTTTTGTGAAACAAACTAAGATTGAAGTATATTTCTAATATTCTTTTGACAGACTTAGCAAAATCTTTGCGGGTTATTTAGTGTTTTTTAATTTGATCTTTTGTAAAATATAATACAGATTTTTCTGATGCATGACTTTTACTTGCATTTACTTTTTTAAGCTTCTCATTATGAAATGAGTTAATTCTATTATTTTATTAAAGATAAATGGCCTCTTTTCAGATGGGTCACTTTCCACATAAGTTGATTTTAGTAATAACATTTTAGAAAACGTAGGCGATGTTTAAAATACATCGATATTTTCATCTGATACATCGAGAGACATCAATGTATAGTTGCGATGTATCAAATAAAAAAAAAACATAGATGTTTTTTCAGAGTGGATCTATATACAATATTAGTCTATGGAGTGGACACCTCTTTATGGGCTTATTTAAAAAGTTTTGAACGCAGCAAGCCCTATTCTTTATCTTTAGCTGTCAAACTAAATTGGCGGCAATTTAAAAGTTCTGTAAAAGTTTCAGAATTTCAGATTACTTACCTTCATCCATTCTAATATTAGACCGTTTCAATTTATTGGTTTAGTAAAAAAACAGCTATCCGTACCAAGTCTTCCATACAAGTAACGCATAAGGGGAGTATATTTTTTCACTTAAACATTCATACAACTACAACTAGTATGGATATCTTTTTACGTATATCCCTCAAAACTTTACTAAGAGACTTTGAAAAGAGGCTTCTTTATCACAAGTGCTCAGGCAAAATTCTTTAAAATTAATGTGTCGCACACAGTGTAATTCGAAAATCACGCTAAAATTGAGTGGACCATTTTATTACTGCAGTATGTAATCGGCGTATATATAATTAAGTACTTATTCAAAAATCTTTTTATTTCTATCATTTGAGGTAAGTTAACAATTCAAGGCTGGTTATAACTCGTGTCACTAAAGAAAGGCATCGACCATGCCGAAGCAAGATATTCTGTCTCTCTCGCACTTACACGGGATAGCTTTTGCGAGAGGGACAGGACGTCTTACGTCGCCATTTGCGATTCCTTTCTTAAATACCACCAATTATACAAGTCACACTGAGCTTTGTGTTCTATTTTTTGACAGGTTTCTTTATTTCTAAAAGTAGTTGCCAGTTACCACATAAATTGATTAGTTGTGTACTGATGCATGAAATATATTGTAAGCCTGACACTTCTGGTCACACTCAGATAGCAATTAATTTAATAAAACTTGAAGTTGATGATGTCATTTTGGAAAAGCAATAGACGTGCAATCTGTGACTTTCAGAAGTACCTATTCAATTTAATTGAGCTCGCAGAATCCGCCATTTATTCAGTGTAGTGTTAGCACCGCACCTAGCAGTTGTCACCTTGTAGAAAGATAGATTAGTCATAGATTTCAGAATGACAGGTGACAGGGTAACTGTGACTGGTATAAGGAACTTTTGAACTAACTTACGAAACAATAAGGGAATTTTAAAATGTACTCTAAGTAGTTGTACATAAAGTCCATTTTTGTTTCTACCTTCATAAGGGGGAAAATACTCCTAAGCGCGACAACGACGAAAGTGGAATCTGTCCCACTCTTGCGACTGTTTGAGCACACTACTAGAAGGAGACAGATTCCACCAATTCAGCTATTGATTGCAGATTTTGAGGGTTGCATAAGCATTCCAGTTAGTATATTGTCACAAACGCTCTCGTAACGTAACCACGAAAGTGCTAGAGAATTTGCCAGATCACCGCGGATCGCGATAGAGGCCGAGTAATGCGGCTCATTCTAAAATGAGCCTTATGCAGTGCGGCGTAAGGGAGAAAGTGTAACGACATCTGCACTTGTTTACAAGTTATGCGCGATACCTGCGTAGGTATAAGTAGGTACTTCGTACTCGCGGGTGCTAGCTAATTCTCAATTTAACAGGTACTTTCTAGAATGCGTCGATCGGCGTATATAAGCGCGATTGGCGCCGCGCAGAGATAGTTATGATTCAACAGCGATTTCGGAGCGAAACCAAAGGCGATCAAAGTGCAACAAAAGTGTTCAAGTGAGATTGTTTAGAGACTTGTATAGTGAAATACAGTGTTTAGTGAGTGTTTTGTAATTAGCATTGTGTGTTAATTGTGTGAACTGTGTGGTGAATAAAGTACTGTTAAGCGTGAACTGGCATATAATTTCGTCCCCATCCCGACACGTAACAATATCAAGTTCCTTGGACTGGTATTAATATATGAATTTATAATCTATGTAAGTACCTATAACATTATATTTATTTAAACATCAGGTGGGGCTCAGTAGTGTAACACCAAGAATTAGAATTCTCTTGCAAATAATACAGCACAGGTATCAAGGGATAACTGACAATAAAACTAAATTTTATTTTGCAAAAATTTATTTGAATTTTTTATGTTTTAAGCAGTCATAAAGATTTATTTTTTATCACAGAATCAAAATCATGTAGAACTGACTGCGATGGCAAAGCATAGATTAAAATACGCTATTCGTCTGATCTTAATAAATTTATACTTATATCTAAGTAAATCAGGAACTGCGTTCCTTATTTGCGTCTGATTAATGTTTTTAGTCTGAACGTTAGTTTATTACGTCTAAGTAGAGGTAGGAGAGGTAAATCTGAACTGTTCGGTAATTCCGCTCAGATTAATCCGATGTAAATCTGTTTTTTTGGAGTATTTTAAGCGACGACAGAGATTAATCTGGTTATCTGTTATGTTTTGAGATTAATTTCTGTTTGAGGTTAGAAGCTAACCTACAGTTGGTCTGGCCGTTCGTTAATAGCAATTTACTCAGATTAATCTGTGAACACATTACCAAAACTCCGTCCTCTGTGATGCAAATAGCGAACGCAGCAAGGGATCATAACAAAAAGGTTTTGAGATTTTTCAATTTTAAACATATCGCTTTCAAAAAAATTACTGTTTCTTTCGTACACAAGTACGCAATATAATTCAACAATCATATGTCTAACTCTCTAACAACAAGAAATTAATGAAACAATGTCTTATTATATATCTACAAAATATCGATATCAAAGAAAAAAAACAATATGTCAATACTGGTACTACAGAAAAAAAAGCGATGCGCACATCGATAGAGCACAAATCTGCTTCAAAGGTTCACCTTAACCAAAGTTTCGCATACAAACTAATCAAAAATACTTATTCTAAAAAAATACGGGTCCAACCGCACCTAGAAAAATACAGTCACTTAGGAGCAATCGCGACGGCGTCGGTCACATCGCCAAAAAATGCCTATCGAGGTAGATGAATCGATCACAATCGGCGAAACGAGGCGGCATCGGCGGGAGACTTAACGTTCGAAGCCGGGCGGGGGGCGCATGCCGGGCGGCAGGGGGATGCGCGGGAGGTCGGTCTGCGTGCCGGAAGCCACCAACCGGAACTCGGCCGCTTCCGGGTTGAGGGAGGACGTCGGCGCCGGCGCCGGGGACCGCATCGCGCGCGATATCGCGTCCGCCATATACCACTGCGCGGCGCCCGGGTCCACGCGACTCAACAGGCGAAAGATCTCGCATTCCGACACCGACAATGTGACGTCCCCGCGGCCGCCGGCTCGCGTCGGCGACGGGCCCCGTCGGACGTTCGGTGAACCGTTGTAGGGGGGCGGAGGCGACGCGGCCCGGGGACCGGCCCACCGGTTGGGACCGGGGGGGCGCGCGGTCTGTCGAGGCGCATGCGGGTAGGGCCCGGGCTGGGGCGCGAACCCGGGGGGACCGGGCGGACCGGGCGGACCGGGACCGGGCACGAACACGGGCATCGGCGGCGGGTACAGGGGCGGGTAGAGTGGCACCGCGCCCGGGAACGGCGGCATGCCAACGTACGGCATCATCGGGGAGTAGGCCTGCTGAGGCGGGGGAGGCGGGGGGCGGGGCGGCGGCGGCGGCTGCGGTCGGAGTTCTTGGGCCGGTTGAGGCTGCATCAGGGGGATTCTGTTGAACGTGTCCGGAGGGGCCGGGCGCGAGGGGGGCGGGGACTCCGCGCGGGCTGCGAGCGATGCAGGTTCGAATACGGGCGCGGACGCGCGCATCCTCTCTGTAGACGAGCCCGCGGACTCGGTGGACTCCGGGGGAGTCGGGGACGGGGAGGGGGAGAGCGAGGGCGGGGTGGGGGAGGGCGTGGGGGGCGCGGGGGGCGCGGGGGGCGGGGTGGTGTGCGGGCTGGCGAGCGGGGGCAGGTCGGCGGGCACGTGTCGGCGGTACTCGTCGACGAACTCGAGGCGGATGCCGTCGCGCAGGTAGCGCGCGATCTCGCCGTAGTTGGGCGTGTCGCCGCCCTCCAGCGCCTCGAACCGCGGGAACAGGTAGCACTCCGACGTCTGCAACGACCGCCGTTTCGCATTAGTTCCCTTTACACTCCGGCCTAGGCCGCGCTCGAACCCGAGGGGGGGCGGGGTCGTCGCAGACTTCGGGGCTAGACCTGACCGTGCCGAGTCGCCGAGCGAAATTACATTTTTTCAACAAGAATGAAATAATAATAATAGCGTCTTTCATCATGAGAATCGCGCTCCGCACCGCTCGGAAAACAAAATATTAATAGTGCCAAACCGAAAGTTCATTAAATAATTCTAATGCTATGCTTTCTTGGGCGTTTTCGGAATCGTCTACACCGAAATCTCGACTATGACCGACGCCGACCTAACAAGTTCCGACTCAACAATTTTTTACATTTAATTATAGACAATACGCATCCCCCTCGGATTTCCAGCTTGTTTCCGAAGCCCGAGTACGAATTTTTGACAGTTCTGTAACGTCAAATTTTGTAATAAAAAATCTAGGTTTTTCTAACGTTCAAAAAGGGGCGCTGTTCATTTATGTAGAAACTTTGACAATGATACGATTACGGAGCTGTCAAAATCCGTGCTTAAGCCTCTGATAACGGAAGAAATGAGACTAGGTAAGGCAAAAACTACTTTTGATTAATTTAACAATAGAGACGATTTTATTTACACATTCGAGACCACAGTCCAACAGCATCATAAAACAAAAATCTAATAACAATACCAACCAAGCCTAATTTATTAACCAAAAGCAGTTTTCACTCATAAAAATACAACAACGTCGAGTATACAATTATATGATTTGTAACACATATTTCTTATACGAATCAACTACAATTTTGTATAGATAATATGTCTCAACCAGCAATAGACGCATTTAAAACAATTCTGATTGAAATATTATATCTCAACATCCAACTGACTGAGTTATTATAGCTTTAATAGAAAAATACATAAATATGTTACATATTTTCCAAGAAAATACAAAAATGGGTTATTTACTATATTATACTATATTTTAAAAATTTAAAACACTTAACTTATAGCAAAATTTACTAGAAAATAGAACAATTTGCTTTAAGCTTTTCTACTTGACCTAATTATCTATAACACCTAAATACATTTTATTGTTTCTAGTATACACAACATGTTTTTGTAAAAGCCCGTACTTTGGTAAAACCTAAGATATTCTAGTAAATGCTAATATTAACCAGTAATAATTGGGTAAAGTCCGAATCATTAAGTGATTATATTGTTCGGTTACCAACCTAACCTTTATTACATTTTCAACTCTTGTAGAGCTTCGTACATCATTCCTTCGAGTGGTTGTGAGGACTGAAGTTGTAAATAAAGGATTTTTAACTAAAATCAGTGGTTAAAATCTTTTTCATTCGTAAATTGCTTCGTTCTACCTGCCACACCAGCCATCCTTACCTTGTTGGCCTGCAAGATGCTTTTTTACGACTTCTTTCCAAAAGCTCCAGGTTTGTAGGAGGAGGGGCACACGTGGGCGAACAAAGCATTTCGTTTATGGATAGTGCGAAATCACTTAGTTTGCGTTGAAATAGTGGCCACAGGAAGTCGGTGACAGACAACGTAGACCAGCGCGTGTGAAGGGGAGCTTAGATTTAGGGAGAATAACTCAGTATGTAGTTTACATTATCAGGACGGTTCCCGCACATACTCCTTATTATTGGACCATTGTGTCTCGCTAATTAATGTTTTGAAACATTCCCGTTTACTCCAGCCAGCCTAAGTTAGTCCAGAAGGAAAGCAGCCTTGGCAGACTGCTGCAAGCTTCCGGAAGCGATGCTGGCGACTGGAGAATTCGTGCCCATTGGTCGGCCACACTCCTGCATTCCATGATGACATGCTGTGGCGTTTCTTCTGCCTCCATGCATCTTCTGCATAGGGGGATATCTGTCTCTCCTAATGTGTATAGGTGTCTGTTGAGGGGACAATGACCAGTCAGGTTTCCGTTAATCTTGCGGAGTTTGTCCCTGTTTAGTCTGGTAAGGGTGGGGGTAAGTCTCTTGTTTGCGCCGGAGCTGCGTTCTTTGTTTGCCGGCATCCTTCAGCTGTTTTCTACTGGACGATAGTATGCGCACAATGGCCTCAAATCACGGTGTAATTAATAATAATAATATATTTTTGCTTGTAAACGTAACAAACTTGTACATTGCTGGTATACAAGGTGTTACAATAAACATGGCCTCAAATCTTCCATCTATCTTGAGGCTTGCCGCCGCTGTAACCTATCCAGAACATTGAGCGAGTACTTGGCGGAGCCATCCCAAAGGTGTGAGCAATATTCAACGCAAGACCGCACCTGCGTGTTGTGCAACAACCAAAGTTGCTCAGGCGCGAAAAAACGTAGCGCACCTTGAAATGAAATGAAAAGTCATTTATTCAGTCTAGGCTGTTACAAGTACTTGTGAAGGTCAAGAAGCTACGCCATCGGTTCGCAAAACTACGGCGGGAGACCTTGTACTTGTTCAGGACTACCGAGTTTGCGTGAGGCTTTTTGAAGTTATACTTCTTTAGGCGCGTTAGGAAAACATGATGAGAGTGAAATTTTAAGATGCGCGCGCATCAATGTATCACAAAAGCAACACCATGAAGTTGGCCGCTAAACCGCACATTAAGAAACGCTACCAACAAAACAGAAATGGAATCTCTATTAGTTGCGCATGTTGGCACGCTCGTCGCCTCTGATCACTGTTTTCATATTTATAATATTTATCCACGTGTTTCTCGTTTCTATATTCACAACACGTGTTTTACTTTCATAAAAGTGCAATAACATATTATGTGAAAATTTAATTAAAACTGAACATTATTGACTGCGTTGACTATCCTTTTCCAGTCCTTTTAACATTTTATTGTAAGTACTTAATTAATTGCATGCAATTAAAAACTATTTTAAGTGATGCCAAAAAAGTATAACTTCGCGCGCGTACATAAGTACACGCACCTATTGTTTCTTTAACACGCTTTCTATTTAGTTCTTTGGATTTAAGTCACAGCGAAATCCCGAACATGGTGATATTACTTTGTAACGTCAGTGTACCCTGAAGAGAAGAAAGGATATGGAAAATTGACATCTTTGTCGTGAAATGTGGTCCAAAACGAGATTGAGCTCAATAATTAGATTCTCCCGTTTCTCATTGGTTTCTACCTGTCTAGCCATTGCGTGTCTGAAATATGCTGCGTGCAGTGTACTATCGTCTGCATAGCAATGAATATTAACGAAATTATGAATTATAACTAACCAAAAGGAATTAAATAATTGTTTTGCAACGACATCTATAGGGGATTTTAATAGCGCCCTCAGGTTTTTTGCATTGCAGCATTTTGTGTTCTCCCATTGAAGGCACGTCTTATTAAACATTTTCGAGGAGTCCTATCAAACTTGGTTTAGTTTCGTAAGCTCTTAGAATAAAGATGTCGTTTCTTTATTCGCACGAGTTATACCAAAATCAAAAGACTTTACTCCAAGGTAAAATCCAGAACAAAATACACTTTATTTACAAAAATCCTTACATTTAACAACTGATGTTAGTAAATAATCCAAAAACAATCTAGGTATACTTGAGATTTTCCAATACGCGGGCTTCTACAGTGACACGTAGCTTTTTATTTGTCAAAATTAAAATTAATACTTTTTCACAACTGAGCTTCAAATTTCGTGTTGAATAAGTATTAATTTAAAAATTCACCATTAGAAAATTCATCAAGTATCAAATATACAACTCTAATTCTTAACAAAAAAAGTTTTAACGGAAAAGAAAAAAAATAATGTACACGGAGCACACAACTGAAGTGAAACTTCTTTTCTTAAATAGCCTAACATTAGGAGGTGCATAAGGCATAGAGGAATGGAGCAGTGCACGCATCATACATATACATATATGCATATATATTTGTTTCTAATTCTATATATACATATTGCCGCGTGTGTTGCTCGTAACGTTTCAGCTTTCGCCGAGTTAAACCTCAAACTTTCATGCTCGTCGGGTAGAGACTCATCACCCTGTATATGTGTGTGGGATACACAAAAATACAAATAAAGCTTGAAGAGCGTTGAAGTATATCTTAGTCTGTCTTATCTAATTTTCTTAAAATATTTGATTAATAAAATTATCGGTCATTTTAAGACACGTCACTAGTTCGAGGATCATTAAAACTATTATACTTGTTTTTTATAAAAATTTAATTTAATTTTTAAATTAGAGAAGACTGATGTACTTCAACGCCCTTCAAGCTTTATTTGTATTTTTGTAACACCCTGTATTATAATGTAGTGTCGCTTTTCCATAAAAATTTTCCATTAACACCCCCGTCCGAAAAGAAGTTTCACATCAAAAAACAAACTTAAGTATAATAGCATTTAGAAATTTTGCAATTTCTTGGCTAGAGCCAATTTGCGTCGCAACATGCGACTGGAAATGGAAACTACGGATTCGGGAGGGGAATCGTCATCATCGCTCTCCGCTACCACATCCGACGGTGTGGAATCCGCAACTTTCAGCGTCTGCAATTTAGAGTGCAGAGCTCTCAGTCTGGCTAGATGGGCGGAAGCGGAAGCGGTACTATTAACGCTGGTGGTAGATTTCGTGTCAGCGGCATCCCACGTGGGTAAACGGCGCGGAGCTCGCCCTACGACTTCGGAAGCTGAGGCTGAAATATCGCTGGCGTCGTCTTCCTCCTGTATCGGCCTCAGGTCAGCTATGGCGGTGAGTAGAGACCTCAGGTCAGGCGCGGGGTGGGTCGGGGCCGGGAGGGGTAGTGTACAGAGGTGGGGACTCACCCTTAGGGACGAGTCGGGACGGCCGTCGGCGTGCCCGGAGCGAATCAACTCATTACTGATGTTGATGTCCTCTTCTGTCGAAGTGTTGATGAGGAATACTTCGATTATGTCCTCCTGTGGGATGAGGTGTGATGTTAGAAAAGTATTGGTTAATCTTAGATTAAAGCGAAAAGGGAAGATTCGCCTCTTGCTTTCATCAGATGAAATATAATCCGACTCAATTAGGCATCTTCTTCACCGGAACGAATCTGTGTAGATTCGTTACTGAGAACCGATTCTTGACCGACTCGGAGACGGGACTGTGGATAAAAAATTAAGACATCGGTGTCAATTCTGGCTAGATTCTCTAAATTTAAAGCTAGGTTAAACACCCCAGTCTCTCTTTTCTTCATTTCGTATAGATAATGACAAGGATACACTTTTGTCAAGTTTAGGTTTTGAGAATCATGCCAGAATCGATACCATTGTATAAATTTTGCGTAAGAAGTACATGTATTATACTTCGATATAAGCAAGAGGAAGCATTTAAGATCTCGAAATCTTGTTTCATTTCACAATAAAGAATTGAATTGAAATCGGATTGTATACCTGCGGGTCCGGCCGCAGGGCCTGACCCCCGCGATGTATATATATATATATGTATACCTGCGGGTCCTGGCACACGAGGTTGGCCACGAGGCGCGTGTCGCGCACGGCCCGCAGGAAGGCGGCGGAGGCCGCGTGTGGCCAGCGCCGGCCCCGGCCGCAGGGCCTGACCCCCGCGATGTATATATATATATATGTATACCTGCGGGTCCTGGCACACGAGGTTGGCCACGAGGCGCGTGTCGCGCACGGCCCGCAGGAAGGCGGCGGAGGCCGCGTGTGGCCAGCGCCGGCCCCGGCCGCAGGGCCTGACCCCCGCGATGTATATATATATATATGTATACCTGCGGGTCCTGGCACACGAGGTTGGCCACGAGGCGCGTGTCGCGCACGGCCCGCAGGAAGGCGGCGGAGGCCGCGTGTGGCCAGCGCCGGCCCCGGCCGCAGGGCCTGACCCCCGCGATGTATATATATATATATGTATACCTGCGGGTCCTGGCACACGAGGTTGGCCACGAGGCGCGTGTCGCGCACGGCCCGCAGGAAGGCGGCGGAGGCCGCGTGTGGCCAGCGCCGGCCCCGGCCGCAGGGCCTGACCCCCGCGATGTATATATATATATATGTATACCTGCGGGTCCTGGCACACGAGGTTGGCCACGAGGCGCGTGTCGCGCACGGCCCGCAGGAAGGCGGCGGAGGCCGCGTGTGGCCAGCGCCGGCCCCGGCCGCAGGGCCTGACCCCCGCGATGTATATATATATATATGTATACCTGCGGGTCCTGGCACACGAGGTTGGCCACGAGGCGCGTGTCGCGCACGGCCCGCAGGAAGGCGGCGGAGGCCGCGTGTGGCCAGCGCCGGCCCCGGCCGCAGGGCCTGACCCCCGCGATGTATATATATATATATGTATACCTGCGGGTCCTGGCACACGAGGTTGGCCACGAGGCGCGTGTCGCGCACGGCCCGCAGGAAGGCGGCGGAGGCCGCGTGTGGCCAGCGCCGGCCCCGGCCGCAGGGCCTGACCCCCGCGATGTATATATATATATATGTATACCTGCGGGTCCTGGCACACGAGGTTGGCCACGAGGCGCGTGTCGCGCACGGCCCGCAGGAAGGCGGCGGAGGCCGCGTGTGGCCAGCGCCGGCCCCGGCCGCAGGGCCTGACCCCCGCGATGTATATATATATATATGTATACCTGCGGGTCCTGGCACACGAGGTTGGCCACGAGGCGCGTGTCGCGCACGGCCCGCAGGAAGGCGGCGGAGGCCGCGTGTGGCCAGCGCCGGCCCCGGCCGCAGGGCCTGACCCCCGCGATGTATATATATATATATGTATACCTGCGGGTCCTGGCACACGAGGTTGGCCACGAGGCGCGTGTCGCGCACGGCCCGCAGGAAGGCGGCGGAGGCCGCGTGTGGCCAGCGCCGGCCCCGGCCGCAGGGCCTGACCCCCGCGATGTATATATATATATATGTATACCTGCGGGTCCTGGCACACGAGGTTGGCCACGAGGCGCGTGTCGCGCACGGCCCGCAGGAAGGCGGCGGAGGCCGCGTGTGGCCAGCGCCGGCCCCGGCCGCAGGGCCTGACCCCCGCGATGTATATATATATATATGTATACCTGCGGGTCCTGGCACACGAGGTTGGCCACGAGGCGCGTGTCGCGCACGGCCCGCAGGAAGGCGGCGGAGGCCGCGTGTGGCCAGCGCCGGCCCCGGCCGCAGGGCCTGACCCCCGCGATGTATATATATATATATGTATACCTGCGGGTCCTGGCACACGAGGTTGGCCACGAGGCGCGTGTCGCGCACGGCCCGCAGGAAGGCGGCGGAGGCCGCGTGTGGCCAGCGCCGGCCCCGGCCGCAGGGCCTGACCCCGGCCAGCCTGGCCCTGACGGCCTGGGCGGGCAGCTGGCCCCACTCGCGCCGCAGCGGCTTCAGCGCGGACACCCGCACCGTCTCCACGGTGCCGTAGTCTACGTGCCGCACCTGCACAACGCACAGACGATGCGATAACCTATTGACGAACGATCGTTCGACGATCATCGTTCATGTTGATCGACGATCATCGTTACAAATTTAAAAATAAATTCCTATCGAGCACCGATCCCGAAACATCGCGTTTGCAAATGGTTGGTGTTTGAAAAATGGTTATGCAGTGGCTATAAAAATATAATACTGCCCTACGACAGGTTCGGAATAGTATTAAATAATTGGCTATTAAATGAATGCTTTTATTCTGTGAAGGATCTTGTTTATTATGTTTTTAATATGTTAGAATATCACTCAAGGAGCGGCTCCTTCGGTGGCGACCCTGAGGTCAAAAAAGTCCTCCAGGAAGACTTCAGATGCGTTGGGACGATGACCTTAAAAGAACAGCATGAGAAAATTTACTTCAGGACGTACAAAATGGGCCTACCATTAATTACGTTAGTTGTACAAAGAATATTATTTTAATATTTATAAAATACAGGTATAAGTATAATTTTATTGAAGTGAAACTTCTTTATCGGCGTTGGAAAAAAATTTACCGTCACATTTTATTCGGTTACGCGTCACGTTTTTTGGTTACGCGCCATCTTTTTTTTTAAAATAGCACTATTTACCTCATCCGAATAATTGCTTCTTCTGTCAACTTTAAAAAAAAAAGTATCGACAGCAAATATTCGTGTTTCAAACAAGGTAAGGTAAGGTAAGGTAAGGTAAGGTAAGGTAAGGTAAGGTGTGGAGATGGGGTGTGGGTGACTCGGGAGAAATCACGACGAGCGTTCAATGTGATATCAACATTTTATTAACTTAACCTACATCTTATATACTACTTATAATACGTATACGACGTGCTTAGGGCTTAAATATCTAATCGTATCGGGGATGATTATCATCACGTAGAACACGTGATTTACACTTCACCACACCTCCCCTGAAACGTTAGGCGTCCCTCCCCTGAAAAGGAAGACCCTAAAAATTTTTCTTCTACTTTAAAACATATTATGTAACTCGATTAATAACATATTATACATAACAACATGTTATAATCCTTTTTAAGAGATTCACTAATCTCATATATACATAACTTAAATTATTTAATTTACTTTATTAAAAATTACCTAAAATTTTATAAAGACAAATTATTATCAAAATTAAATCCTTACTATAATTACTAAACAATTATAATTACGTTGATTTTTAAAAAAAATAACATAACATACAATTACGAATTTTATATTTTTATTAATCTATACCAACATCACGTTGGTTGTATCTCTTCCTCAATAGCATATCTTGAAAACAATTGTTTATTTTGCTAATAAAATATTTCTTATTACGCTTATTTGTATAATAAATTTTAGATAAAATACTGTCATTGCTTGAGCTTTCAGGCTCATTCGTATTATATTTATTAACAACCTCTAAGACAATTTTGCCATTTTTATCTTTCGAATCACTTTTTACAATTAATATGGGTAATACAACGTTATATTTCTCCCTTAAGTTATTAAAACTTTTAACCCATTTTTCATTAATTATCAAACCTTTTATTTGTAAATGCTTACAAAGCAATTCAACATCTTTCGCTAGTCTTTTCTCTTCTAGGAATGACACAGACTTTATATACATTTCACATCTTAAAGATGCATAAACACATAATTTATATTTAGAATGCACATACTTCTTATTGTCTATTTTGTCATTAAAATACTCTTTAACAATTACGTTTACATAAGAACTAGCTTTTACATAATCTGCTTTAATTGCAGGGAACTCTTTCTTAGAGTTATCATTAGACATTGTGATCTCGTCAATTGCGAACATATTTTCCTTTCGTATTTTATAAGAAGCTTTTCGCTTTTCCTTACATTGGTTAGACTTAATTAAGTTACCATTGCTTTTACTTAGCAAATTATTTTTACAACATAGTTCTTTTTCTGAAAAAAATTCGTCTAACTTTAAATCATAACATTCGTCATTAAAACTATTTATAGAATTCATTACCTCAGTATTACAAGTATTTTTAATAGAGCACACCTCATCGATTTGAGCACGATTTTGCTTATCTAGCGCTTTGCGCGTTTGAACTTGACCGTAGCGCGGAATGCGAGATTCCAACGTATTGCGAACATTCTTTTTACTTGCTACGCTGTAATTTTTAAAATAATAATTTCTTACTCTCGGTCTGTCACTTAAACTTGAATTATAGTAATTACATTGCTGAATCATATTTTCCTCTCTATTCGATGATGTAATATATTCCTCGAGTGCTATTTGAATAGCATCTTTTAATAACGTGGGCTGTTTACACTTTAAAATTAAACTTATTCGACTACTATTTAACCCTTCAGCAAAACATCTTATTGCAAATAGCTCATTTATCGGAAGCAAAATTTTTATCTTTTCTTGATCATTTTCAGATTGAGCAATAGTTAATTCAGATAACAATTTATTGATCTCTAAACCAAATTGTTCTATAGACCTACTTCCTTGTTTACACTTAAATAATTTAAATTGAATCGCTGATGGACACTTTTTCGGTAAAAAATAATGTTTCATGTCACTAATTAAACGATTAATACTATCATAAGAAGATTCTAAATAAAATTTTGCTGTTTCTGAGAGTCTAGTTTTTAAAACAAAATTAATTAAAGTAATTTGCGAGTTATTATCAATAACGCTACTGTAAAATTCTATATTATTAATTAAACATTGTGTGTTATGCTCTTCTCCCGTCATTCTAGGTAAGAAGGCTAGTGCGGTCTCCAAATCAAAACTTGCCATTTTTAAAAATAATATCTTAAAACTTTAAATTGCGAAAATTCTTTAATAAATAATAAATCAAGAGACTACTGGACAAAACCAATATAAAAAAATGAGATGAATTAACTATTAATCTGTATTTTAAGATCTTAATACTTATTTATTTTAACAAACTTTAAATGTAGCTTTATGATTCTTTCTTTCCTTCTTAATAATGTAGTCGTTTCCATGCCCTTTTGCAGTATTTTAATTTTCATCTTCAAGGTATCTTCATATATACGTCAAACCGAGGAACTTAGTGCTTAGGTAATTTGTTTGCAGTTTTCCGTGATTCAATAATCATCTTCAATTTTGCGAACCCTTCTGGGTCTTTGCGCTCAGAAGTATGCTGCCATGGTCGATTGAAATTTTCAAAAACTTACATAATGGACCCCGTCCGATGCAGCACGATCTTCTACGTCACGGTCGCCATGTGGAGATGGGGTGTGGGTGACTCGGGAGAAATCACGACGAGCGTTCAATGTGATATCAACATTTTATTAACTTAACCTACATCTTATATACTACTTATAATACGTATACGACGTGCTTAGGGCTTAAATAGCTAATCGTATCGGGGATGATTATCATCACGTAGAACACGTGATTTACACTTCACCACAGGTACATACATAAGGTAAGGTAAGGTAAGGTAAGGTGTAGTTATACCCCTTTAGTGGGTGAGTTTTTGAAAAATCTTAGCGCACGCCTATATATATATTTCTGGAAAGTTGCATGTAGGTCATTTTTCGAAAAAAATAAGGCCATAAAGAAGTGTCACTTCTTACGTGTGTACACTAGTACACGCATACATTTTTTTTATTATAGAAAATTATGGACTATAACAATAACGTTTACAGATAGACGGAAAGGTTGCAGGTTATTTTTGACTGACATAAAAATAAAGAAAAATGCGAAAATCATTTTTGTACTAATACATGAACATTATTTAATGTACAATATGCTCGGACCACGGAAATACACGTGATATATTACCCCCTTCCCCCCTTGTGATATTTCATGATTTTTATGGACCACTCCCCCCCCCCCCTTGCGAGCCTCACGTGATTAATGGACAGCCCCAATGGGTTGAGATAAGCTGAAAGAAAGAATATATATCTGTACCCTTAGTACGAGTTTTACAATAGGGATGATGACTATTTTTTTTTCTTCGTTTATCAGGTAGATTATCAAAAAGTTGGACACGTATTTTTTCCTTTTTCACATAATATAAACTTTGCAGAGATATATTGATTTGAAAAGTAACATGACGTCACGTTTGAGTACACTCATAAGTGAAAATTCACTCAGAAGTGACGTCACGAGCCCCTACTCCCAAACTTTGACGCGCTATAACTTTGTCATTTTTTGGTCGATTGCCCAAAGAAAAAATACGTGTCCATTATTTTTATATCATCTAACCGACGGACTAAATAGAATTTCGTTTACTGTACCCCGTCATCGTCCCTATTACGGGTGAGTTGAAACTCTTGTAAGGCTACCGTTGTGTTACCTTAACGGTTTCGCTATCCAATATCCTGACGATGAGGGACCGGTGCCAGTCCCCCTCGTAGACGCTGCTGCAGTAGTGGCCCACGCGCACCGCGCCCAGCGACAGCGCGCGGGCCCGGCCCTCGCCGTGACTGTAGTACCGCCTGAGGGATTCATACGGGCATCGTCACCATCGGCATATCGACATGGACTTACACCCATTAGATTAAAACAAAAAGGGTAGATACGGCACTAGCCTCACAAAAGTGATCCGCATCAATTGTGGTCCACGACCCTAATCGCTTTAGTCACAACTTGACATGCAAACGAAGTACATGTGAACGCCAAAAAGAAATATTGCTAATATTTTGTGTTTATATGATAAAACAATGCCTAAGTGTGTTTTTAAAAAGTGCTCAAATTGCTCAAGAACTAAAAATAAAACCCACGGCATCACTTTTCATTCGTAAGTACTATAAAATATATTTTTTCATAAAAATTGCTGTTTGTTTTTAAACTTATTCAGTAGTGACGTCGAGTACAGGGGGCCAATCGCCTAACGGAAATGCTATGGAAAACGCTAACGCTTACGATTTTATTTTGTTATTTCTAGCCGCCTGAGGTATTCAAATGCCTCGCGCTCTTCCTTTTTCTTTTGCATTGGTAATAACAATATTAAAAAAAATGAGCGTGAGGTATTCGAAAACCTCAGGCGGCTAGAAATAAAAAATATAAAATCGTAAGCGTTAGCGTTTCCCAAAGCATTTCCGTTAGGCGATTGGCCCCCTGGTCGCGTGATCGGTCGGCAGTGCAGTGACGCTATCTCGCCGTCTCGTTCGCGCTGCCGTTGAAACTTAACGTGCTGTTTCGTTCGGGTCGGTAATGCAGTGACGCGGATCTCGCCGTCCCGTTCGCGCTGCCGTGGGATCAGTTTTTGTTTGATGCAAGTATGAGCGTAGCGTATCTACCCTTTTTGTTTTAATCTAAGTTACACCCATATTCTTAGTCGTTTGCTCGAGATTTTTTCCACTCGACTCAACCTCATTCGAGGAAATTCGTATGCTTAGACAACAAAAATATCCTTCACTTGAGATATTCCTCACTCGAGTGGAGGTCGAGTCGAGGAATAAACTGTCAAACTCAAGGTAGCTCTCGATGTACCTTAAGGCTTCCTCGAGTGGTGTTTAAGGTGTTTTCACGTTGTTTTTATCGAGAATTATGTCTAATTATGAGATTGTTGACGAATTGGTGAATTTTATTTTTTACGTATACGATGATGAACCATATAATCCGGCGCGACGGTATTTACGTGACGCCGCAAATCCTTTTAAGGTTTACGACAACGATTCGTTTCAAAGCAGATTTCGGTTTAGAGAGATACAGTCATACAAGTAATATTTCCTCTGCTAAGCATTACACTAAATTGTAATAACAGAGGACTACCTGTACCGCCTTTGATACAATTACCGGTGGCTTTGAAGTTTTACGTGACAGCATTATTTCAAGTAGGTATTTACCTGTTTGTTGTGTGATATTTTACTTTACACATATTATAAATGTCTATACTTTTATGCTTTATACCTTTGTTTGTACTCTCAGTGGAGGAATTCTCGAGTTTGTTCAAGATACCAACTAGAACATAATTTTCGAGGTTATTTGGAGGAACACCTTAAGGAGCCCTCGAATGAGTTAGAGTCGAGGAACGTTTGAGGACGTTACTAAAAATATGGGTGTTAGTGTTCAATCACTAAAAGAGTGAGGAAGAGACATCGAGCCCTTACGACAATCCTACAAGGTAAAAAGAGACGCAACATGATGTACACTTGGCCCAATAATATATTTACAGCAAGAGCAAACAGCGCCGTGTCAATGGAGAAGTATACGCAAAGCTCGACATAGATGGCGCTGCAAACGCTTGACCCAAACCACAGCCGAATATTGCCGCTGTCAAATTTTCAACGTGTTTTTTTGTTGTTAAAAATATTAAATAAGTGGTAAAAATGTATTCAACATGGTCTGTAATACAGCTGAAAACAGAGTTGAAAAGGAGAGGAGCATCTGTGCAAGGCAGAAAAGCTGATCTAGTAGAAAGGCACTCCTTCCACTATTATGCTAGAATACTCTATACTCTGTAATTTGTTTAATAAAAAGCTTTAAAATTAATATAAGCTAATACGTATGTATTTGATAGAAGTTTTGGGTCAAGCGATTACAGCGCCTTTAGTGAAAAATTTTGAAGATTTCTTGTCCATTAATATAAGAAGGGGTATTAAAACACTCGAGTCTGTTTATAGGTTACGATAGTAGATTGACTCGAGTGTTTTAATACCTAAATTATATGCAGTTGCAAACACTAATTTATCGGCAGGAAAATGTATGGGAATCGCGAGAAATTAATTTCAAATTTCCTTGTCATCATAGCCTAAATTTAATAAATTAAAAAATAAAAATGTACTATAATGATTAAAAAGTTATTTTACGATACAGCTAGCAGTACTATAATGAGTTCCATTTTTGTGGGTGTTTATAAAAATACGTTTTTATAATACAATCATCAACCAATCATCAGGGCCGCGGCACCCAGAAGTGTGAGGGGGAGTACACCTCCCCCACCAGCACATATGTGACTCACGTCATCTGGTCCATGATGTCCTCCATGGCCGCATGGTGCCGCTCCCCCAGGCGCAGCACCCAGAAGTGTGAGGGGGAGTACACCTCCCCCACCAGCACATATGTGACTCACGTCATCTGGTCCATGATGTCCTCCATGGCCGCATGGTGCCGCTCCCCCAGGCGCAGCACCCAGAAGTGTGAGGGGGAGTACACCTCCCCCACCAGCACATATGTGACTCACGTCATCTGGTCCATGATGTCCTCCATGGCCGCATGGTGCCGCTCCCCCAGGCGCAGCACCCAGAAGTGTGAGGGGGAGTACACCTCCCCCACCAGCACATATGTGACTCACGTCATCTGGTCCATGATGTCCTCCATGGCCGCATGGTGCCGCTCCCCCAGGCGCAGCACCCAGAAGTGTGAGGGGGAGTACACCTCCCCCACCAGCACATATGTGACTCACGTCATCTGGTCCATGATGTCCTCCATGGCCGCATGGTGCCGCTCCCCCAGGCGCAGCACCCAGAAGTGTGAGGGGGAGTACACCTCCCCCACCAGCACATATGTGACTCACGTCATCTGGTCCATGATGTCCTCCATGGCCGCATGGTGCCGCTCCCCCAGGCGCAGCACCCAGAAGTGTGAGGGGGAGTACACCTCCCCCACCAGCACATATGTGACTCACGTCATCTGGTCCATGATGTCCTCCATGGCCGCATGGTGCCGCTCCCCCAGGCGCAGCACCCAGAAGTGTGAGGGGGAGTACACCTCCCCCACCAGCACATATGTGACTCACGTCATCTGGTCCATGATGTCCTCCATGGCCGCATGGTGCCGCTCCCCCAGGCGCAGCACCCAGAAGTGTGAGGGGGAGTACACCTCCCCCACCAGCACATATGTGACTCACGTCATCTGGTCCATGATGTCCTCCATGGCCGCATGGTGCCGCTCCCCCAGGCGCAGCACCCAGAAGTGTGAGGGGGAGTACACCTCCCCCACCAGCACCTCCAGCATGGCGCCCGCCGCCAGCCCCGCCAGGGAGGCCCCGGGGATGCTGTCCATGAAGTGCATGCAGTCCGAGGGGAACACGTCCGGATCCTAACGTTCAAAGGTAATAATAATATATAGACCAGCATATGTAAGTAACATTATGTCTTCTAAACCAGTGTCTAAACTATTGACACCATATACAGGGTGTAAAAAAACCTTTAACGAAGCCGAAGGCCACGTATTTTCCACATCATGACGATCATTTTTTTCTTCTGGACCATACCTGGGAAATTTATAGTTAGGGAGATATTGGAGGTCAAAGTCACAATTTTTTTTTTCAAGAATTTTACATTAATATTTTCTAAACGTTATTTAGAAACTTTTTTCCTGAGGAACATAATTTTTTTTTTTAGTATTTCTTCCTTAATAAGGCTTTTGTCTTTACAACGAGAAATGTACAGCAACGCATGCACACGCACCGACGCGCTGTGCCCCGCGCCCGCGCCCCGCGCAAGCGCTCGTATCAGCTGCCACGTAGGTCAACAACCGAACGTGCCTAGTCAACACCGGGGTTTAATCCAACCACTTATTAAAACGAAATGCGTAAATTAGTCATTTACCCCTTATTAGGTTTGCTTAAAAAACATTTAATTAAAATGAAAGTTACACTAGCCATATTTTTTTTTAAACGCGGCGTCGGCGGTGAACTGAAAGAAGAAGATGGCACTATCGTCTCTTTTTATCTCTACCGAGCCCGCGCCCGCGCCGCTCTCCAGTTCGGTTTCTTAGGTCATCGAATGCGCTTTTCAAATTGCAAATTTGCGATTTTTATTTTTATCTCGTGCGATTTCAATTAGGTGATAATTTGTGAACGTGAAAGTGTGTGTGTGTGTGTGTTAGAAGATGCCTAACCAAACGTATACTGCTCGTGAGTACGTAAACATGGTTCTCTGTTACGGGAGAGCACGTGGAAACTCTTCCGAAGCTCTGCGGCTGTATCGGGCTGAATATCCCACGGCGAATCACCCGGGTGATGCACGTATTTTTGTTCGGGCTGTACAACGTTTGCTGGACAATCAGCCGATAGTGCCAGTTTCGGAGGGCGGGCGCGGGCAAATACGACCTGCGGCGGAACAAGCCATTTTAGACGTAATGAGGGAAAACCCACGTTTAGGCGTTCGAACGGCAGCTAGACTTTTGCGTAGAAGGCATGGCCATCGCGGTCGACATGTAGTGTCCCATACCACCGTGCATAAAGTCTTAAGAAGGGACAGGCAGAGGCCGTATAAAATCCACCGCGTGCAAGCACTGGTACCAGGCGACGCCCAGCGCCGCATGGCTTATTGTCAGTGGCTGTTGAGACAAGATCGAGGTTTTGTTCGACACATCATTTTCACTGATGAAAGCACATTCACTAATAATGGCATGTGGAACCGTCGAAATGCTCATTACTGGTCTGCAGAAAATCCCAACCAGACTCAAGAAACGGGCTTCCAGGCGCGGTGGAAACACAACGTATGGGCAGGCATTGTGGGGAACCGGATCCTCGGTCCCGTTTTTTTGCCGCCTAGAGTGGACGGGGCCGCCTATTTAAATTTAATTGACACCGATTTGTCGGAGGCCTTAGACGACATGCCGCTGGCCGAGTTGCGGGAGACTTGGTACCAGCACGACGGTGCACCGCCTCACATCGTAAGACCAGTTCGGCAGCGGCTGACGGAGCTGTTCGGAGACCACTGGATCGGCAGAAATGGGCCGCACGCGTGGCCAGCGCGTTCTCCTGATTTGACGCCTTTGGATTTTTTCCTGTGGGGTTTCGTCAAAGACCGTGTTTTTGACCGCCCCTGTCAGACTAGTGATCAAATGCGTCAAAAAATTATTGACGTATTTGAAGAACTGAAATATCGGTCTGTACGGGAAGGAATACTGGAGCGCGTCCATCAAAATACGCTGTACCGGGCACGCGTTTGCTTACATGTGGAAGGTCGCCAGTTCGAGCCACAACTTATCCGGTTCGAGCGGCCGATTCCAGACGAGGTCGAGTAGTCGGTAAGTAGTAAAAGTACTTACGTAGCTCTAAATCTAAACAAATTCCATAAGGGCTGTTTTTAAATGTAGGAACTTTGGAAGTAAATAATCAAGTAATTTTGTGTACATAATACTCCCGCTAGGTAGTGGAGAAGCGCGTTCTATCGACGCACTTACACACACGCACACACTTACACACAGGCACATTATTTGCGTAGCGCCACAGTAGCGCGGCGCGCTATACATTGCGTACTGGAAAAAAAAAATATATTTTTAACTTAAAAATAAAAATGATTTCCCACGTATAATATTTTGTAATATTACTTGTTTGGGTGTACAGAATGCGTAGTTTTAGTTTTTGTCATTGGTTCTTTTACACCCTGTATAAGCTGAAGAATATAAAAGACAATCTTTAGCATCCGCTGCCGAACTAGGATTTTCATCCTGCATTTCAGCATACAGAGTGCCTCACAAATGGTTTGCCCAATGATTCAATTCAACAGTCATTTATTCAGATCAGGTTTTTAAAAGCACACGTGACAGTCGAAAGCTGCACTATCGGTTCGCAAGTCTACGCCTGAAGACCTTGTCCTGAGAGGAACCGGCAAGAAACTCAGGAAGGGCTGTTTTTTTCCTCCCCTTATCATTTCATACAGTGTTGTCAAATTAAAAGCTAACATCAAACTTATGAACATGTATTAAGGTCCATCACATTAATTTAAAATAGGTAACAATACAAAAATAACTAGACAAAAGCCCCGAAATATTCAGTAAACAATTTTCAAAATACATGAGCGAGTTGAGTTCAATAATCCTCTCCGACATCTCCTTTAGGAGACAAGTATTCGAATCATTTATTCAGTCTAGGCTGTTCCGACCACTTGTGAAGGTGGAAAAGCTACGCTATCGGTTCACAAATCAACGGCGGGAGACCTTGTACCAAGAAGAGCCGGCAAGAAACTTAGCGAGAGCTGCCTTCAACTCCATACATCGTTATATACAGAGTCGTCAAGTTGAAAACTTACTTCGAAAATAATTCATGAAGTCACCTTCTATTACATAATTTAGAACATACAATTTATTAACAGACAAATAAGCTTACATTGTAAGTACAAGAAGCGACAAGATAGCTACCATAATATCACAATAAACAGCCTGCAAAATTACCGAAAAGATTAAAATCATCAAAATATTATCATGAGAGCCCCTTGATAATTTCAGATGTAACTGAAACTAAGGACTTTGTTCCTTCTAGAACCGACAGAATTAATTAAACAAGGATATTTCTTTTTGCACAAACAGTGATTATATAAATAGATTCTTACAAATCTATAGTAATACTAAAAAGATGAAATTTAGCGAGTTAGTAGGCTGTAATCTCTGGATCTTCAGAACCGAATTTGAAAATCCTTTTACTAATAGAAAGCTACGTAATATGTGAGTGCCATAGGCTATACAATAACCCCAAAAATTAAAAGAATTTTGTAGTAGTCGGATTTTTAAAACGTTTTTTATGCCACTGCCTTTACAGATATGTGATTGATTGAATTCTAAACTTTTGATAATGCTTACAAAAACGTCAGCGACAGCGTATGTCTAATTTTTATATTTGAGTCACAAAAAGTAGTTTTTTTGAAGTTATACTTCTTTAGGCGCGTTATAAAAAAATTATGAGAGTGAAATTTTAAGATGCGCGCGCGATCTGTAATACAAAAAATTAACACCATGAAGTTGGTCGCTTTAGCGACCAACTTCATGTGCCGCGCTGCCATTACCGCGTCGCCCGCCGCACCGTACGCATGCGCGGCCACTCGCGGTCCTAGCGCGGGAAACACGTACAACAAACATCGGGAAAAGTTACGAGTTTTGAATTTAGAACAGAGACTGTTTTCATATCTATATATATAAAAATGAAACCCGTTTTCCGTCGTCACGACATAACATGAAAACGGCTTGACCGATTTGGCTGTTTTTTTTTGTAGTTTTCTAATACTCTGTACAAGGTTCTTGCGGAAAAAAATATAAAGAAAATCCCAAGGGGATAAAATAAGGAATGAAAGTTTGTATGAAACTTTATCAATTTTAAACCGATCGGGCTGAGACTTTGCATGCAAGTATAAGAAGAATCATAGATGAATGTCATTGTGTATAATACAAGCCTGAGAACAAAAACTGTAGTCTACACTTCAGCTCTACACCGAAGCGAAGCGAGGGCGGGCCGCTAGTTTATAATATTTATCCACATGTTTCTAGTTTGTATATTCGGAATACGTGTTTGAGTTTCATACAAGTGCAAATCACATATGTTCTAATAAATTATATTCAGTAGCGATTTTAATTGAATATTTTGATTATTTATTTATTTTTTCAAATTAAAACTGAACTTTATTGACTGTGTCCTTTTCCAGACTTTTTATTAATTTATTGTAATTAATTATTTGCATGCAATTAAAAACTAATTTTAAACGATGCCAAAGAAGGATAACTTCTCACGCGCCTACATAAGTACACGCACCCATTTTTTTTATATTAAAAACATATATCGCCTCAAGTATATATAACAAAAAGATTTTGCTATTTTATTGCATATGGTTTGCATTAATGGTTAGAGATACTATGTCTATACGAAAACGACATATAATAGAACCAGGACCATGACCAAATTACATACATAATAATTTCATCACAAGTAATAATGTTTACCGATTAACGAAGTCGGCGCGGGTCAGCAGCAGTATTACATAATGATAGAACGTAGCCGTGGCAAAACTTAGTAGGTGCATTTTAAAATATAAAAACATAGAAACTCGAATTCGTTTATTTACATATACGGTGTGATTACACTTAATCGCTAACCCGAATACGAGTGCCAATGGAATTCGGAATGATACTGTCCTCATGGCGTCTTCGGAGTCGGATCTTCAAGTGATATTGGACCGTTTGAATGAGTGCAGTTTAAGGGCGGGACTAATAATGAACGCACAAAAGTCATGGTCATCTCAAAAGGAAATAATTGAAGTCCAAATATTAATGCCTCCGGAGCAAAGCTTGACGTAGTGCGCAAATACAAATATTTAGGCACTTGGCTAAGGCCGTATACAGAAAGAAAGCCGAAAGCCGATCGGCGCTTATCGGCGCCGATCCTTCCTACATAAAGGAAGCCGATTAAAGCAGATCAAGCAAAATGTCGGACTCATCGGACGATGATTTGGTTTTATTAGAACATGTTTATTAAAAAAATGCGAAAAACAGCTATACATCCTATAAATAGAGAAAGGAAACGTTTCGGAGAATACCATCATTTATTTGTAAAAAAATTAAATTTGATGAACAAAGATTTTATACATATACAAGAATGATTCAAGAAACATTTTATTACATTTTGGATTTAGTGAAAAACCGTTTGATGAAAAATTGGGGCAATTGGCATAAACAACCAATCCTTCCAGAAGAAAGACTTGTTGTCACCATTCGGTAAGTACGAAACAAATTATTTTAGCGCTTAGTTAATAAAAGATAAAGTTATTAGATTTATAAAAAGATAATAACTTAGATTGATTTAATCTAAGGATAATAATTCAAATACAAATTATTTATTATTCGGACCAGCGCGTGTCGGCGCTTATCGGCGCTGATCGGCGCCGATCGGCTTTCTTTCTGTATACGGCCTAACTGAAGACTGGGAAAGTGTATGGAAATAAAAACACGAATAGAGATCGCCCGCAATGCCTTTAACAAAATGAGATCAATACTGTCCAATCGCAATATCAGTATTCCCCTGCGCTCTCGTCTACTTCAATGCTACATTTGGCCTATAGTCCTCTATGGTTGCGAAGCTTGGACTATTAAAGAGGACCTTCGTAGACGTATTGAGGCTTTTGAAATGTGGACTTACCGACGCATGCTCTCAATCAGCTGGACTCAAAAAGTTACAAATATCGAAGTTCTAAGACGTGTCGGTCAAACTCGCAAATTGATGCAGATCATCAAAACAAGAAAAGTTGCCTACCTCGGTCATGTCTTCAGACACGAGAGATACGATTTACTGCAACTAATTATGATGGGAAAAATACGTCGGAAAAAGTCGTGGCTTCGAAACATCCGCGAGTGGACCGGTGTCAAGAACGCCGCGGAATAGGGGTGATGACGGGGTATAGTAAACGAAATTCTATTTAGTCCGTCAGTTAGATGATCAAAAAATAATGGACACGTATTTTTTCTTTGGGCAATGAACCAAAAAATGACAAAGTTATAGCGCGTCAAAGTTTGGGAGTAGGGGCTCGTGACGTCACTTTTGAGTGAAAATTGTACTTGTTTAATTATAAAACGTGACGTCATGCGACTTTTCAAATCAATATATCTCTGCAAAGTTTATATTATGTGAAAAAGGAAAAAATACGTGTCCAATACTTTTTGATAATCTACCTGATAAACGAAGAAAAAAAATTAGTCATCATCCCTATTGTTTCACCTCGCCAGGGACAAAGCGAGGTTTTCAAGCTGATGTCCAACCTTCAGTAACAGGAGAGGAACATAAAGAAGAAGAATGGAATTCGGGTAAACGACTAAATGTAAATGTATGAAAGAATACAGGGAGAAAAAATCAGCCTTTGCTAAATTTCATGCCGGTTCTTCTCAGTACAAGGTCTCCCGTCGTAGTTTTGCGAACCGTTGGCGTAGCTTTTGACTTTCAGATGTCGAATTGAATGTCGGATTGATGATTTTGAAAGCCTAAACTGAATAAATGAATATTTAATTGAATTGAATGAAGTCGAGTAAGCCCGGATTCGAGTAGATTTCCTTTCGTTTACAAGACACCGTCTTCTATCCCGTATTCCAGTGTATAAATTAAAATTACTTTGGATGCCTGAATTCGTGTAATGTCTTTCGTACACGCCACACCAAATGCAATTGGGGCATTTGAGTCGTTTACCCGAATAGGGTATATGACATGTTTTAGAAAACAATCTCACGTTATTGACTAATGTTTACGGAGATATTCATCATTCTGTTGTGTATTTCAGTCAAAAAAAAAACCAAATCAAAAACTCCATTTTCAAGTTGCCGCGAAAACGTTTCTCTAGACAACATGGCGTCTTACTAGTGGGTGACGTCACACGACTGTTAATAAAACGTCAAACGATTAGGGATGCGCCGCCCGAGTCGATGTAGGATCGAGGCCATACGATTTTTTGCCGGATCGTTACAAAACTTGAAAGATCGGATCGCTTGGATCGTATGAATTAAAACGCGATTTGTTTACAATAAATTGGGTAGGCACTTACTAAGGTTTCTGTTACGAACTTTATCTTTGTTTACATTTTAACTTGTCGGTATACTTTGCAGGTGGATTCGTTAATCTTATACATTCTATTATTATAAACAAAAGTTGTGGGTAAATTTATATATATACCACTAAATCTATTTCTTGCTAAAACCACATAAGTCACCTATTTCTTGCAAAAACAACAGAAGTGAAGAATAATTTTTCTTGATTTTTTTCATTATTATTATTAATGAACAGTAAAAGTTCTTGGATATTTGATTTTTTTACAACTCAAATACTAAAGTAAGCGTAAAAAAGTTCTATTAAACTCGATTGTTTGAGCATGAACCAGTTTATATTAGTTCCTGAAAAACTTTAATAGTGTGACTTAAGAGGTTTTTGAAATGACTGATTCAATGGTACTTTAACTATTAGTAAGTAGTTGGGCGCATTTCTTCGAAGTCTAAATTTTTCATAAATAACTAAGTAGTAAATATTTTTTAAATTCTCTGTGTACTTAAATTACTATTTCAGGTTGTGTTTCTTTCAAAACTAAGTACTTGTTTATTTATAACTTTTACTAGAGCAATCTTGTCTGTTCACAAGTTTTACATACTTTGAAGGGTTAACCAAATAAAAATCTAAAATTAATTGTCTTACTTATTTGTATCCGATCCGATCCGATTTCTTGAAGATCGGATCGACGGCATAAGATCCGATCAGCTGATCGGATCGTGGCATTACGATCCATTACGATCCGAAAAATCGGATCGACGACCCGGATCGCACATCCCTACAAACGATACAATGTAATGTCACTTTAACCGGAAGTTTACTTGCGTGTGACGTCATTTTAGGCTCTGCCGATCCCAAGCGTTTTGGGTCACGTGACAATAGATAAGAAAACTATTATCTTTTCATGGGTTTTTAGTTAAGATATAAATATTTATTTTGTAAAAATAGTAAAAACCCCTGCCAATATTCATTCTGAACACAGATGCTAAGAATTGGCACTTTATTTTTAATACTGTCAAATACCCTCTTCCATCGGCACTCGTATTCGGGTTAGCGACTTAGTGTAATCGCGCCATTATTATGTGATAGAAAATTCTTTCACTTACAAAGTCGATGCCGGGCAACGCATCATCCGGGTCGACGGGCGAAGTGCAGCTCACGGGTCGAGCCAGATGCGGTCGAGAGCGAGCTCGGACGCGGGCCGGGCCGGGGCACTCGTGGGGCACGCGGGGCACGCGGGGCACGTAGCGCGCGTCCCTCACCAGCCAGTCCCCCCCCTCGGGGTCGCGGCTCTCCACCACGCCGGGGCCCAGCGCCGCCACCACGCTCAATATGCTCGTGAAACCGAACCTAATGAAGTCCAACTCGCGTCTGTACCTCTCCCTGCAATCACAACGATCACCCGCTCCAATAGGGATCACGACAGGCGGAGGCTTATTTTAAAGTCGGCCACTCTCGGTCTAGAGAAGAATTAGTGAATCGAATCAAAATATATTATTATGTCGGTAACGAATAAATATTTCCAACACTAAAAGTGAGCACCTAAGGCTTGTGCTATGGGATACTAGGATAGAATACATATATAAGTATATTCATATAAAATTTCATATTAAACATCCATGACTGGAATACAAATGCTCGTATTCATCACACAATCTGCCCCCACCCGGATTCGAATCCGGGACCTCTCGAGTAGGAGACACCTTGAAAACCGGCGTACCTACCACACACCACACGGCCACGGAGATCGTCAACAAATGCCTCTATATGGGTTATGCCGCCTCTCGCAGCCAGCCCCAGATCATGCCCCTCTTGGCTCTAGGGTAAATACGCCCCTGACGACGGGATAAAATAACAGAAATTCTTTTTAGTCCGTCAGTTAGATTATCAAAAAATAGTAGACACATATTTTTTATTTTGTCAATCAATCATAAAATTAAGACAAAACGGGTCACTTTGCAAGTAGGGACTCCTGACGTCACTTCTAAGTAAAAAAAATATTGCAATTGAATGTGGGTAATCGCGCAACAAACAGTTATATGTAATGATTTTGAAACTCTTCACGCTCGTATGAATGTACGCACGTCGAGACAAGATCATCTGTACTTAACCTGATACTAGGGCAGCCCATAAAGGTAAATAAAGATTTATTCCCAAACATTGTAGACTGACCCTATAATGACCAGCTCCTCTAGCATGACCACCGAAACGCTTTTTATCGAATCTCAACTGTCAAACTCCACTGTAGTCTGACAGTTAATGTCGATATATCGCTTTATCATATCCCGTTTCGGTGGTCATGCTAGAGCGGCAGATGATAAAAAACAAAAAGTTAATGTGATGTATAAGTATACATTTTAACTGGAGATGTAAAAACGTATTTTTATTGGTTCAGAAGTAAATTTTATTTTTCTAAGTGAGAGGTTCTAAATATAATGGAGTGCTTATTGTAATATATTTTTTAAAGTGAGCTGCTAAAATAATCCCTAACTTACCTGTATAACCTAATTAATTCTGTGCACCAAACTCCTTCTGGAAATTCTGATATCAAATCCATTATTTCATTCTTCAATTCCTCCAACTTAGCTGCTTTAGTGGAGCTAGTACCTATGGAGATTTATGAATAGTTAACATTAAACTTCTACAACAAAAAATATTAATCACTACTTGTTAATATTAACCACAGTTTTAATTTTAATGAAATTACTTACTGGATGCAGTTTGCCTGCCAGAATCCCCATCATCTTTCGAGGAAGTTTTTTCATCACATTTTTCGTTTTCCGAATAAGGTGGCAGTCTCTTTTTTAAGAAATTTTGGTATGCTTCAGTAGAACAGTACTCGTGCTCAGCTGCTCTCAACTTATTAACATTATTATGCTGCTCATTTTCTTTATTACTTACACTAATATTACAGTTTGATGATGTTTTGATTTCAGGTTTATATGATTGCTTATTCAGTTGCTCTTTGACTTGGGTCTCTCCATTTTTTATTAATGGCTTTAGATTACTCTTCACTGGGTCTTCATTAATGGGCTTATTTCTAATACTGCTTGATATAAAGGTACTAGCAATGAGATTTGGTTGTGGCTTTTTTATCAAAGCTTCAGACACACTTCTTCTTTTTCCTTTACTGCAATGTATTAAGAAATATAGAAATTTGAATTTTGCATTTGATTCTTTGCATAGAAAAAATTTAATCCTCAAAATACAACAATGCAGTGTTAAAAAATCCACTTGTTCTTTCTTTTTTCATTATTAAGATATGAATAGGAATGTTCTAATTTGACCAAAATTAAAAATGACTTCATAAAAACAAAACTACTATAAAGAGAAAAGAAATACACATATTTTTAACCTTATACATTTTTTATAGTCAAATTAACATATTGTGTCAGTGCAATGCCAACCCAAGCAGTAAATGACACCACAATAACTCTTATTACTTCCGACAAAAGGACACAGCAGTTTTGTTCCAGCACATCCCCTTCTATAAAACTATAGGCACTATTTGTAATATGTTTGTTCAGTTTTTGTTGATTTTAGAATAAACTCTGAATAAATTTTGATAAAATTTATATGGGAACTGTGCGACTTTGCAATTACAAAAAAAAATGAAAACATACAGGTCAATTGAGAATCTCATTCTTTATAAAGTCGGTTGAAAACTGTATATGAACCTATCAATAAAAATTTTAAACAATTGTTGTATTCAATTTATAAGTAATTAAAAACTTACTGTTTTACTGTGGACGAAAGTTTCTGTCTCTGTACAAATTGGTCAATGTGTTTCAAAGTTTCGGGAACAATAAGAGTCAGTACAGGATTACTGGCAGGCCCCGTAAACTGTAACAACAATGACTTGGTCATAAAAGTAAATCTGCTGTAAAAACAGTAGTTTTCTCAAGAACAGTACTGACAGACTGCGTGATCTTCACCTAAAATATTTTTAAGCTACTCATAACTACTTCTCATTGTTTATCCAATACTAAGTGTTTAACATAGCTCTCATTGAGAGCATACTATGTGATGTGAGCATACATACACATACCATACTATGTGAGCAACAAATATATTCATGAGGACCTAAACATCAATACAGTCAAACAGGAGATTGCTAAACATAGTAAAACCTATCAAACTCGAATATCAACTCACGTCAATGAACTTGCCTCTAAACTACAGGGTGCAGGAAGTGTGTTACACAACGATTAAAGCGGCATGATGTCCCTACTCTGGTTGCGAGATTCAATTAAGGAACGAATAAAAAGTTCCTTGTGCTGGTATTGACATAATCGAAATTTTATACCAACTGATTGGCTTATTGTGTCAACACAGATCACCAAGTTGCAGAAATACAAAAAAAAATTCTAAGTGTGAAATTTAGGTGTAACTTTATAGGTGATACTACTTTATAGGTGGTAATTCATGTTGAACTGTTCTAAAATATTGCACAGTTCATGCTCTAAAAATCCCATGCGGTATGACCTAATGTCTTTATAATATCTAGCATTTAAACAATATTATTTTGCGAATGCATGAAAACTACATGAATGATGATCTACCCAGTTCCATTATTACTGAAATGATCTTACGAGAAAGCAGTCTCCACAACGCTCCTTGAGGAATTCAAGTGGATCCCTGAAGCCATACTTGGCCAGAGGGATCGGCGATCCCATCATGTTGCGATAGTCGCGGAGCAGCGAGCGCACGTCCATCTGCGTGGGACTCGACACTACCAGTGACCTTAGCACTGACTTCAAGTCTGTCATCTCCTGATCCATATTTGCAAAACATTGATAAACACTCAGCAGGGTTTTGAGCTAAAAACATGTGGAAAAATATGAGAAATCGTAAGTTTAATTTTCGAACCTAACTCTCCGAAATTTTGAAAGAGAAGGTTTTGTAAACAATCCGTTACTTACCTATGAAAAGGGACCGGTGAGAATCAATCTAAAAAGCTTGTTGTTTACTTTACTAACAACTTTCATAAATTCTACAAACGGAAGAGTAGCACAAAAAAGTAGGCAAAGTAGGTACCCAAAACATGAAATTGACACTTTGCGGTTTTTTTTAGAGTCTTAATTTTTTGGGAAGGCAAAAAGAACTGCCCACTTAATTTTTTGACGTGACAACGTCTTAAATTAGGTTGCGGCTGGGAGTCACTTATGAAAAAGTGTAACGCTCGGTAACGTTACGATGAGTCTCTCGTGTTAAGTTTAAGTTTACATGTACAATGTTTTAGTAAACAAAATATATTTCTATAGTTAAAATTTGTGCAATTCTTATTTTCATTCAATTCCTTGTTCCTATTGTGCAATTTAATTATATTCATATCAATAAATATTCTACCGAGAAAAAGACGTTGTCACGTAAAATCTTCGCCCGTAAAACCGACTTTACAGGCAACCATTTTTTTTTTAACTTAAAAATTAAAACTTTACTTGGCTATTGGTAAACTTGACAAGTCTGTCCTCATTATGCTTTTTAAAAAATGAAAAGGACAGGCTTATGTAAACTAGCAAACATGATGAGCCAAGTGAATTGCCGGCATAATGCATGTATGTGTTAAGATAAGTCCTTTAAGCACTTTCCATCTTGCTGAACTGGATCCAGCATACGAGAACGAGATAGCGCTATACACGTAAAAGAGATCCTGTATCTGCATCTTTTGTACATGTATAGCGCTGTCCTGCATGCTGGATCCAGCAAGATGGATAGTGCGTAGTTGACTTTAGTATGTATTTCTATGCTTTCAAATTTCAAAAATTTACGACAAAAATACTTTGACATCCACTGACGCTGTCAATGTCATTTTCCGCACGCAATTTGTTTTAGGGAAATTGAAAATAATTACGTAAGGAAAGTACGTGTAGGTACAACATTTATAAACGATGTCTTTGTTTTTCAATCGCACCTTTGGTGCAGGAAAGTTCTTAGGACGCATCATATTGAGCAATAAAAAATCACCTATAGTTCAGCGTTTAGCCACAAAAACCGATCAAGCTACGGCCCAGGTGGAGACTCGCCCGACGGTGGCTAAAATCGACCCTATACAAAAAACTCACCTTATCGATTTTGGAAAATATATTGCAGAATGTATGCCCAAATACGTACAGAAAGTTCAACTCACCGCTGGCAACGAACTTGAAGTTCTTGTACCTCCAGAAGCAGTTATACCAGTACTGCAATTTTTAAAAGACCACCACAGTGGGCAGTTTGCAAATCTTGTTGATATCGCAGGCATGGACGTGCCTTCTAGGCCCAATAGATTTGAAATTATTTATAACTTGCTATCCCTGCGTTATAATGCAAGAATTAGAGTGAAAACTTACACTGATGAACTTACACCTGTGGATTCAGCCTGTGACGTGTTCAAGGCTGCCAACTGGTACGAAAGAGAAATCTGGGACATGTATGGAGTCTTCTTTGCTAATCATCCAGATTTAAGAAGAATCTTAACTGACTACGGTTTTGAGGGCCATCCCTTCAGAAAAGATTTTCCTTTAAGTGGTTATGTTGAAGTGCGCTATGATGACGAGCAGAAGCGTGTAGTGGTGGAACCTTTGGAACTAGCACAAGAGTTCCGTAGGTTTGAGCTGAGTGCACCTTGGGAGCAGTTCCCTAATTTCCGAGGTAACCCTGCTACTGAGGAGGTCACTAATCCATCAGAAGATAAACCAAAACAAGAATAAGACTATCTATATTGTACAGAATACTGAAATATTAAATCGTGATTAGAAATAAATAATTTAAACATTATTTTATAATTTAATTTTTTGGTTAATAAGATGTGGCTATAATGTATAACTACCAATCTATATTAAACCTTGAAGTGTACTTTCGTTTCATCTCTAATTACAATAATAGTGTGTATTTTATCTATGATTCTGTTATTGTAACATAAGTACCCTTAGTACGAGTTTGAGCTCACGAAAACTATCATAGTTTTAGTAATTGTAAATTATGTTTCTATGTCCATTTTGATGAAAAGTAACCAAATATACTTAAAATTTAAGAAGACAAAAATGATTTAATGATGGAATTTAAACACTGTTTATTTGTATTGAAACGAAAACAATAAAATCAGTACCCTTAGTATGAGTGCGAGCTCACGAAAACTATCATAGTTTTCGTAATTGTAAAACTCGTACTAAGGGTAACGTTTAATGAAGATAGGTAATCACTAGTGACTTGTTCAGTAGGGAACACAAGAAGTAAAGTTTTTTTAAATCCTTTTATGGAAATTTGTTGGTACATAAAAATATTGCATATAAATATTGTTTTACCATCATCCTCAGTCACAAAGTACCTATTGCTGGGGTGCGGGCCTTTCTCAACGGATGGAATACGAAGATTGGCTATGCATGGCCTATCAGACGAACCCTATGTGGTTGGTGGGTACTGCCAATTTTATGTAAATGCTACTTTTTGTGAAATGCAAATGAGCTTCTTATCAACTAAAATGTCCTGAATGGGTGGTTAGAAAAAAAAATTATTATTCAAAAGAACTTTCTAATAAGTAAATTTTAATAAATATTTGTATTTATTAACAACTGCATAATAAATGTAGGTCACCCATCTAATAACTGGCCATTGTAAAACTCTGATTAAACTAGATATTAATTATTTTACTTTCACTAGTAGCCACCAGCAACTTTGTCCACAGTAAATTTCGTTTTCTGTGAGTGCCACAGGAACCTTGCATTACATCATAAAAACTATCATAAGTCTCAATCCAGGTCATACACATAAATATGCATACCAAATTTCATCCAAATATGTTCAGTAGTTTTTGCGTGATTTAGTAACAGACCAACTTCCGCGTTTATAATATTAGTCAGGATTATATAATAAGTAAAAGACACAGTGTGGTGCTTATGACACAGGTTTTCCTAGTTTAAGAACCACCTACAAGATTAATGCAAATGAAATATTGAAAATGGTTTGTACATTAGAAGGACAATAAACTTATTATAATTAAATACTAGAGGTCGCCCGCCACTTCGTCTGTGTAACCTTAGTTTCTTGAAAATACCTCTGGAACCTAAATTTTTTTCGTGATAAAAGTAGCCTGTGTTAATCTAGGGTGTCAGCTAACTCCATACCAAATTTTATTAAAATCGCTCCAGCTGTTTAGACGTGAAGAAGTAACAAACATACATACTTACACACTCACAAACTTTCGCCTTTATAATATTAGTGTGATCTACAAATAATGGTCAGTGCATTCGCCCGGATAGCGAAGGATGCGGGTTCGAGTCCCGTCCGCTGCCTGGTCCGCGTGGATTTTTTTTCTAGTAAACTTTTCTTTAGATTTAAACATCTAGCAGTTAAATGCTTAAAAAATAAATAAAATCATAACTACAAATAATAAGTCAAAGATACTGTGGTAAGTTTTATTATTCCCATAATCAGTTCGGGGTCTACCGGCGATACCGGTACCGCTTGAAGTGGAACCACAGCTGGAAGATGTTGTTGTGGAAGTGGCAGCGGAAGCCTCGCTTGTAGGAGTACTCCCATTCGCGGTTGACGATCTTGAAGGCGATGTCCTCGTAGGGAGGGCCAGCGTGGAACCGCAGCACTGCGAACTCGGGGTTCTCGGGGCACGCTTTCTGAATGGGACGTTCATACATTATAAAGAAATAGAATAAAGACTAGCAAACCAGTGAACCAAATGTTCAACAAATGTATTTAATTAATTGAGAACTTCGGAGATTTTGTGTGGTTTCGTTTGAAATTCGTGATTTCTCGAAAACCGGAAGTGCTACGTTACTCAAATCTGGTTTGTAGTCTTATCAGACTATTCTTAACTTATAACTTAAATATTCTCTTTATCTATCTCTTACGGTTTGGCCGCTGAAACAGCACCACAGACAGACGGAATTGTCTAATAGATAAGAGATAGAATAAAGATAAGAGAAATAGATACAGAATAAAGGGAAAAAGGCCCCAGCGAGATTTGCCGCCAGAGGCAAATCGGAATAAAAAGAAAACAAATGGGGCAATGACTTCAGTCCCATTACTTGCCTTCGTTGGCAAACCCGCGGGGCGACTGGGAAGAAAGTCCCCCCGCGAGAATTGCCACCGGAGGCAAATGGGAATTTAAAAAAAAGTCAAGTGGGGGCAATGACTTCGGTCTCGTTTGCCTATGGGGGAAATCGCGCGGGGGCGACTGGGAATAAAGGTTATGTCTCATGCTTATCCCACACCGCCGTGGCAAGCTTCGGGTGGCTTTGGTACTAAAATACGCAAAAAATAGCGTTCGAACTTTGAATTCAGTACGTACTTTAGCTGCCATGCAAATTGATTGTTTTCCACAACCTCTTTTTGTGTAAAATTATGGCCAGTCAAGCTATCGTTTATAGACACGCAGCCCGCTGATTCTTCACGAAAGAACTAATCTTTTAAGTTCGACTCACTATAATAATTTTCTTCAAATTAACGCGTGGCCGGGGCCCTTAGTTTGTAATATCAATAGGATGTATAAAATAGGTAGGTACCAGCGAGAACTCTGGCGTGGCGTTCTTGTCAATGAGGTCTGGGTAGAATATGTTGAACTTGTAGCCTTGCACGATATTGTTTGTAGCATTAATAGGATGTATAGTATAGGTACCAGCGAGAACTCTGGCGTGGCGTTCTTGTCAATGAGGTCTGGGTAGAATATGTTGAACTTGTAGCCTTGCACGATATTGTTTGTAGCATTAATAGGATGTATAGTATAGGTACCAGCGAGAACTCTGGCGTGGCGTTCTTGTCTATGAGGTCTGGGTAGAATATGTTGAACTTGTAGCCTTGCACGATATTGTTTGTAGCATTAATACGATGTATAGTATAGATACCAGCGAGAACTCTGGCGTGACGTTCTTGTCGATGAGGTCTGGGTAGAATATGTTGAACTTGTAGCCTTGCACGATATTGTTTGTAGCATTAATACGATGTATAGTATAGATACCAGCGAGAACTCTGGCGTAGTGTTCTTGTCGATGAGGTCTGGGTAGAATATGTTGAACTTGTAGCCTTGCACGATATTGTTTGTAGCATTAATAGGATGTATAGTATAGGTACCAGCGAGAACTCTGGCGTGGCGTTCTTGTCGATGAGGTCTGGGTAGAATATGTTGAACTTGTAGCCTTGCACAATCTTGGGTGGCGGGTTGTCCATGTCGTAGTGCGTCTGGTTGTACTTGTTCCATTCGAAGCCAGTATGCACTCTGCGGACAGGGAGACGTATTATTTTTATTGAACTATCATGACTGATCTGGAACCAAAACCACGAGATGCAAAAAGAATTATCTTTTGTCTGATTGTTTAATTTAAACATTCATTACGATTTTGTGTGCTTTCATTAGAATATTTATTGATTGTCATGTCAACACAGCGTTGCCAGATTTTTTTTTGCCAAGGCGGGATTTAGATTTTTTTTGCGTGAAAAGAGCGGGATTCTTTCATCGAAAGCGGGACATAGTACAAAACCTATATAGGTAATCAGAAGTTTTTGAATATTTATCTTTTTGTTTGAGTTCGAATTATATTTACGTAACAATACATAATTACCTAGTAAAAAAATCCATAAAAAAGTATTTAAATATAATATTTTAAATCAGATTTACCCACCCTATCGTTAAATAGTTGTCTTAGTTAGTTCTTCAGGGCGGTTTCCGCACTTAGTCCTAATTATTGGATCTTATTCGTCTTCTGATTAAAAAACGCTGTGTCAATAGAACATTGCTCAATAGTATCAAATTGTTTAGCCAAGTTCTTGACTGAAATTACATACAGTCTCAAATTGAAAGTGACATCTGCTTTGTGTTGCCAGTCACAAACATTTTAGCCCTTTTTGGGAGAATCGTTGACATACTTGGAGTAACTTTTTAAATTTCTTTTTTCTACCGATTTTGGTAGTGTTACCAAAATCTACTTGCTTTGCTTTTGGAGTGCTTATTCGCTTCGCACTATATCGCTAGTCTAATAATAATATTTGCGCAGGTTGTACGAAAAAGAACTAACCGGGAGTTTTTAACGTGCAGTATTTGTGATGGAGTATACAATATTGAATGCGACAATTATTCTTACAAATTATTTAACCTTATGAGTAAAGATAAAAAAAAATTGGCTGCGTCCGGTTTATAGGAGCAAAAAAAAAGTCGACAATACCAACACTCTTGTTCAAGACTATAGTTTACAAAAAAATCCTGGCTTGCCTGATAAGTCTTCTGACGAAAGCAACATAACTATTAGAAAATTTCCAATCGACGAACTAACCAACATGTCACCGCCCTCTGTTCCATCTCTATTACCAGTTAACGATACTTTGTTGGAGACAATACGTCGGGAAATATAGCATTCTGTTTCCGAGTCTGTGGAGACTATGGTAAGGATGTACTTTACAAAGGAGTTCAATGAAATAAAGGAACTAGCCGCTTTGCGGGATTTGCAGAGCAGTGTGGAGTTCCTTAGTGGCGAATATGATCGCGTTAAGTCTAAAGGACATTGCTCGTTCCCCATACATTTAATGCCCTAGAACGCCCAGCAATGACAAAATGCTAGTTGTGTTCGGAATCATTCATAAACTCTAATTATGCATTTGTTGAGATGCGGACAACTTGAGGAACTGTGGCCTACTGCAGAATGTATTAGATTTTGAGGTTATCATTATTATACTTAATCGTAAAAGATGTACACTTTATATATATTCTGAATAGATTTAGTGTTTACTTTACTTTATTAAATGAATATAAAATGCAATTAATAATAAAAATAATAAATGCTTATATTCATATTGATTTATGAGTGTTGGCACCTGCAGTAATAATAGATTTCTTTTCAAATAAAATGTTCAAAATCTTTCCATTTACCTGTTTCTATATTTTACTATCGGTAATTAGGTATGTACCTGGTTATCATTATGATTTTCATAAAAATAAACAGATATTACATGGGATGGGAGTATAAACTATCTTTACATAATTTCAGAAATAATCTTTTTATAAATATAATATAAATACTAGTAATAAGTATTATTAACTAAGGTACCTTGTTCTATTTTTATGTTGATAAATACCTATGGTCGCCCATATTGCATTTATTAAGGTAAACAATCTTGGCACAACTTTTTAACAGAATCACCCATTTAATAATAAAATATTAACGAAGCCAATAAACTATTAAACTAAATCGTTATTATAGACTGAAACCTATTGAATCCAGTTATCAGTTGATTTTTAATGTTGTATTTTCAATTAAAAGGAGTGCCAAGATTTTTTACCAAATAGGACAAGTTGGATGAACAGACTGTAGTATCTAGTAACAGAACTTTTATTTTTTATTTTTTTAAACAGATTGTCCGTTTACTATAATTAATTGCTAATAAGTTAAAAAAATAATAGAAAAATAATAGTGAAGGACATTCTTTTGGGCACGCTAGGGCCGATTTCGTCGATGTCTCTGAAGAGAAGGTGAACCTGCTAAACAAAGAAAATGCATCTCTGACGAGTACAGTGGACGATATCACTGTGGCGGCGACATCTACATGTTCCATATATAACTAACATGGAGGAAATAATCACTCGCCTCCGCAAGAGATGGCGCTACCTGCGCTGCGATCTCAATAGTATGGAAGCCTAAATCGCGCAAGTAAAAGTCGGAACTTATACTCGACACTCGACTTCGACGCTCATAGTCGTGTCATTGTTTATTGTTTAGGTTTGCTTTGGCTGTGCCTTTCCTTGCTTCTTCTGTGCTTGTGTATCACCGACTGCGTTCTGTACTTCTTCTATTATAAAACTTTATTCTGTGCTTGTGCATTAAACTGTTAACTGTTTATACTGTCTAGAGTAAATCTCAATTATATAACAATATTTTGGACAAATTAATCACACAGCAGCACGCTAGGCGGATGCAGTGTACATAACTATAAAATGCGATGTAATGAATAGTCATGTACCTAAAGAAAATATAACTAGAAAAAATTCCACGCGGACCAGGCAGCAGACGGGACTCGAGCCCGCACCCTTCGCAATCCGGGCGAATGCACTGACCAATTATGCTACCGCGGCCCTCACAGACCGCGTCGAAATTCCTCTAGCCATTCTTAAGCTGCAAGGCAGCGCCATCTCTTCGCATTATAGGTAACCCACAATGTCAAATGAATACTTTTACAAGTATTAAACAATTAAAAGGGACTTTTTGGCGGGATCGGGAAGCGTCACTTTAGCAGTTTTGTTTTTCTTGTTAAAAATTGTGTTGTGGCGGATGTTAGTGTCTAATAATCGTGGATTTATTATTAACTACTAAGTGTTCGGGAACATGCACAATTATTGACAAGTGAAACAAAATAGCGAAAAGTGTCTTTCGACGTTCCCTCAAGAAGTCCAAGTTCCAGTAAATCTCCACACTTTTACTGACGTGGGAAAAGGGGGATTGACTTGACTGCCACTTACTTTGACTTGACTTATTATTTTGGCCACGAGTGCTATAGTGTTTGTATACATACATTTAACACTTGACATTGGCTAAATGCACAAGCCAAAAAAAAAACATTTGAAAGAAGAAATAGTAATTATAGTTATATTTTTTATTATTTTAAAGCATATAACTGCCTGATGTTTAAATCTAAAGAAATATAAAGAAAAGTTTACTAGAAAAAAATCCACGCGGACCAGGCAGCGGACGGGACTCGAACCCGTATCCTTCGCTATCCGGGCGAATGCACTGACCATTATGCTACCACGGCCCTATTAGCCGCGTCGAAATTTTCCTAGCCTTAAGCTGCAAGGCAGCGCCATCTCGTCGCATTGTAGGTAACCCACAATGTCAAATGAATACTTTTTCAAGTATTAAACATTTGAAAGAAGAAATAGCAATTATAGTTATGATTTTATTTATTGTGGGTTACCTACAATGCGAAGAGATGGCGCTGCCTTGCAGCTTAAGGCTAGGAAAATGTCGACGCGGCTAATAGGGCCGTGGTAGCATAATGGTCAGTGCATTCGCCCGGATAGCGAAGGATACGGGTTCGAGTCCCGTCCGCTGCCTGGTCCGCGTGGATTTTTTTCTAGTAAACTTTTCTTTAGATTTAAAAATCTAGCAGTTAAATGCTTAAAAAATAAATAAAATCATAACTAAAGAAATATAACTAGAAAAAAACTGTTTTTTTCTAGTTATATTTTCTAAAAATATAAAAAATGATGTGGTGTCGTGGGACACCAGGTAGGAACGAAGTTCCTTCGGCTAATGCGCATTTAACGGTTTTATTCCACGCACTTTTTTCCACGGATTTTTTCTTAATATACTCTTTATTGCACACAAAAAATTGTAAGATACAAAACATAAATATGTGAGCAAAGGAGGGCTTATCTCTAAGAGAGATCTCTTCCAGCCAACCAAGGTTTAGTGAGAGAAAAAAGTAAGCGGGTGTAGAGATGTGCACTAAGTACTTACTTGCAGATTATATAACTATCTAAGACTACATACATAAATATATATTCATATGCATATACACAAATACTTACAATAAATACATACATACATACACACATACATACATATATATACATATACATACATACACTATAAAATAATAAATACACATTACATGAAATTATGTTAAGATAAAACAAAGAGTGGAATAAATAGACAACTAAGAGTGGGAATTTATTTCCAGAAAGTGCTCTTTGACCTTTGCTTTAAAAGAGACAATAGAAGGACAGTCTTGAATATAAGAGGGAAGTCTGTTCCAGAGTAAAGCAGCACGAACAGAAAAGGAATGGAAAAAGAAGTTGGTATTACTTTTTGGTAGTTCAAGTGTCTTCGTGTTGCAAGACCTTTTAGGACGAGTAGGAGGAGGAAGCGTTTTGAAACGGGAAACAAGGTAATGAGGAGAACTAGGATCTTTGAGGATTTTAAACAAGAATGATAGGATATGCATATCACGTCGAAGACGAATGGGAAGCCATTTCAATTGAGAGCGAAAAGCAGAAACTCGGTCATATTTACGCAATCCGAATATGAAACGAATTGCAAGATTTTGGAGACGCTCTAGCTTATTCAATTGATCTTCAGTTACATCCAAGTAGCAAATATCGGCGTAGTCGAGAATGGGGAGAAGGAGTGATTGCGCCAGCATAATTTTGGTTTTGAAGGGAAGAAAAAATTGAAGCCGCTTGAGGGAGTGAAATGAGTAATGAATACGTTTACTGACTTCACTAATATGTGGGGACCATGACATTGTGCTATCCATAATTAAGCCCAGGTTTTTCACTTTATCGGTGTAAGGTATAGGCACGTCGTTATATTTAATGGGAGGTATCAAGTTCCAGTCTAATTTGTATCTAATCCTGCTACTACCGACAATCATGGCTTGACATTTATTCGGGTTAACTAAGAGACCAAACGAAGCAGTCCAGTTTTGAATGGATGTTAGATTCTTATTTAAAAAAGTAATGGCGTCAGTGATTTCAGCTAAGGCAAAATCTTTATAAATTTGCAGGTCATCAGCGTAAAGGTGAAAAGGGCAAGAGAGGACACGAGAAATATTGTTAATAAATAACGAAAATAATAAAGGTGAGAGAACACCTCCTTGAGGCACACCAGCTGATACATTCGACCAATCAGAGAATTCGTCATTTAGTTGGACACGCTGGAATCGATTGAAAAGATATGAATGGAACCATCCAATCACAGAGGAGCACACGCCAAAGTAACTTAAAGTAGAGAGTAAGAGGTCGAAGTCGACACAGTCAAATGCGCTGCTCAGATCTAATAATACGATAGCTGTTAGTTTGGTGTTGTCCATAGCAGAGCGAATGTCCTCAGTTATGTTGAGCAGTGCACCAACTGTGCCGTGAGATGGGCGAAAACCGGATTGGTAAGGACATAATAAGGAATTAGATACGAGAAAGGAATACAACTGTTTGTGGACTACAGATTCTAAAACCTTAGAGAGTAAGGGAAGAATAGAAATAGGCCGAAACTGGGAGAGTGAAGATGGATTGGGAGTTTTTGGAATGGGAATGACATGAGCTTTCTTCCATGATGACGGAAAGACATTGTTTTCCAACGAAGAATTAATTATGTGTGTGATTATGGGAACAATGTACTCCAGCACCGGAAGAAGCATGTCTAGACTAAGACCATCACTACCAATGGCTTTGGTGGAGATAGATTTAATACTTTTTGCCACGTCCTCCTCTGAAACTGAGTTGAAAGAAAACGAGGGATGATTATTACTTTGAGGTTGATTAAGACTAGACAATAGGGAGAGGGTATTAGACTTAGAAAGATTATCTAGAGTCAAAGGTGGTGAAGAAAAGTGTTTATTCAGGGAATTGAGATCTATGATATTCTGACTTGTATCCGTTGGCTTACCTACTCCCAATGATCTTAAGAAACTCCAGATCTGCCTCTGGTCCGAACCCTCAATTTGATCATGAATATACTTGCGCTTAGCATCCCTGCACATCCTATTGCAAAGATTGCGCAACTTCTTGTAAGCTTGCAAGTTCTCAATAGACGGTGAAAGTTTTTGACGGCTTTTAGCCTTGTCACGCTTTGCCATAACTCTACGAATGGCTGGAGTCAACCAAGGGGCGGGAATGTGTTTAAGGCGAACTGGTCGCACTGGAGCATGAATGTCGTACATTTTCGTCAGAGTACTAGTAAAATATTCCACCATCGCATCTATATTGTGAGCAAGTAGAACCGGAGACCAATCTATATCTCTCATATCAACCCTCAAGCGTTCAAGATCCATTTGCTTAAAATTGCGCAGAAAACGAACTCTAGGTTTGGCTTTGGGAACACGTACTTTGTGAGATAGAAAGATGAGGTCATGATAAGAAAAGGGTGCTGTCATTTGTCCATGAGCACCAACCAAGTCAGGGTTAGAAACAATAACAAGATCAAGAAGAGATGGTTTGGAGTTTGGGAAATAATGAGTTGGAGACGACTTTTGAAGAATATGGAGATTGAGAGAAGATGTCAGACTATTAAGCTTACCAGCTCTAGTATCATTTTTTAAAAGACAAGTGTTAAGATCACCCATCAAGATGATCTGGTCGTAAACAGGCACTACATCCTCAAGCGCACTCTCAAGAGAGTTAAAATAATCCACCTGATCGTTTGGACTATAAAGGGCCCCTAGGAGAATCTTTGTATGGCGTGTAATAATCTCAACAAATAAATATTCAATGGCGCCAGTGTAATGTGATGGAGAATGCATGATTACTCTGGCAGGAATATGACTACGCAGATAGATACCTACACCACCGCCCCCTAGACCAGTGCGATCATTGCGAAAAAGCTTATAGCCCGGGATAGAGAAACATGTGCTAGAAAGGGAAGGCTTTAACCAAGTTTCCGAAATAAGTATACAGTCAACTACGCCATTGTCAAAGGAAGTAAGAAGATCATTATAATGGGATGGAATACTTTGGGCGTTGATATGCACAAGGGAAAGAAAATTGGGATTTTTACCAAAAGTTTCTAACAATTTGTAATTCAAAGGTTTTGAATCAAAAAGCAAAGAATCATTACTATCTGCACTTTCATATTCGTCAGACGAACAAGAAAAATATTCATCATTCACTAACATATATAAAGATAATATATATAATATAATAACAAAAAAATAAATAAAATAAAATAAAATAACAGTAATAAAAAAAAACCAATTAATTTAAAAAACCTCCGTAAGCCCAAGTTGACTTGAAGAAGAATCTCCGATAACCGGACACATTTCAAGGCAAAACAGCTACAGAAAACAAAACACATTGGACAATAGGTTTATGCCGATTACAAATTTTGAAATTTAATTTTAACCAAAATTAGTTAACGTGATAACAAACACTGTCATGAGAAAAAAAAAGTTCTTTGGCTGTATGAATATCATTACCTTGTCTTTAAAAAAGAAGTAAGTAAAAAAAAACAATGACATTTGCTCTACTGCAGTTTAGTTGACATTGACGTGACAGATTACCGACAGTATTTTGATTCTACTTGTAATCAAAAAGTATATTCTGTTCAATAAAAATAGATAAATTACGGTAGAATAACAATTAATGTTCATTTGCGACCAAAATAGCTCGCACGAAGTGAAGTTAGTAATTGAACTACAATTATCGACATACCGCACAGTTCAATGTTATAGTCCGACAAAGAAATAGAGGACAGGCAAACCGAAATGTTACTTGACACTTTCTTGAACCACTTCCTCCGATTGATTTGGATGCCTGAGTATCAATTGTTGGAGATCATTGCTAGAGAAGATTTTCTTACGCACACCGTCCGCCAACAGAACAGAAATAACGCCTTCAGTTGACCAGCATTTCTTCCTACCAAAGTGTTTGCGAGCTGCTACAAAAAGTTCTTGTCTCATCTTAGTAAGGAACTCGGATACTGATATATTAGAATCCTTCAGCTTGGTTTTACTGTTCCACACCATCATGCGTTGTTTCATTGAAATAAAGCGAACCAGGACTGGACGATTTGAACCCTTTTTCTTTGTGCCAAGCCGATGACAAGAGCCAATAGCTTCAGAACTCATACTGGCCAATTGTAATTTGGTGGTTAATATGGAAACAGTTTTGTTTACTATATCTTCATCCTCATCCTCCCTGATCCCATGAAACAAGAGAACCTTCCTGCGGGTATATGCATCCAGGCGATCCAAACCCAATGTCAGCAGTTCAATCTGTGACTTTAGTATGGAGAGTGTCTTCCAGACAAATGTCTTGAACGATGCAAAGTCAGCAGCTAAGGATTTTACCGTAGTGTTGGATTCTTTTGAACCAGGTACTTGAAGATGTTTTTCGAACTCGGTCATCCGGCTGTCAAACATTGTAGTGAGATCGTTTATACTGTGAAGAAGCTGTTCTGCCGTGGTGCCCATGGTTACACTGGAGATAATGTTTGTGAGGGTGTAAGAGATATCAACTTAGCCACTGGAGATATTACTTTCTAACCATAAAGACTATAAATATTTTTAAATTTAAATAAAACTATGAGCAACTTTTATAAGTGTCATTCCTTTCACGCCTACCCGCGAAAAAAAGTATGGTTTTACTATCACATTTTTTTCAGTTCGGTCGCGCAGCAAAATCCCTATCCGCTCCAAGCCTGCCGTAAGGAACTTCGTTCTAATAATAAAAATGATAGTCACGTACCTGTTGAAGTATCTGGGTTTCCTGGGGCGGTACTTGTCGGCCCACAGGCAGGGCGCGGCGGGCAGCCCGTGCTCCGCGCTGAAGGGCAGGTGGTCAGCCCCCCCCGCCCCCGCCCCCGCCCCCGCGGCCTCCAGCGTGCGTCGAGTCTCGCGCTCCAGGGCTTCCGTGCTACTGCCTACTGCGCCGTCTGCGGCCACATCCTACACGAAACGCGATAACAGATCCTCATCATCATCATCATCACCAGCCTATTAATGTCCCCACTGCTGGGGCACAGGCCTTCCCTATGGATGGAATAGGGAGTGCGGGCCATGACCCGCCACGCGGGCCCGGTGCGGATTGGTGGGTGCTAACGACTGCAAATGCAGCCGGGACCGACGGCTTAACGTGCCTTCCGAAGCACGGAGGAGTGAGAGATAGTAAATTTTTGGTCACCCATCCAATGACCGACCGCGCTAGCCACCTGCGCCATCGAGCTCCACAGATCCTCAATGTTTGTAAATTATATTCAAACTCATAGATTCCATATCGCATGTAACCTGAAAACTGTCTAAGGGCCCCTTGCGCAGTCCAGAGTTAAGAGTAAATTCTGACTATTTAAGAGCCCTTTTACAAAATTGCATCGCTGCCGTACTAATCGGCGCGTAGGTAGATTTGCACTAGTATATATTGCATTTTACGGGTGATGTTTAGAGTCTTATAAAATAAGTATTAACGAACTAATTATAAAAATAGATAGATATTTCAATAGCTCAATTATGGAAGATTAGTTTTATTAAAAATTTTGATAGCGATTCTATTTAATTCAATATCAAAATACGAGGTAAACCTGCATTATTTTTTTGGAAAACTCACGGAGGTTAGATGTTTTTTTTTTTGATAATTAATGAGATAGAAAATCAAAATTCTAATACATTATGTTACAACAAAAATAAAAAATGGTTGCCTGTAAAGTCGGTTTTACGGGCGAAGATTTTACGTGACAACGTCTTTTTCTCGGTAGAATATTTATTGATATGAATATAATTAAATTGCACAATAGGAACAAGGAATTGAATGAAAATAAGAATTGCACAAATTTTAACTATAGAAATATATTTTGTTTACTAAAACATTGTACATGTAAACTTAAACTTAACACGAGAGACTCATCGTAACGTTACCGAGCGTTACACTTTTTCATAAGTGACTCCCAGCCGCAACCTAATTTAAGACGTTGTCACGTCAAAAACATATTTCTGATGTCTTTATAATTAATTTGATCTAATTTATTAAACATTATTGAGAGATTCAGGCGTTTGAAGTTGTGCATATTATCGTTTTTTCTGTAAACTAGCTGCAGTAGAACGATCAGTACAAAAAAAGGAAAATAGTATTTGCAAATATTCTACGTTAACTTTCAAAAGGAAGAATAATTCTACGGTTAACTTCTATTGGAAATATTCAAAACCTTTTCTAAGGGGGTAAATAAGGCGGTTAGAAATTACGATTTTTTGCAAAAAATGTGAAAGGGCTCTTAACCCGACAAAATTGATGGGTTAATCGACAATATTAAATACCATAGATATGCCTCGTGCGTTTAAAAATGTGTTCCAATCAAGAAGTGCTCAAACACGAGTCTAGCAGTAGTTGGTTGATAATCCCGCGCGGAGCTTCGTGAAAAAATCCGAAATTAATGTAATAGGGATGATGACGGGGTACAGTAAACGAAATTCTAATTAGTCCGTCAGTTAGATGATCAAAAAATAATGGACGCGTATTTTTTCTTTGGGCAATCAACCAAAAAATGACAAAGATAGCGCGTCAAAGTTTGGGAGTAGGGGCTCGTGACGTCACTTTTGAGTGAATTTTCACTTATAAGTGTACTCAAACGTGACTTCATGCGACTTTTCAAACCATTATATCTCTGCAATGTTTATATTATGTGAAAAAAGAAAAAATACGTGTCAAATACTTTTTGATAATCTACCTGATAAACGAAGAAAAAAAAATTAGTCATCATCCCTATTGTATATGCATGGTATACTCACGTTGCGAGCGGGCGCACGAGCTTGCGCGTGCGCATGCGCGGCGTGCAGCGCGTGTCGCAGGTACCTGACGAAATATCAACATTATTATTGCACTCAACACCAACTTCAATACAACATTATATCATACGTTTGGAACGATGTTATGGTTACTAGGGAATTGGTGGTTTTCATGTTGCCAATAAGCTGTTTCAGAAGATTTAAATAGATATTTATCTACAGGCATGCTTGAAAACTGCTATTTAAGATTCTGAAACAGTTAACTTCTTGCCAAGTTTCACCAGTTTCGGTGTTATTTTTTTTATACTTCGTAATAACAATCTTTCGCTTTTTTACATCCGTTCCGCGCCAAGGGCTCGCTCATTAGACACAATTGTCAATGCTAGATGCGTGGTATTATGAATATAAAAAACAACACAGCGCCGAAATTTTTAATGAATTTTAAGATCTTAGAACGCCCCATTTAGAATCTTGTATAGAGGATTCATATCATAGGTGAAGATAAAGTCTTGGATGCAACTGTCATAATTAGGTATTAAAACACTCATGAGAGCTCATTATACAACAGTTGAATAAATGACTATTTTTCAATTGTGACTGTTTTCGGAACAAAAGAAACTATAGGATTGATCTAGTGGAAAAATCAGAAAGAGTTTACTAAAATCTAACGGCATCCATATATTAACTGTACGCAACATTATAGCGCGAGTCACAATCATACAGCGCCATCTATCGACACACGAAGTAAAAACTAAGGATACTTAACATATTGATGACACACAACCAATAGTACTGGCCACATTGACACAACGCCATCTACTGATGCACAGATTAAACACGTATTTTAACAGTGACATTGAATGTTTTAATGTTAGCAATAAGCGCTAACTGTTTCGGAATCTATAATAGAGGTTTTAAAGCATGGGGGTAGATAAAAAGGATTCGAAGCATGAGTGTTGTAATAAATCCATGCTAATATTGTAAATGTGAATGTGTCTGCGTGTCTGTTACCTCTTCATGCTTAAACAGCTGAACCGATTTGGATGAAATTTGGTACAGAGATTCAGTTGAGTACAGTTTGAGTCATAAAGAACATAGGATAGTTTTTATTCCAAATATCATCTTTTAAGGGGGTGAAAAGGGTAAAGGGTGAAACACAGTAGGCGGGCACCCACTAGTAAATAATATTTATTTAAAGACTCACATCAACCGCGTGTGATCGTCCTCTGGGTCAGTGAGTAAGGTGCCGGGTTCCAAGTCCTCAGATTGCAGCAACACCGGCGAATATCTGCCCGCCTTGTAAGCTGCCGACGACACTTCGCACTCGTCGTCGGATTCCTCCGCGTCTGCGGCCGCTTCCGCTACAGCATCCGCTTCCGCTTGTGAGCTGGGACCGGCTTCAGATGCTAAGGAGTCTTCGGGTTTCACTGTCTCTTCAGTAGCTGGTGGTCTGTGAAGATTTCACTGATTAATTATATTATTTAGAGCAATTGCTAACCATAAAGATAAAATTTGCTATGCATGATTATATCATATTACGCCCTGCTCCTGCTTGAGCAGCATCAGCTTGCGCCGCAGGTTGGACTGGTGCCGTCCCGCAGCTACAATATGGATATACAGACAGATATACGGACAGCATGTCAGCATACGTACTGCGCGACGCCCTGCTCCTGCTTGAGCAGCATCAGCTTGCGGCGCAGGTTGGACTGGTGCCGTCCCGCAGCTACAATATGGATATACAGACAGATATACGGACAGCATGTCAGCATACGTACTGCGCGACGCCCTGCTCCTGCTTGAGCAGCATCAGCTTGCGGCGCAGGTTGGACTGGTGCCGTCCCGCAGCTACAATATGGATATACAGACAGATATACGGACAGCATGTCAGCATACGTACTGCGCGACGCCCTGCTCCTGCTTGAGCAGCATCAGCTTGCGGCGCAGGTTGGACTGGTGCCGTCCCGCAGCTACAATATGGATATACAGACAGATATACGGACAGCATGTCAGCATACGTACTGCGCGACGCCCTGCTCCTGCTTGAGCAGCATCAGCTTGCGGCGCAGGTTGGACTGGTGCCGTCCCGCAGCTACAATATGGATATACAGACAGATATACGGACAGCATGTCAGCATACGTACTGCGCGACGCCCTGCTCCTGCTTGAGCAGCATCAGCTTGCGGCGCAGGTTGGACTGGTGCCGTCCCGCAGCTACAATATGGATATACAGACAGATATACGGACAGCATGTCAGCATACGTACTGCGCGACGCCCTGCTCCTGCTTGAGCAGCATCAGCTTGCGGCGCAGGTTGGACTGGTGCCGTCCCGCAGCTACAATATGGATATACAGACAGATATACGGACAGCATGTCAGCATACGTACTGCGCGACGCCCTGCTCCTGCTTGAGCAGCATCAGCTTGCGGCGCAGGTTGGACTGGTGCCGTCCCGCAGCTACAATATGGATATACAGACAGATATACGGACAGCATGTCAGCATACGTACTGCGCGACGCCCTGCTCCTGCTTGAGCAGCATCAGCTTGCGGCGCAGGTTGGACTGGTGCCGTCCCGCAGCTACAATATGGATATACAGACAGATATACGGACAGCATGTCAGCATACGTACTGCGCGACGCCCTGCTCCTGCTTGAGCAGCATCAGCTTGCGGCGCAGGTTGGACTGGTGCCGTCCCGCAGCTACAATATGGATATACAGACAGATATACGGACAGCATGTCAGCATACGTACTGCGCGACGCCCTGCTCCTGCTTGAGCAGCATCAGCTTGCGGCGCAGGTTGGACTGGTGCCGTCCCGCAGCTACAATATGGATATACAGACAGATATACGGACAGCATGTCAGCATACGTACTGCGCGACGCCCTGCTCCTGCTTGAGCAGCATCAGCTTGCGGCGCAGGTTGGACTGGTGCCGTCCCGCAGCTACAATATGGATATACAGACAGATATACGGACAGCATGTCAGCATACGTACTGCGCGACGCCCTGCTCCTGCTTGAGCAGCATCAGCTTGCGGCGCAGGTTGGACTGGTGCCGTCCCGCAGCTACAATATGGATATACAGACAGATATACGGACAGCATGTCAGCATACGTACTGCGCGACGCCCTGCTCCTGCTTGAGCAGCATCAGCTTGCGGCGCAGGTTGGACTGGTGCCGTCCCGCAGCTACAATATGGATATACAGACAGATATACGGACAGCATGTCAGCATACGTACTGCGCGACGCCCTGCTCCTGCTTGAGCAGCATCAGCTTGCGGCGCAGGTTGGACTGGTGCCGTCCCGCAGCTACAATATGGATATACAGACAGATATACGGACAGCATGTCAGCATACGTACTGCGCGACGCCCTGCTCCTGCTTGAGCAGCATCAGCTTGCGGCGCAGGTTGGACTGGTGCCGTCCCGCAGCTACAATATGGATATACAGACAGATATACGGACAGCATGTCAGCATACGTACTGCGCGACGCCCTGCTCCTGCTTGAGCAGCATCAGCTTGCGGCGCAGGTTGGACTGGTGCCGTCCCGCAGCTACAATATGGATATACAGACAGATATACGGACAGCATGTCAGCATACGTACTGCGCGACGCCCTGCTCCTGCTTGAGCAGCATCAGCTTGCGGCGCAGGTTGGACTGGTGCCGTCCCGCAGCTACAATATGGATATACAGACAGATATACGGACAGCATGTCAGCATACGTACTGCGCGACGCCCTGCTCCTGCTTGAGCAGCATCAGCTTGCGGCGCAGGTTGGACTGGTGCCGTCCCGCAGCTACAATATGGATATACAGACAGATATACGGACAGCATGTCAGCATACGTACTGCGCGACGCCCTGCTCCTGCTTGAGCAGCATCAGCTTGCGGCGCAGGTTGGACTGGTGCCGGTCCCTCAGTCGCGCGCGAGCGCGGTGAGCTGACAGACAAACAAACAAATATTTATGATTTTATTTATTTTTTAAGCATTTAACTGCTAGATGTTTAAATCTAAAGAAAAGCTTACTAGAAAAAAATCCACGCGAACCAGGCAGCGGACGGGACTCGAACCCGCATCCTTCGCTATCCGGGCGAATGCACTGACCATTATGCTACCACGGCCCTATTAGCCGCGTCGAAATTTTCCTAGCTTTAAGCTGCAAGGCAGCGCCATCTCTTCGCATTGTAGGTAACCCACAATGTAAATGAATACTTTTTCAAGTATTAAACATTTGAAAGAAGAAATAGCAATTATAGTTATGATTTTATTTATTTTTTAAGCATTTAACTGCTAGATGTTTAAATCCAAAGAAAAGCTTACTAAAAACACACACAAATAAGCTTAGCCCCAAAGTAAGCACTGTAAATCTTGTGTTATGCGATACTAGGGGAACGGATATAATTCGTATACTGATAAATATAAGGTTACTTTTTGTAAACAGTATATCAACATCCATGATTTAGATACAAATGCTCGTATTCATCACACAAGCATTTGCCCAGAATTCGAACCCTGGACCTCTGAGTGGGCGACACCCTGAGAACCAGCGTACGTTCACTCGAGCTACAAGTAAATGCAACTGTTATATGAAAAGAATACAAGCAGGCGCGTATTTACCCAGGGTTGAGATCGTGGCCGGGGCGGAAAGTTGCGAGGGACTGCTACAATGACTTTTGTAACTGACCTATATTTCGATAAGATTTTCTAATTCGGGGAGAAGAGGGGGGAGGGTGTAAAACGGAGGTGGCCTGGAGTGTCAGATTTTAAAATACGCCCCTGAGCATAAAAATCAATTCTGCGAAACATTTCAAGGCGAAAACTGACAACCGACACACAGGAAATAATACAAGATGACAAAAAAAATGTTATTTGGCTTATAAAAAATATAAATTAATATGTATTTAAAAAAGTTTTTCCCTCGGCTGGGTGTCGAACCCAGACTGCCGCGACAGACGTTACACCTCTGTAGTAAATTAATATCTAAATAAAACAGTGCATTAATGAATAACGGTGCAACAATGAGATTTCATACAACATTTCTGCACTGTTTTGGTTTGAGTTGAAAGGAAACATAATGTTCTGAACAATCTACTATGATACTAAATTAATTCAATGTTAAACTTTTCAACAATATATATACAGGGTGAAATTGAATGTTTCTATGAAACTTCGTGAGATTGTTGGGTTACGTGTATAGAGAATGCCTGATTCTTTTCGGATTTTTTAAAATATTTTTTTTCTTTTTTTAATTTTTATTTGGTTATTTTTTTGTCATTTCTTCCTTATGAGTAATTATTCATTTTAAACACGTCTACATAGAAGTTATAAAGCAATTTAAAATAAGCACTACTAAAAAAACGGAAACTTAATGAATGCCTTCATTATGCCTCCAATCGAGATCAGCGCCGGCCGCCCGCCGGGGTGACGACCGGCGGCCGCCTTTGTAGGTACCTACTACACGCACAGATAACTCGGCGCTTACCTACTCTCCGCTTTGATCCACACAATTTAAAAACATTACAATAAAATAGTCTTAGATGCTATATTATAATTATATATTCACTGATACACAATACCTTTGAATATTATTTCATAAAGCACAGGTAATTAATCAATAAAATAAATCTTCCGTTAGAGCAATTAAAAATCCTATAAAGTTAATATGACTGTCACGATTTTAAATCGGTAAAGCCTGTCTGTTAGTGTAAGAACTTCTTTTTTATTGTTAATGTTAGTTGCCTCGTTTAATTTAAACTTAAGCACAAACGGCTTATTTAAAATTGGGAAAAATCATACAGAGCAAATCGGTATAACTTACGAGCTTAGTGAAGGAAGGAACTCTTCGTGTCTGATTTGCCCACGTCATGAAATTCCCAACATATTTAATCACAGCCACAGTCACACACACACACACACATAATTATGTTGTTTTGCGGCAAGCACGGGCGGGCGGCGCGCCGCACGCTGGCAACTAGCGCCGGTTGCGGCGTCTTTGATGATGTGAATTCCGCCCACCTCCCCTCTACCCCGCACGCGGTGGTTTGCTTTGATTGCATGCAAAACGCAGTCGCAAGTATATCAATCGCGCGTGGGCGTGCGCATCTTTTGACTTAGTGACATACACTGATAATTTCATTATGCCTCGGTATACGAACCAAGAATATTTAGAGATGGTGTACTGCTATCGCGAGTGTGACGAAGTAGGTTTGGTTTACGAATGAGTCCCCAAACCATAGAAGTTGCATTTTGTGCAGTGAGTAGTGATAGGGACACTTTAAAATAGGTGAAAAGACACGTCCGCAAACATGCCTACTTTTGTTTGCAGCAAAATGGTGGTTTAGAGCAACAATTTTGCAGATAATAATTTAAGTCTCTTTTTATTGCTAGTGTAAATACTTTTTGATTAGAGACAACTAATTGTGTACTACCAGTGTGATTGATTTGATAAAAAGTTTTAGTGAAAAAAATGAATATGTTCCTCGTTCCTCGTTGTACCTACCTACATCGCCGGTCTCGTAAGTACTTTTGAATACCTGGTTATAAATTTCATTCTGACCCAAGTATTGAACTGCAATAAGTATTTCTTTTTGTTTAACATTTGCCTATTTCCAATCGTGACAAAATTATTATTAACTTTTAAAGTTTTTCTCTGCTTAAGAGAAGATGACATTCGTGCTTATTATTTCAATTTCAATAAAGGCATCTAAGACGATTTTATTGTATTGTGTGGAATCAAACGAGTCAGCTGAGCTCTGTGTAGAGGTACGTACCTACTTACTCAATGACTGGCGGGCGCGGTCGGTCGTTGACCCGCGGTGGAATTTTAATGTTTTTCCGTTTTTTAAGAAGTGCTTATTTATTAGTTGTTTTTTACTGGATATGTAAGTTTGTTTGTTTAAAATGAATAACTACTTAAAAGGAGGACATAAAAATACACAAATTATAAATAAATACATGAAAAAAATATACTTCAAAAAAATCCGAAAAAAAACAGGTATACTCTATACACATAACCCAACAATCTCACGAAGTTTCATAGAAACATTCAATTTCACCCTATATAAAGTTTCCTATATCTTTGAGTTGGCTGAGCAATCTCCCAGTACCCTATATCGACACCGTCTGCCGGCCGCAAATGTTCATCAATCATCATCATCATCATCAGCCTATTAATTTCGCCACTGCTGGGGCACAGGCCTTCCCTATGGATGGAATAGGGAGATTGGGTCATGACCCACCACGCGGGCCCAGTGCAGATTTGGTGGGTGCCAACGACTGCAGATGCAGACGGGACCAACGGCTTAACGTGCCTTCCGAAGCAGGGAGGAGCTCGAAATAATAAATTTTTGGTCACTCATCCAATGACTGACCACTGCGAAAGTTGCTTAACTTCAACGATCGCAGCCGAACGCGCTAACCACTTGCGCCATCGAGCTCCTCGTTCATCAATATCGGCGCAGTATTCGTACCTTTCAGTTGGCTGAGCAGACTCTCCCAGTACCCTATATCGACACCGTCTCGTCGGCCGCTGATTTTGGTTTCGATCTGCGTTTGCAGCGCCTCTAGCTGTGCCCCAGTCTTGCCCTTAAAGATCTACACCAGAAAAAACAACGTTATTATATTTCTATTTTGATTTGTGTCTATGTATGTAATAGGGGTAATGACGGGGTACAGTAAACGAAATTCTATTTAGTCCGTCAGTTAGATGATCAAAAAATAATGGACACGTATTTTTTCTTTGAGCAATCAACCAAAAAATTACAAAGTTATAGCACGTCAAAGTTTGGGAGTCGTGACGTCACTTTTGAGTGAATTTTCACTTATAAGTGTACTCAAACGTGACGTCATGACTTTTCAAATCAATATATCTCTGCAATGTTTATATTATGTGAAAAAAGAAAAAATACTTGTCTAATACTTTTTGATAATCTACCTGATAAACGAAGAAAACAAAATAGTCATACTAATATTTTTTGTACAAAACTACTGAATGAATAATTATAACAATTATTCGTTCAGTAGTTTTGTCGTGATTCAGTAACAAACAAACTCACTTTCACATTTTTATTTATCGAGTTATGAATGCAAATGGGATGCTTCGGTGCGGAGGCACGAGTGTAGCGGAGAGAGAAACGTAAGGTCACGCCCTAACGAACAAGGCAATTAAATTTTTTCTAAAAATTTACAGCTTTAATTTAACTTGCAATGTATGTATGTTTGTTCGGGTGGAATCTTGCAACTCAATTTTGAAGCAGATATCTTCATTCGATAGAGCTGATATTTTGAACACACGTCGTTTGGATGACAATGCATGGTTAGCTATGTGACGTCCTTCTAAATAAAATGTGGAGGAACATACAAGATGGCTGGCGGATTAGTTATTTTTGACTCGTACAATATGATATGAAATGAAAGGGCTTCCTAAGAATAACTCGAAAAATATAGTGACCTCACCTTAACTTCAATATGGCGGACTTAAAAAGATGGCAGACTAAGTTTTTTATACTATCCGATATTATGGGTATCAAATGAAAGGACTTGCTGAGAATATGAGGTTTTTGAAGTATAGTTCATTATGTACATAGATAACTAAAATGTAAAAAAATAAATAAAAGTAAAAAACTTTTTAAAAACAAGTTTTTATTTAAATGCGCTAAAAAGATTTTTTTCCATTAAAACTTTTACTATTAACTTATAACGTCATTACACAATTTATATAATATAAAAGCTTGTCGAGAGATTAAACTGTTAGATAAACAATATTTGATTTGATATTAATTTTGATATGACTAATCAAGTTCTAATGGGTTTTAACATTTTATGTCATCGGCAGATAACCTCAGGGTGTCTTAGACATGTGGTTATGTCATTATTAAATATTATGAATAACAAGGGTCCCAAGATTGAACCTTGGGGTACTCCGCCAGGTATCACAGCCCGTACCTGCGTGACGTCGGCGGCGACGGCCTGATGGACGCCGTCCCGCCGCGCGTCGGGCGCGTGCAGTCGGCGCAGATGAACAACAAGGGTCCCAAGATTGAACCTTGGGGTACTCCGCCAGGTATCACAGCCCGTACCTGCGTGACGTCGGCGGCGACGGCCTGATGGACGCCGTCCCGCCGCGCGTCGGGCGCGTGCAGTCGGCGCAGATGAACAACAAGGGTCCCAACATTGAACCTTGGGGTACTCCGCCAGGTATCACAGCCCGTACCTGCGTGACGTCGGCGGCGACGGCCTGATGGACGCCGTCCCGCCGCGCGTCGGGCGCGTGCAGTCGGCGCAGATGAACAACAAGGGTCCCAAGATTGAACCTTGGGGTACTCCGCCAGGTATCACAGCCCGTACCTGCGTGACGCCGGCGGCGACGGCCTGATGGACGCCGTCCCGCCGCGCGTCGGGCGCGTGCAGTCGGCGCAGATGAACAACAAGGGTCCCAACATTGAACCTTGGGGTACTCCGCCAGGTATCACAGCCCGTACCTGCGTGACGTCGGCGGCGACGGCCTGATGGACGCCGTCCCGCCGCGCGTCGGGCGCGTGCAGTCGGCGCAGATGAACAACAAGGGTCCCAAGATTGAACCTTGGGGTACTCCGCCAGGTATCACAGCCCGTACCTGCGTGACGTCGGCGGCGACGGCCTGATGGACGCCGTCCCGCCGCGCGTCGGGCGCGTGCAGTCGGCGCAGATGAACAACAAGGGTCCCAAGATTGAACCTTGGGGTACTCCGCCAGGTATCACAGCCCGTACCTGCGTGACGTCGGCGGCGACGGCCTGATGGACGCCGTCCCGCCGCGCGTCGGGCGCGTGCAGTCGGCGCAGATGAACAACAAGGGTCCCAAGATTGAACCTTGGGGTACTCCGCCAGGTATCACAGCCCGTACCTGCGTGACGTCGGCGGCGACGGCCTGATGGACGCCGTCCCGCCGCGCGTCGGGCGCGTGCAGTCGGCGCAGATGAACAACAAGGGTCCCAAGATTGAACCTTGGGGTACTCCGCCAGGTATCACAGCCCGTACCTGCGTGACGTCGGCGGCGACGGCCTGATGGACGCCGTCCCGCCGCGCGTCGGGCGCGTGCAGTCGTCGCAGCTTGCCCAGTTCGTCCAGCACGATGGTCTGTACGTCCTCCCAGTACGCCTGGTTGGCAGAGCTCTCCAGCTCCTTGTACACCTGGGCAATGAGGTATAACTCGTGACATTAAAGAAAGGAATCGCAAAAGACAAGACTTTCTGTCCCTCTCGCACATTGTTGTCCTAAGTAACGTGCGAGAGAGGCACAATGTCCTATGTTGGCTTGTCGATTCTTTTCGTTGATGATACGACATATATATCGTATAGCGGCCAATCAAACCGAATGTGTGATAGATGCTTCTCCATCACACGGCTCAGTAACGTCATTATAAGATATTTATTTCTAAGATTTTCACACACACCAATCATTAATTAAAACACTATAAACCATTTTTTTATTATTATTCCTGAAGTATTTGAAACGTCAGTAATAATGCCTGCCTTACAAGTTCGACAATCGCATTTTTTTTTTGACTAGCTACCGTGTAATATATTTATCTAATAATAGTAGCAAAATCAGAAAATATCATTAAATCTAAAGAAAATTCCTCTTAAAAAATCCACGCGAACCAGACAGCACTCGAACCCGCACCATTTGCTCGCATCGCGGATTTGTCTTTAGATCCAAACATCTAGCAGTTAAATGTTTGAAAAATAAATAATATAACTATAATTGCTATTTCTTTTCTTAAAATGTTTAATAATAGTAAAGGTTTTCGTTTGACATTTTGGGTTACCTACAATGCGAATATTTGGCGCTGTCGTGCAGCCTAAGGATAGAGAAAATTCCACAGGCCATAAGGGCCGCAATAGCATAATGGTCAGTGCATTCGCCCGGATAGCAGTCGGAGACATCTAGCAGTTAAATACTTGAAAAATAAATAATATAATTATCATTAAAATCATTTCCTAAGCTCGATGTAGCAAGTGGTTAGCTCGATCGGCTGCGATCGTTGAAGTTAAGCAACTTTCGCAGTGGTTGGTCATTGGATGGGTGACCAAAAATTTATTATCTTTCACTCCTCCGTACTCCGGAAGGTACGTTAAGCCGGCCCGGCTGCATCCGCAGTCGTTAGCACCCACTAATCGCACTGGCTAGCGTGGTGGGAAGGCGTGTGCCCCAGCAGTGGGGACATTGACAGGCTGATGATGATGGTTCCAGTACCTTGATGTCTTCCAGAAGGTCCTCCAGGTCCTGCGCCTGCAGCCCGTTCAGGTAGGTGTATGGCTCGTGCATCTCTAATGCATCCACGCATTCTTCAGAGCTCACGTACCAAGCCAGAAGGTCGATAGGCTTCGCTGAATGGGAGAACGATTAATAAATTAGCATATACTGGTATCGATTCTGGCATGATTCTCTAACTTAAACTAAATTGAACGTCAGTCCCTTCTTTTCATTCTGTGTAGAGAATGACAAGGATGTTGTCAAATTTAAGTTGAGGTTTAGAGAATCATGCCAGAGTCGACACCATTGTATAGGTATAAAATTGCCAAGAGAAAACATAACAAAAATAAGAACTAAAATAAAGTAAGTTAAATGGTTTACAGAGGCTTGGAAGGAATACTGTCAATCCCTATTTGAAGATCCACAATCACGTTGTTTTGATGCTACAGAGCCTATGGAAGAAGAGCTAGAACCTGACATACTTAAAGACGAGATGAGAGCCGCAATCAAACGCCTGAAGAATGGGAAAGCTACTGGTAGAGATGGTATCCCCATAGAGACGATTAAAGCTCTGGCTATGGCGTCCAGATATTCCAAAGAATATGCAATAAGATCTGGCAGACAGGGACATGGCCGAAAGAGTGGGCTAATACAGTCTTCATTCCATTACACACGAAAGGCTCTACGAAAACTTGCAGCAATTATCGACTCATTGCTCTAATATCCCATGCAAGTAAAATACTTTTACATGTTTTAAACGAGCGTCTCAAAGCCTTCCTATGCAAAGAGATTGCTCCTGAACAAGCTGGCTTCGTGAAGGGCAAAGGTACTCGAGAGCAAATCTTGATAATGCGCCAAATTATTGAAAAAGCTCGAGAATTCAACAAGCCGACCTATATTTGCTTTGCGGATTTCTCTAAGGCAATTGATTCTGTTAAGTGGCCTAAGCTATGGAACACTTTACTGAAAATGGGTACACCCAAACATCTTGTACACATTTTGAAGCGTCTCTACGAGGATGGAACAGCATCGGTGAGAACAGATGAATTACTGTCAAATCAGTTTCACTCCAGTACCGGAGTCCGCCTGGGATGTATCGTCTCTCCACTTCTGTTTAATGTTTACACTGAACTCATCATGAGAATTGCGCTGGAGGACTGGCAAGATGGTGTCGCGATTGGAAGTTTGACTATTTCAAACCTATGCTACGCGGATGATGAATTCCTCACATGGAAGATCTATTACATCGAATGGAAAGCGTCAGCAGAGAGTTCGGGCTGAAAATTAATCAGACTAAAACAAAGATGATGATCATCGATCGCGCTAATAACAACTCGCCAGAGGTTACACAAATCGCGAAGTGTGATGTGGTCCAATCGTACGTATATCTGGGCGCGTTAATTACTAATAATGGCGGATGCATCGATGAGATCAAACGTCGTATGGCTATAACTAGATCTGCCATGGAGAGACTAAAAAAAGATATGGAAGAACCATAACATAACAAAAGCCACAAAGGCCCGACTCGTGAGAACACTTGTGTTCCCCATATTTTTGCATGCCTCAGAAGCCTGGACATTACGCGAAAGTGAGAGACGGAGGGTAGATGCTCTCGAAATGTGGTGCTGAGAAGAATGCTTGGAATATCTTGGAGCGAATTTCATTTCAAAATTCAATTCTCCAAGAACTCGGCATCAAGCAGCGGCTGTCCTCTGTTGTCCAGGTTCGCATACTTGCTTTCTTCGGGCACGTGTCTCGCCGTGGTAAAGCCTCCATCGAGCGTCTCGTCATTCAGGGTAGAGTTGAAGGTATCCGAGCACGCAGTAGATCACCAACAAGATGGACTGACCAAATTAAAGCTATTAGCAATGATCCTCTACACGTGTGCACAAGGAAAACTGCCGTGAGGGAGGTATGGCGTCGCTTTGTGTGGCGGGTCACCCCCACTGAATCCGCCGATGACGCTGTAGTAACGGCCACGACCACGCTGCCAAGAGTGTAACGACAAAGAAGAAGAAGAAATGGTTTACAATTTTAATTCATGCTGAAAATATCATAAAAGAAAAGAAGGGAAATGCAGAAAGGACTTGTGATCGAGATGTTCACCACTACAATTAAGTATGTGGGATATATGTAGTGTCTATTTTGTATTTTAATAAGACTAGTAGTATTTTTGTTTACAGATCGATTTTCATCATACTCTGTGATGAGAAAAATACACAGAGAACATGGTACATAAAAATGTTTAAATATCATAATTACTCTTCTCTATTCATTGATGTTAAGGCATAAATTGATGGTATACGTAGGCGGTCTCAGTTATAATGCAGGTGGCGTTCTCTCGTGCCCGAAGCCCATAGCACAAACTTTGATAGATCCATAATCATATCGCCATCGTTAAATTTCCTATGGTAGGAGCCAGTTTGTTTTTATACCTGTTGTGTCTTTTTTTGATAACACAGCCGATTTCAGTTCCTTCCAATCCTCTCCATCCAAAGATTGTCTGGCTATAAGACCGCTCATTGAATCACTATGCTTACATACCATGTATTTACCCCATTTCTGTACTGTGGTGTTTTCAATAAAGAATGATGTATTGTATTTTACCCCTGGAGTCGCGGATGCGGATCTGCGAGCGGAGACGGGCCTGGTGCAGATGGAAGGCGTCCTCCTGACGGGCCCAGGAGCTGAACTGCGCGGCCTCCCTGGCTCGCGCCGCGGCCGCCGCTTCAGACTCGCGCGCCGCCCGCTCCGCCTCGCGTTCTAAACGCCGCTGCTTCACCTACACATGAAACTCTGCTATCTGACAATATCACGCAGAGACTTGCCGAAATATCACAATAGGCTACATGCTAAATTCTCGAAGACACAACAAAAAAGAGATATATGAAAACAGAAGCGGCAGGATAGAATACATCACATGCGATAGACAATAATTTCTATTCTATACAGTATCAAATTGTTTCGGATACAATCCTTTTAGAGTTTATGTTTCACAAGCACTGTTGTAGAACAATTAAAACACACTGCAACATTTTATCTTTTAGTCCAACTTCGGAATAATAATAATAATAATCTATTTATTTCTCTCAAGAATGTTTACAAAGTCTTATATTATAAAATACAAAGTATAATTAGCAAATAATTTTAACCTTTCCTGAGACTGGTGTCCGCACTAGGTTGTGAAACCTGTCATACAGATCACCAGGCTCCCACTGCGCCGGGAATAACACATTCACATTGCATTATGTGTAAGACTATGCATACTGCTCTTATTTACTTGTATTTATTTAATTTCAATAATCAATAATATAAGAAGCTATCATCATAATAATAACAATACTTTAGATTGTGGTTATTTTTATTGTATTGTCATGCATAAATAAAATAAATAGCTCAAAATAAAAATAATTATTGTTTGATTTACGTGTCAACTTCGTATTTGACATACCTTTTCCAGTTCAATTTTGTTCTCTAACTGCTTTTGCCTATTGAATGCTTCCAACTCCTCCCTTGAGACTGTTTTGACACCTTCTTTGGCCAATTTCTTGGTCCAGACAAAGGTATTAGTCAAAGCTGAATCTCCGAACGGATTGTCTTGGTTAGTGTAGCACTGGTACTCATTGTCCCAACCCATCCGCTCACGCCTTTTTCTCTCTTTCTCTTGTTTCTCTTGAAGACGACGTGCCCTGTACAAATGCAACATAACATGTCATCTAAATTAATACAATAAGTGAAGACTTCATTATACAGAACTCAGTTATAAATGTTTGCGAATATCCAGAATTTTATCCTGCCAAGCACCAACTGAAATATTTTTTACCTACAACTGACGAAACAAGGAGGAGTGTCATATATTCAAGGATTATAATATATTATGTATGTATGAGTTTCAAGGAGCACGATGGTGCAAGTCGTAAGCACGTTCTGCTGCGATCGTTGAAGTTAAGCAATTTTTGCAATGGTCAGTCATTGGATTTAACCAAAAAATGATTATCTTAAGCTCTTCCGGTTGTATCTGCAGACTTTAGCACACACCAATATTACAAGCAATGTATTTTAAAATAAATCAATGTATCACAGGTCTCCATTATCAAAGCCAGAACTATTTTAGTTTTTCTTTTATTATTACATTATGGATATCAGTCTCGATGATGATTTACAGTAAATACTACTACTGTTAGCATGTAAAAAAAGACCATAAATTATTATTATTATTAAATGGCCCCTTATCCTTTCCTCTATTATCAAATACTAGCCCCAAAGTAAGCCTGTAGGATTGTATTATGGGATTCTTGGGTAACGCATAGAATACATATAGTAAGTTAGTTTTTCAGGGCAGTTTCCACACTTAGTCTTAATTATTGGACCAGGAGTGGGAACACCTTCATGCACTTTTGTAGAGGTATTCATACATATTCATATACCTACATATTAAATATCCATAGCTGGAGTACAAATGCTTGTGTTCATCACACAAACATCTGCTCCCACCGGAATTTCGAACCTGGGACGTACGAGTAGGCGACACCTTGAAACCTGGCATACAAAACACTGGGCCACAGAGGTTGTCAAATATATTTCTTTATTCTATTTCTGCTATCAAAATTTAAGTTAAGTTTGAAGAATTATGCCAAGATCAGGCCCAAAAACAATCTCATTTGACTCTTGTAAGTAAAATAGTCATTTCATGATTGAAATTCAAATAGGATAGTTTAAAAAAATCAATACAATTGAATATAGTGGTGTCGATTTTGGCATGATTCTCTAAACCTAAACTTAAATTAGACAACAGTGTATCCACATCCCTAATAAGGCTAGTTATTGCAGTCTCTGTACACCCACTATTATTTCTTTCAATATTTCTACCCAATCTTTCCGTGTACCAGATTTAATCTAATCTAGTATTTCCAACATGGATAAAGGCAATAAAGAAATACATAACAGATTATTCAGTACACATAAAACTTAAAAATTTATATGAATTTAGAAAATAAACATAAAATAATAAATAACCATATTATACAGTACCTCTTTTCCTCAGGAGTCTCATTAGCTTTCATCAGCTCTTTTTGCTTCTTCTTCTCTTCTTTGAGACGGAGGCGTTCTGCTTCTAGTCTCTGGAGTAGTTTCAATTCTTCTTCATCTGTATCACTGCTGTTAGAGCTACTGCTAGATGAAGAATGTCTCTTCTTTTTCTTCTTACTTTTCTTATGTTTATGTTTTTTATCTTTCTTATTCTTTTCCCTACTGGAAGATCTGTGCTTGTTGGATCTGTCTGGAGAGAGTGATCTTGATTTCCGCTCATAACTTCTGGGTCTATTGTCACGTCGACGTTCTACAGATCTACTTTTAGAATGTTCCTGATATCTCGTCACCTCATGTCTCGAAGACCTGTTAAAAATAAAAATTATCTTGTTTTAACATATAGTTCAAAATAGTATTTATAAGTTTACACTCAGTTATACATGTTTCTTCACAAGATCCATATCTATTATTTAGAAAATTAAAGGTTTCATTGCAGGGACAACGGATTGGGTAAAAGATTGTACTTACATTCTTTTTCAAGAAAAAGTTGCAATAAACAACACAATATTTGGTTGCAGTAAAATTTTCACGAGAACCCACACACACAGCAATAGAAATTATTTTGTTGACATTTCCAGTCCAGGTTTCCACAGATTACGGACAAAGATTACTCAGTCAAGTCAAAGCAGACAGATGTATCGCGTGGCAAATTCCGTTGTTAGAGTGAGATCACACACGCACAGTAGAGCAGCATCCCGTTTTAACAGCTGTTTTTGCATTCAGTTGATGACACTGGGTTGCGTTTAAAACCCCGTTGTAACTTTTAATATCGAAGTTATGTCAAAATTGAAATGTCAAGGTAAAAATTTGCACTCAGAGCCTCTCAGAGCCTAGGTTTAGAACGAAGCCCGGGACTAATTGCCAACGGAGAGAACAGAACCAAAAAAAAATTGCCTTGTTGAAATTCGCTATGTATATTTGACAGCAGTCCTTTGCAGCAGTCTCTCCTCATTCAGAGCATGATAAGGTTAAAGTGTTTTCTTTACAAACAGCAAGTAAAGCGCTATACAATATGCATGCACTTTGGCACGGAACTGCACGGGCCGGTGTTGTTTTTCTGACGATTTATTGCTTTTGGTGAATTTATGTGAACGCAATTTAATTAGAAACTAAAGTGTGATTTACCTCTTGAAAATCCAAAAGACACGTAAAAACGCGTCACGTAAGTTTAGTAATTATTGTATTACTTTTGGCGTTCACATTCCAACTTTTGTCAACAGTAAGCTACATTCTCAGTCAGAAACTTTCGAAAATGTCGTTCTTACGAGGTTCGGAAAATTATGTGTGGTGTACAACGAGCGTATTAGGTAAGGGAGCCACAGGGGCTGTTTTTCAAGGAGTGAATAAAAACAATGGTGAACCAGTGGCAGTGAAAACATTCAACCAGCTCAGCCACATGAGACCTCATGATGTCCAGATGCGGGAGTTTGAAGTGCTAAAGAAAGTGAAACATAAAAATATTGTAAAGCTACTGGCAATTGAAGAGGAACAAGAGGGCAGAGGCAAAGTTATTGTAATGGAGTTGTGCACTGGGGGCAGCCTATTCAATATTTTAGATGACCCTGAGAACACTTATGGCTTGCAAGAGCAAGAGTTCCTTCTAGTCCTAGAACATTTAACAGCTGGTATGAAGCATTTGAGAGATAACAATTTAGTACATAGAGATTTAAAGCCAGGTAACATAATGAAGTATATTAATGAAGATGGCACAACAACATATAAGTTGACAGATTTTGGGGCAGCAAGAGAACTGCAGGAAGAAGAACAATTTGTTTCGTTATATGGTACTGAAGAATACCTTCATCCTGACATGTATGAGAGAGCAGTGCTGAGGAAACCAGTGGGAAAAAGTTTTGGTGCAACAGTAGATCTGTGGTCCATAGGAGTTACTTTGTACCATGTGGCAACAGGACAGTTGCCATTTAGGCCATATGGAGGTAGAAGAAATAAAGAAACCATGTTTTACATTACAACCAAGAAAGCATCTGGTGTCATATCTGTGAGTTATAATTTATTGTAATTTAACTTGTTATAAATAGAAACAAAGATATGTTTAAAAAGATCAAATAGTTTTGTGAAGATTTTTAATAATTTTTATTAAAGTTTTTTTTACCATCCAATAAAAATATGCAAATACTTCTGTCTCAGGGGACACAAACAACAGAAAATGGACCTATAGAGTGGTCACGAGAGCTACCGGCACATTGTCAGCTCAGTGTCGGGCTTCGTAAGCTGGTGACCCCGTTACTGGCTGGCCTGCTGGAAGTGGACCCGCACAGGATATGGAGCTTTGAGCGCTTCTTTTCAGAAGTGCAGATAGCAACATCCACAATTCCTGTTCATATATTCCATGTCAACAAAGCCTCTAGTCTGAAGGTATGTATTTTTATGCACTTAATTAGTCTATTATCGACTTTAAATAAATGAAAAATCTAATAAATATCTGGATAACAAAATGTAAATAATAAGTATTTGTTAATTCTGCACACACTCTTTTACTAATGAAAATAAAAACCATTTCACTGTAAAATCTATTAATCAATAGCACTTGTTTATCTTTAGTTAGTCATACTGCACTAATTTTGATATTTATTTGGAACTATTTCAATTCTCGAACAACTGAATAATATAAAAAGATTAATTTAAATGCTTTTCTTTTAATATATACTTTTATTCATTAATAAATCTCAGCTTCAAAAGATCGTATTAAGAATATATGTAGTGTTCAAGTGTCTCATGCTCAATCAAATTAATATAGGAGTGCTTCTTTGTTTTGTGCTTGATACAGATTTAATTGTATGTACTTGTAGATGTTACTAAAATCACCTTGATCCAAAACGGAGATTAAAGTTAGACTTGGTTTAAACCTAATGTTGTCTTGCTCTTCTTTTTAGCAAACAAAATTGGCAGCATCAGTTTTAATCCAGGATTGAGTACAGTCTATGTTTTGTAATAAGGTGGTAAAAATCTTCACATTGTTCTTGCTCTATAGGATATGTAAACGGATTGGGATTTCACTTTTGCATAGTATTTTATTTCTTCAGGCTGGCTCCTCAAAGAATTTCCCAAAGTTTAGTGTAAAATATCTTGTCTCGGTTTGCAACAAAAGCCAAACCATGACTAATTGTTAATTCACTCTTCATTCACTTGTATTAAAAGTAAGTATCTAACTAAATCCATTTTTACTATATTCAGAAGTGATAGGTTTCATAAAATTATACTATAGTAAAAATACTGCTACAAATTAATCAAAATATTTAAATAAAAATAATATGCTAATAATTCCTTTTGTATTTGACTATTGTTTTTAAATTTCGGTATTAATATTGAATTGTTGGTTTGCCTTGTAAATCAAGAAGGAAGCGCATTTTTCGATGTCAATATAATCCATGCAAGGGCGATTATCTGACGGCGTCACGCCACACTCGCAATCTTGGCACAGTACACATTTTAAACAGTAACTAACTTTTTCAGTATATTCATTTAAAAAATCATTCCGGTCATAAGTTAGTATATGGATAAAGTATAATTGCTAAAGTCACAGTAATGTCTGAACATAAACATACCATAACATGTAAATAACACAAACAATATAAAAACTAAGATTTTTCCCAAAAATTCTTGTAAGTTCCCTTATGTCTTGTGTGTTAGCTGATCTTTCTAAGAACAAAAAAAAAATACTTTTATTTGTGTGTAAGCACAAGTTTTTTATTACAAAGTGCTGCATTTCAATTATAATGATGTGACGAAAAATTGCGATTTGCACTTTGGTAACACAGGAGCATAACAGATAAATCAAAGTTATATTGTGCTCTTGAGATACTGTGTTAATTGATTGTGGCCTTGTTGCGGCGTGTAACCTACATTTTGGCTACCCAACAAAACACAGTTGGGCATTGTCTTACGCGCGCGGGGCTGATAGGTATCATTAAATTCCGAAATCACGCAAACGCACCGCTTGAAACATAGATACCTGTATTGCATAACGTAAATCTGCAACACCTGGTACGCGGTTATTCTATAAGTTATAAAATGATTATAACCTAGTTCCTCTATTGACGAAGGAATCTGTAAACTTGAAAGGATGTTATTAATGAAAGTAGCGGAATCAACAATTTTGTAATCATAATTAAATCGAAAATTATTTTAAAGCGGCAGGCAGGTGCTCAGTGCTGCATACTATAATGTCACCCCTAAAATTCCCTTACCTCATGTACTGAACCAATGAACACCATCATTGGTGAAAATATTGAAATTTTATCTATTTACTTTAGTGGGTACTAAATTTTACCTGATTGGGTCAAGGAGTTTGGAGTTTTTGTATACAGGATGTTGTAAAAATGAATGAGTGAAGTTCTTTCTTTAAGTCAGAGATAGCATTCTCAGATAGGGCAGCGGAAATCCGTCATTTCCTATTTCTATAGGGTACATAATTATTCGTTACCCTCATTTCTTGTACAGTACGTCTTTATAATAAGATTCAGTACGCTAAATTTTAAATCTGTCGTAAGGCGATTTCTTCTGTAGCCAATCATGCGCAACGACCTTGAACCGACTCACCTGAATCTAATTGAATATCTGAAAACTATAGTTTAAAAACAACTTAATACGCCGTAATTGGTACCTACACCATAAGATTGGTTAGGTACTCGTATAAAGGATGATTCACGCTTGATACCGTGCCCGGGTCCGCCACAAGAGCGTCGGAATTAAATAATTCTCTCGGCTAAGGGGGCGTCCATAAATTACGTGAGATGTTTAAGGGGAGGAGGGAGTCGAGTCAAATCTCATCTAATCTTACGTTGGAGAGAGGGGGGGGTCTCGGCAAACATCACGCATTTTTTTTTTCACAGTAGTATCTATTAAGTATTCTATTGTTAAATTTTTATTACACTTATAACTCTCAGCAATATTGATTACTAGTCTTAACCAGTCGTAAATAAAAGCACGAAGCATTTTTTTTTCTTTTTACAATAACAATCCAACGCGTTTACGAAAGAAACCCACATTTTGAAAAATCTCACGTGAGATTGGGGGATGGGGGAGGGGGTTGAATAAAATCTCACGACATCTCACCAGGGGGGGAGGGAGGGACAGAAAATCCAAAAAAACACCTCACGTAATTTATGGACGCCCCCTAACACTCGGTATAGCGTGAGAGTGTCCTTAAATTTTTGTTATATTAGTTGATTGACCGTGTGACGGCCGACGCCCGGACTCGGCTCGTACGTCGCCCGGCCCGGACTCAGCCCCTCTAGCATGACCACTGAAACGGGATATGATAAAGCGATATATCGACATTAACTGTCAGACTACTGTCAAACTCCATAGTAGTCTGACAGTTAATGTCGATATATCGCTTTATCATTTCCCGTTTCGGCGGTCATGCTAGAGGGGCTGAACAGTGTAGCGTGAGTCATCCTTAAAGCTACATGGGACATGAAAAAATTCCACGCGGACCAGGCAGCAGACGGGAGTCGAACCCGCACCCTTTGCTATTCGGTCGAATGAACTGACCAATTATGCTACCGCGGCCCTGGTGGCCGTGTCGAATTCCTTTTAGCCTTTCTTAAGCTGCAAGGTAGCGCCATTTCTTCGCATTGTAGGTAACCTGCAATGTCGAATGAATACCTTTGCAGGTATTAAACATTTGAAAGAAGCAATAGAAAATATAGTTTTATTATATTTTTTCTAGTAATATTTTCTTTAGATCTAAACATCGAGAAGGTACATGCTTAAAAAAAATAACTACATTGGACATGGTTTGTTGATTACTGTTATGAGACCATTCCATAGTCTCCATATAGAATACCACACACACCGTGTGATGACGATAAACCTCATTTGAAGACACTTTCACTATTCATAGAGATTCTTATCTTACGTTTCCTTGTCTTATAATTGCGTACATATTATCTCTAAAAAGTAATTAAATCTAGACAAAGCCGTGCCAAGTCTAAGGTTCCTTACTCCGATTTCTTTATTATAGTTAATGTTGTGTGACTTGGCCGTTGAAGGATACACAAGGGTACAAAACCAGGTGCTACATGACACCATCAGAATCCATCAGAATCATCAGAATAGACTGAGTGAGTGTCGTAAATGCGAAACTTTGCTTTCGCTTAACTTCGGAACTAAATGATCTACAGACTTGAAATTTTGGATTTTAAGTATGTTATTATAGCTTACTGGATGACGAAAATTTCAGCGTTCTGGTCTTATCCAGAGGTTCTAAAATAGGGGCCCGAAAATGCAGCGAAATGGTTCCAGTAAAGGATGGTACGGCAGTGTTTGCGTCGCGCTCGACTTGGCGGGGGCACTGCCGTGCCCCCAGATTTTACGTATAGCTTTAAAAAAATTAATCACCGGGTGTTGCAATCGGGGCCGTACCGTTAACCTTTGTCGCGGGGCGATTGCAGGGTGACACCGCTCTATACTCCGTATAAAAAGTGGTTATATCGTGTCCAATGGATCGCCGTAGAAGTTAATACATTGGGATTAGTTAGGTATAGCTAATTGTCTCATGCATCATGTCTTGAGTGCTTGCCTAAGGTATATGATAAACTCATACCACATGAATACTTTACCCTTAGTACGAAAGCTATCATAGTTTTCGTAATTGTAAATTATGTTTCTATGTCCATTTTGGTGAAAAGTAACCAAATATATTTAAAATTTAAGAAAACGCAGATGATTTAATGATGGATTTTAACACTGTTTATTTGTATTGAAACGAAAACAATAAAATCTGTACCCTTCCTACGAGTGCGAGCTGATGAAAACTATCAAAGTTTTCGTAATTGTAAAACTTGTACTAAGGGTACTTTATTGTAAAACTCGTACTAAGGGTACTTATCGTACGTCGTATAGGAAACGTACAGGAACTATAGCTGGTAGTACTAAATTGACAACAGAGACACTATGCGGACAGTAAAGAAAACTTACTAGACCTGTCATCGTACTTGCAATTATATAAACAAAATTATTTCTGCAATTATATTACTTTTGAATTTGATAAAAGTTTAAATCTTACGAAAACATTACTAGAAAAACTCCACGTGGGCCAGGCTGCAGACGGGACTTGAATTGAGCAGTTAAATGCTTAAAAAATAAAAATTATAATGATAAAAGTTATGGGTTATGCCCTCCTAGCATTAGCACCGCGATATGATATGGCTCTTTTTTATTACGCTCAATTGTCAAATTACTATGGAGTTTGACAGTAAGGGCGCGCGGTGCGGCAACAGTGCGGCGCCGCGGCGCCGGTACCGCGAACGCTCGACAGCAGGATTGTTGCCGCACCGCGCGTTTTGTGTGAAATAAAAGGATCGTCCGTACGCTGTACGACAAACGCACCGCTGTGAAATTGAAAGCGACAAGAAACGCTTAAATTGAAAGCGCCCTAACACGCGATAAAAAACGAGATATATTACAAATTGTATTGGTCATGCTACGTTGCTGGTCTAATAGCCGTCAGCGTCAAAATACGTCAGAAGGACTAAGGAAGGATAAGAAAGAATTTGAAGTAAATGAGGTTGTGATAACTGGGAAATTGATGCACAAAAGTAAATATCCTATGTTTCCGACATGGAAATAATGGTAAATAATTTTCTGTACTAACTTTTCATTTTTTCAAAGTAACTACTTTTCTACTAGGCAGTAAATGGTAGGTTATTATTTATGATTTATTTTTTCAGTTTAACTGCAACAGAAACATTGCACTTGCAATTTGTTATAGTATTCGTTAATTTCACTTCTAATATTATTTCTTTTTTCTAAATGCTCAATACTCATACTTGGTATGTTACTTTACTGCGTGTATCTAATATTTTGCGTTTTTCTCATAACTATGGCTGTGGTACTGGGGTGTGGGTGATTCATTCATTCAGTAAAAATAAATAAACGAAGCTTACAGAGACGATTTGATCTTTATAATGCTCGCGTTCACGAGCATGACGCATGGAAAATATTTTTTATACTACATGAGGTGTGATTGCAGGTGTTTCTGAAACCGGATGAAAAATTCGAACATCTGCAGACATACATATTGGAGCAGACCAGCGTGGTGGCCGAGTCGCAGATCATCCTCTACAAGGACCGCCTGCTGCTCACTGAGATTGAGGAGAACACGCTTGGTATTTTATATTTTTACTCGCATGTGATATGGTTTAATTTAATTTGAAGACTTTAACACCAACTAAATTACTTGTACGGGTTGTACCTATTTGTGACGTATGAGTTTAAAGTTTAAGTTTCCTATTACATCCAAGAGATTATGTGAGATGAAATCTATCCTCGTTTTTTTAGGGTATGATGAGGCCGATATGTTCTCTCAAAACCTTAAAAAAGAAGGAAACGCAGTCTATCCACGTGACACACGTGGTCACTGTGTGCCATCCTGCCTTATTATTATTCGGGATTTTATGAGCGATACAGTTCTCACTGGAGTTACTGTGACATTAAAGATCAATTGTGATTGGCCACCTCGTTAAAGTTTCTGGTAGCGAGTTGCAATGGATCGTTCAGATTTCAGCTTTTAGCTAGATAGCTTCTAAGATATCAACGTTTTCACACAAACCAAATTATTTGATAATATTATTTTCAGTTTTGTCACTTATTACAAGTTAAAACTTCATAAATATTTTCAGACTTCATTATGAAAACTGTAGGAATAGGGATGATGACTAATTTTTTTTCCTTCGTTTTTCAGGTAGATTATCAAAAAGTATTGGACACGTATTTTTTCTATTTTCACATTATATAAACATTGCATAGTTATATTGATTTGAAAAGTCGCATGACGTCACGTTTGAGTACACTTATAAGCGAAAATTCACTCAAAAGTGACGTCACGAGCCCCTACTCCCAAATTTTGACGCGCTATAACTTTGTCATTTTTTGGTTGATTGCCCAAAGAAAAAATACGTGTCCATTATTTTTTGATCATCTAACTGACGGACTAAATATAATTTCGTTTACTGTACCCTGTCATCACCCCTATTTTCAATTTGGGTTGACTCACTTTGTGGTGATCGTCACTACCAGGTAAGAACTTCCCGGAGACGACGGAGGAGCGGCCGCTGATGTTGTTCAACAAGAACAACCACAACGTGAGCCTGCCGCCGGAACCGGACCCGCCCAAGTTTCCCGTCTTCCCCAACATCGTGTCCGTGGAGAACGACGCCACGCAGGCCAAGGTAGGTATATCTTTCTCGTGTCCAACCAGAACAGCCACAACGTAAGCCTGTCGTGCCAACATTGTGTCCGTGGAGAACGGCGCCTAGATTCCAGTTCTATAATGTTATTTTATTTATTTGACAATTTCACAAATTTCAATAAAGATTTAAGATGTAGGTAGTACTCAACCGTGTGAATTGCCATTGTAGGCATGTACAGCATTGACTATATGTAGGTAGGTACTTATACTTTTAACAGAAAAAAAATGTTGTTCGGTTTGAACGTATGGTAAACAGATGATTTTTGACGGCTTTGAGTGGAGCATGAAAGATGTCAACATCATGGCATATCTCGTTGTATACATCTTTAATTCTGTTAAACGGTGAAGCTAATTTTGTTTTAAAGGGACAGTTAACGAATGATTTGATGGGTTGGCGGAGGATTTTTCTGGGAACCTTTAACTTAATTTCCGCAAGAAGGTCATGCGCAACAATATTGCCGTGAAGTAATTTTTGCAGAAATAAAATGTCCGCGGTTTTTCTACGCTTTTCTAAGGTATGAAGTTTAAAGTATTTGAGACAAGTGTGGTAATCCGCACGGTAAGGACACTTCCTGTCTTTGAAAGCAAGAAACCTCGTAAAATTACGTTGAATTCGCTCGATTCTATCAATGTGGACTCGATATTGCGGATTCCAGACTTGGGAACTGTATTCTAGTATACTTTGCACCAAACTCTTATACAAGCATAAAATTGTTGCGGTGTTATGGAAATTCTTACATAGGCGTTTCAAAAAACCCAACATTTTTAATGCCTTTGCAACAATAACGTTAATATGTTCAATGAATCCGAGCTTTTTGTCAATTACAATGCCCAGATCACGAGTCGAACCCACTTCGGTTAGCTGTGCAGAATTGATAGTATAGTTGGAAGCGTTAATGTTTTTTATCTTTCTGGTAAATTTTATAAATAGACATTTACTTGCGTTAAGAGTCATACCGTTGTCTACGCACCATTCCGATACCGAGTCTTTTTGGAGTAAAAGTATATCTTCCTCGTTTTTAATCGGTCGATACAACTTTAAATCGTCGGCAAAAAGAGAGCAGCTGCTATACCGGATTTTATTAGGGATATCGTTAATGAAAACGAGAAACAGAATTGGTCCCAAGATCGACGAACCCTGAGGGACTCCCGACGAGGTGAGGAATGGTTTCGATTTGTAGCCGTTCACAACTACCCTTAACAACCGATGCTCTAAGTAAGAACGGAGCCATAGCAGTAGGGGTCCATGAATTCCGTAACGCTTCAGTTTCATAAACAGTATATTGTGGTCAACCTTGTCAAACGCACTGCTAAAATCTGTATAAATGGAATCTATTTCTACGCCAGAGTCGATTGATTTCGTTAGTTCATTGACATACGAAACAAGATTGGTTGCTGTTGATTTATTTTTACAGAATCCGTGCTGGTTTGCATGAATGATGTTTTTAAAAACGGGCAGATAATTTTTTCAAATAACTTTGATATTGCATTCAGAATAGATATTGGGCGGTAGTTTTTAACGTTATTATTATCACCTTTTTTGAAGACTAGAATGATATTAGCCTCCTTAAGCAAATCCGGAAAAAACACCCGTAGCAATGGATTTAGCTAATATGATTTTAAGTGGCAGGGCAATGTATTTAACGGTTCTTTTAAGAAATAGTGGCGGAATGCCGTCAGGACCTGCTCCTTTACTCTCATCAATTTTGGATAAGATCTTAGTGATCATGCGTTCGGATATAGCAACATTACCGAGAGATAGCTGGGGATAGTCACCATCATTAACTAAATCACTGGGTATGGAATCTAGTTTCTGGGTATAGAACGGGGAGAAGAGTGTTGCGAAAAGATCACATATTTCGTTACCGGTAGAAGCTGAAGCCGTGTTGAGATGCATTTCACCAGGAATGTTAGATTTACCACCGTGGAGATCCTTGACGTACGACCAAAGTTTTTTAGGATTTTGCCTCCACCCCATCTAGATATGCAGCATAACATTTTTTTATCATTTGGTCCACTCGCTTATTGGCTAGCTTAAGTTCAAATGAGTCTCGCTGGTTGTTATATTTTTTGAAACGGCACCTAATATTATCACGTTCAGATATTAAGTTCGTTAAAGCGCGAGTGAACCATTTAGGATATTTTCTACGGCGGATAATAAGTTTGGGGATATTAGAATGAATGATGTTATTGAGGATGGAATAAAATTTACGCATCATGACATTGACATCCTCGCCCCCCAGCTCAGACTCCCAGTTCACATTATACAATTTTTCATTTATAACTGGATAATTAGCTTAATTTACTTACAAGACTCGTCACAACCTTTACATCAATATCCGCTAAGAGAGCAGGGTGATGAGCATCAATTTTGCTTAAAATGTCTGAGGATTCGCTAATAACAATATTTTATATTGCTGTAATAATAACTAAAAAATAAGAACTAGAGATTTTAATGTAGACACATATCCAGGTTTTTAAACTGTCAGGTGGTTTTTGAACGACGTTTTGGCATTTTAATTAAAATAGAAATGTTTGAAGTCTTTCGATTACAAACTATGTATTTTATTTTTTATTTATTTATTTATTTGACATACCATCGACAATTTCACAAATTTCAATAAAGATTTAAGATGTAGGTAGTACTCAACCGTGTGAATTGTCATTGTAGGCATGTACAACATTGACTATATGTAGGTAGGTACTTATACTTTTAACAGAAAAAAAATTATTGTTCGGTTTGAACGTTACCATACAGATGATTTTTGAGAGCTTTGAGTGGAGCATGAAAGATGTCAACATCATGGCATATCTCGTTGTATGCATCTTTAATTCTGTTAAACGGTGAAGCTAATTTTGTTTTAAAGGGACAGTTAACGAATGATTTGATGGGTTGGCGGGGGATTTTTCTGGGAACCTTTAACTTAATTTCCGCAAGAAGGTCGTGTGCAACAATATTGCCGTGAAGTAATTTGTGCAGAAATAAAATGTCCGCGGTTTTTCTACGCTTTTCTAAGGTATGAAGTTTAAAGTATTTGAGACGAGTGTGGTAATCCGCACGGTAAGGACACTTCCTGTCTTTGAAAGCAAGAAACCTCGTAAAATTACGTTGAATTCGCTCGATTCTATCAATGTGGACTCGATATTGCGGATTCCAGACTTGGGAACTGTATTCTAGTATACTTTGCACCAAACTCTTATACAAGCATAAAATTGTTGCGGTGTTATGGAAATTCTTAAATAGGCGTTTCAAGAAACCCAACATTTTTAATGCCTTTGCAACAATAACGTTAATATGTTCAATGAATCCGAGCTTTTTATCAATTACAATGCCCAGATCACGAGTCGAACCCACTTCGGTTAGCTGTGCAGAATTGATAGTATAGATAGAAGCGTTCATGTTTTTTGTCTTCCTGGTAAATTTTATAAATAGACATTTACTTGCGTTAAGAGTCATACCGTTGTCTACGCACCATTCCGATACCGAATCTAGATCTTTTTGGAGTAAAAGTATATCTTCCTCGTTTTTAATCGGTCGATACAACTTTAAATCGTCGGCAAAAAGAGAGCAACTGCTATACCGGATTTTATTAGGGATATCGTTAATGAAAACGAGAAACAGAATTGGTCCCAAGATCGAACCCTGAGGGACTCCCGACGAGGTGAGGAATGGTTTCGATTTGTAGCCGTTCACAACTACCCTTAACAACCGATGCTCTAAGTAAGAACGGAGCCATAGCAGTAGGGGTCCATGAATTCCGTAACGCTTCAGTTTCATAAACAGTATATTGTGGTCAACCTTGTCAAACGCACTGCTAAAATCTGTATAAATGGAATCTATTTCTACGCCAGAGTCGATTGATTTCGTTAGTTCATTGACATACGAAACAAGATTGGTTGCTGTTGATTTATTTTTACAGAATCCGTGCTGGTTTACATGAACGATGTTTTTAAAATGGGAAGTTAAAAACGGGCAGATAATTTTTTCAAATAACTTTGATATTGCATTCAGAATAGATATTGGGCGGTAGTTTTTAACGTTATTATTATCACCTTTTTTGAAGACTGGAATGATATTAGCCTCCTTAAGCAAATCCGGAAAAACACCCGTAGCAATGGATTTAGCTAATATGATTTTAAGTGGCAGGGCAATGTATTTAGCGGTTCTTTTAAGAAATAGTGGCGGAATGCCGTCAGGACCTGCTCCTTTACTCTCGTCAATTTTGGATAAGATCTTAGTGATCATGCGTTCGGATATAGCAACATTACCGAGAGATAGCTGGGGATAGTCACCATCATTAACTAAATCACTGGGTATGGAATCTAGTTTCTGGGTATAGACCGAGGAGAAGTGTGTTGCGAAAAGATCACATATTTCGTTACCGGTAGAAGCTGAAGCCGTGTTGAGATGCATTTCACCAGGAATGTTAGATTTACCACCGCGGAGATCCTTGACGTACGACCAAAGTTTTTTAGGATTTTGCCTAATCGAGTCCTCCACCCCATCTAGATATGCAGCATAACATTTTTTTATCATTTGGTCCACTCGCTTATTGGCTAGCTTAAGTTCAAATGAGTCTCGCTGGTTGTTATATTTTTTGAAACGGCACCTAATATTATCACGTTCAGATATTAAGTTCGTTAAAGCGCGAGTGAACCATTTAGGATATTTTCTACGGCGGATAATAAGTTTGGGGATATTAGAATGAATGATGTTATTGAGGATGGAATAAAATTTACGCATCATGACATTGACATCCTCGCCCCCCAGCTCAGACTCCCAGTTCACATTATACAATTTTTCATTTATAGCTGGATAATTAGCTCTTTTGAAATTAAGAATAGGACTTAATTTACTTACAAGACTCGTCACAACCTTTACATCAATATCCGCTAAGAGAGCAGGGTGATGAGCATCAATTTTGCTTAAAATGTCTGAGGATTCGGTAATAACAATATTTTTGAAGTTAGCAAGAACTAAGTCTAGGATTCTGTTGTTCGCATTTTTTACAAAGTTAAATTGTTCTATACTGTTGTAAGACATAAAATCGACCAGGGCATAACCAAGCGGACTATTGTAGTTTAACGGAGTCAACCCACCAGCAGTCTCATCTGGAGACCAATCAATAAAACCTAGGTTAAAATCACCGAAAATCATAGTCCTGCTCGTGTTTGTATTAACCACAGAGCTGATGTTATCCAGTACTGAAGCGAGTACGCCAAGTGATACAGGTGGAGGCACGTAGACACCGCAAATTAAAAAGTCTTCTACCGTATTATTGATTTTGACTCTAATAGATACCCATAAGTCTTCGTTTCTACTTTCGTAGTGCTGAATGCGGGCTGACTGGATATGTTTCGATACAGCAATTAGTACCCCACCACCTCTTTTAGATAAAGAGGATGTTGATTGGCGGTCTCTTCTGTAAATGGTATACTTGTCGCTCAGAAGTTCGTTGTCGTTGATGGTGTCATCCAGCCAAGTCTCAGTTGCGATTATGATGTCGTAAGATATTGCCAAAGAAGCGAGCCTAATGTCAAGTAGCTTAGTGCGCATGCCACGGAGGTTTTGGTAGTAGACGGTGAATTTTGCAGCAGTTGATACGGCAATGTAATCGTACAGTTCCGAAAAGGCTACAACTGCTTCAAGTCATTCGCCGACTTAACCTGCCCAGCCGGTGATTCATCATTCTTGCGTATAAAGATTCGCCCGTTCCGTATCCAAACATATTTATAGCCTTTTTCTCTTGCTATTTTTCTGGTTTCCGCGTGCAGCTCTTTGTAATACGGGCAGAGATGTTCAGAAACATAGACAGCTGTTTTGTCACAACCATAGCCCAGTTGCACGGTGTTAAGCTTATCTTTTGGGTTGGCCTTATTAAACTTTGATACCGCAGCTATGATATTATCTCTTGTGCGAGTATTTGGCAGTTTCACGATTATTGATCGAGGTCTCTTGCTAGTGCTGTCAAGTTTTCTCACTCTGGTACATGCAATAATATCAGTCTCTTCGATGGGACAAGAAATTACTGTTCCTATTTGCTTCACCAATGAAAGTATGTTTTCAGATTTATTTTCTGGAACGCCGTTGATTTCGATATTATTTTGTCGACAGTGCTGTTCCATTAGGTTCAATCTAGATGATAAATCACGAATAGTATCGGCCTGGTCAAAGTTCTGTTTTTCCAAGGAAGATATCTTATCGGTATTGGTTTTTAAGTCTGCTTTTACAGCGTCATAATCGTCACTCAGGAAGACAATCGAGTTTTTTAACTCTTTCAATGCATTGAGTTCATTTTTGATGTCACGAAGTTCGCTCTCAAAGTTTTTCATAGAAGACTTCATTGCTTCTTTGATGGTTAATTTAATTTCCTGTTTAATAAAAGCTAACAGGTTTGGATCTAATTGTGAAGAAGAAGGTGTGATTGCAGTTGAAACTACTTTTGAGTTATCATGAACGTTGCTGTCTAACTTGGAACTCCGTATTGGTGTGTCAGAGTTATCACCACCTTTTGGCTGCATATTTTTACAGACTGGGCACTTCCAGGCGTTCTTGGATTCTTTGGACAGTTTCTTGAAATTTTCCTTGCTTATATTAACGCATATGTAGTGATACGTCCCAGAACATTTCGAACATGTAATCACATCCGAAGCAGAGATAATTTTTTTACAACCACCACACGTGCTCATTGTTGCAAAATTTTCCCGAATATGGTAGAACTTTTGGGATATGGCAACTCTATTTGTCTATGGCGAGTTGTCAAGATGAGGTGACAGAGAAGTTCTATATGCAATCTCCAGTGTTGTATATAAGCTTCTTGAATATGACGCTTTCCGCTATTGGGATTTGGCGGTAGAAAGAAAAAAAAAAATTACGAGGCGAAATGATAGACGAGTTATAAATCACCAAATCCTTTGTTTTGCTTGTGAATAACACTTGTATTAGTTAATTGTATAACACTTCACTATTTGAACTCCTATTAGCAACGATATTACGAGTAAACTAAAAAATATCTAAATAAACGTGAAGACTGAGTAAGTACCGTGAAAAGCAGTATGACGTAGACCAATATTAAACATACGTTATACACGTACATAATCATCAGGGTCGTTAATTCCGTTTTGTGTGTGTGTGTCGAATCAGACGGCGTGCAGCGTGGGGCACGCGGTGTGTCGGCGGGTGGAGGCGCTGTGTGCGGCGTCGGTGCTGTGCGCGCTGTGCGTGCGGTGGTGGGGCGGGCTGGTCGGGGCGCGGCTGCAGGCGGCGGCGGCGCGCGCGCACCACTGCGCCGCGCACGCAGACCGCCTGCACTCGGCCGCGCGCGCGCTGCAGCTGGCCGCGCGCCGGCACCCGCGCCCGCACCCGCCTGTGGCCACTACTGCCGCGCCTGCCACTACTGCCGCGCGAGCCAGAGAGGTGCGTGCGGTGGTGGGGCGGGCTGGTCGGGGCGCGGCTGCAGGCGGCGGCGGCGCGCGCGCACCACTGCGCCGCGCACGCAGACCGCCTGCACTCGGCCGCGCGCGCGCTGCAGCTGGCCGCGCGCCGGCACCCGCGCCCGCACCCGCCTGTGGCCACTACTGCCGCGCCTGCCACTACTGCCGCGCGAGCCAGAGAGGTGCGTGCGGTGGTGGGGCGGGCTGGTCGGGGCGCGCACGCAGGCGGCGGCGGCGCGCGCGCACCACTGCGCCGCGCACGCAGACCGCCTGCACTCGGCCGCGCGCGCGCTGCAGCTGGCCGCGCGCCGGCACCCGCGCCCGCACCCGCCTGTGGCCACTACTGCCGCGCCTGCCACTACTGCCGCGCGAGCCAGAGAGGTGCGTGCGGTGGTGGGGCGGGCTGGTCGGGGCGCGCACGCAGGCGGCGGCGGCGCGCGCGCACCACTGCGCCGCGCACGCAGACCGCCTGCACTCGGCCGCGCGCGCGCTGCAGCTGGCCGCGCGCCGGCACCCGCGCCCGCACCCGCCTGTGGCCACTACTGCCGCGCCTGCCACTACTGCCGCGCGAGCCAGAGAGGTGCGTGCGGTGGTGGGGCGGGCTGGTCGGGGCGCGCACGCAGGCGGCGGCGGCGCGCGCGCACCACTGCGCCGCGCACGCAGACCGCCTGCACTCGGCCGCGCGCGCGCTGCAGCTGGCCGCGCGCCGGCACCCGCGCCCGCACCCGCCTGTGGCCACTACTGCCGCGCCTGCCACTACTGCCGCGCGAGCCAGAGAGGTGCGTGCGGTGGTGGGGCGGGCTGGTCGGGGCGCGCACGCAGGCGGCGGCGGCGCGCGCGCACCACTGCGCCGCGCACGCAGACCGCCTGCACTCGGCCGCGCGCGCGCTGCAGCTGGCCGCGCGCCGGCACCCGCGCCCGCACCCGCCTGTGGCCACTACTGCCGCGCCTGCCACTACTGCCGCGCGAGCCAGAGAGGTGCGTGCGGTGGTGGGGCGGGCTGGTCGCGGCGCGCACGCAGGCGGCGGCGGCGCGCGCGCACCACTGCTGACCCTTTGACGCATTCATTGATGTCATTAATATAAAGGATAAGTAACAATGGTCCCGATTGAGAGCCCTGAGGAACACCAGAAGTAATAGATCTATACTGAGAAGTATATCCTCGCACGGAAACGGAAGCTTGCAAGCGATTTTCGATATTCAAAATGTGTTGTAGTGATGGGGTGTGGGTAACTCACGGGAGTAATCACAACGAGCGTTCCATGTGAAATAAACATTTTATTAACTTAACCTACATCTTATATACTACTATCTTATATATAGGGCTTAAATACCTAATCGTATCGGGAATGATTATCATCACGTAGTACGCGTGATTTACACTTCACCACAGTGTGCGCATCTTTAATTTCGCGGCTAAAAGTATTTGTTTTTTTAATTATGTATGCATCGGGTAGAATTGTTGAAGAGTAGCAAGAAGTTTTTAAATGTTACATTAAAGAATCAATCGCGATAGTCGATAAATTGCGCAGTCCGCAGTTATAAATCCGTAGCCATTTAACGTGCCGGGAGCTATATAATGTTGTATTTATTGTAGGCGCACGCGCTGCACGCAGCAGCGTCGGCACTAGTAAGCCGACACGCGGGCGGCGCCGCGCTGCGGGAGGAGTGGGACGCGGGCGGGGACAACGCGCCCTGTCCCGCCGCCGCGAGACTCAACGCGCGCGCCCGGACGCTGGTAATGTGCTGCATATATATACATACATACAGGCGGGCGGGAGGAGTGGGACGCGGGCGGGGACAACGCGCCCTGTCCCGCCGCCGCGAGACTCAACGCGCGCGCCCGGACGCTGGTAATGTGCTGCATATATATACATACATACAGGCGGGCGGGAGGAGTGGGACGCGGGCGGGGACAACGCGCCCTGTCCCGCCGCCGCGAGACTCAACGCGCGCGCCCGGACGTTGGTAATGTGCTGCATATATATACATACATACACGCGGACGGGAGGAGTGGGACGCGGGCGGGGACAACGCGCCCTGTCCCGCCGCCGCGAGACTCGACGCGCGCGCCCGGACGCTGGTAATGTGCTGCATATATATACATACATACACGCGGGCGGGAGGAGTGGGACGCGGGCGGGGACAACGCGCCCTGTCCCGCCGCCGCGAGACTCGACGCGCGCGCCCGGACGCTGGTAATGTGCTGCATATATATACATACATACACGCGGACGGGAGGAGTGGGACGCGGGCGGGGACAACGCGCCCTGTCCCGCCGCCGCGAGACTCGACGCGCGCGCCCGGACGCTGGTAATGTGCTGCATATATATACATACATACACGCGGACGGGAGGAGTGGGACGCGGGCGGGGACAACGCGCCCTGTCCCGCCGCCGCGAGACTCGACGCGCGCGCCCGGACGCTGGTAATGTGCTGCATATATATACATACATACACGCGGGCGGGAGGAGTGGGACGCGGGACGCGGGCGGGGACAACGCGCCCTGTCCCGCCGCCGCGAGACTCAACGCGCGCGCCCGGACGCTGGTAATGTGCTGCATATATATACATACATACACGCGGGCGGGAGGAGTGGGACGCGGGCGGGGACAACGCGCCCTGTCCCGCCGCCGCGAGACTCGACGCGCGCGCCCGGACGCTGGTAATGTGCTGCATATATATACATACATACACGCGGACGGGAGGAGTGGGACGCGGGCGGGGACAACGCGCCCTGTCCCGCCGCCGCGAGACTCGACGCGCGCGCCCGGACGCTGGTAATGTGCTGCATATATATACATACATACACGCGCATACAAATAAATTAAGAATAAATGAACAATTTAAAATAATTATGCTTAAATTGTATGTTAGGGAAAAGGAAATTGTTAATTAATACTTCAGTGTTATATTGTGTAGGTGGCTCGGTTGCGCGACTCGTGGCAGCACCTAGTGCGGGATCGCGCGACTCGCTCGCTGACCTACAACGACGAGCAGTTCCACGTGCTAGAGCGGATCACCGTCGCCGAGACCGCGCGCCGGCTGCGGGCCATACTGCAGCAGGCCGCGCCCGCAGCACGCGCCCGCGCCGCGCACCTCGCCGACTGGTGCGTATACAGACCGCGCGCCGGCTGCGGGCCATACTGCAGCAGGCCGCGCCCGCAGCACGCGCCCGCGCCGCGCACCTCGCCGACTGGTGCGTATACAGACCGCGCGCCGGCTGCGGGCCATACTGCAGCAGGCCGCGCCCGCAGCACGCGCCCGCGCCGCGCACCTCGCCGACTGGTGCGTATACAGACCGCGCGCCGGCTGCCCCCCATACTGCAGCAGGCCGCGCCCGCAGCACGCGCCCGCGCCGCGCACCTCGCCGACTGGTGCGTATACAGACCGCGCGCCGGCTGCGGGCCATACTGCAGCAGGCCGCGCCCGCAGCACGCGCCCGCGCCGCGCACCTCGCCGACTGGTGCGTATACAGACCGCGCGCCGGCTGCGGGCCATACTGCAGCAGGCCGCGCCCGCAGCACGCGCCCGCGCCGCGCACCTCGCCGACTGGTGCGTATACAGACCGCGCGCCGGCTGCCCCCCATACTGCAGCAGGCCGCGCCCGCAGCACGCGCCCGCGCCGCGCACCTCGCCGACTGGTGCGTATACAGACCGCGCGCCGGCTGCGGGCCATACTGCAGCAGGCCGCGCCCGCAGCACGCGCCCGCGCCGCGCACCTCGCCGACTGGTGCGTATACAGACCGCGCGCCGGCTGCGGGCCATACTGCAGCAGGCCGCGCCCGCAGCACGCGCCCGCGCCGCGCACCTCGCCGACTGGTGCGTATACAGACCGCGCGCCGGCTGCGGGCCATACTGCAGCAGGCCGCGCCCGCAGCACGCGCCCGCGCCGCGCACCTCGCCGACTGGTGCGTATACAGACCGCGCGCCGGCTGCCCCCCATACTGCAGCAGGCCGCGCCCGCAGCACGCGCCCGCGCCGCGCACCTCGCCGACTGGTGCGTATACAGACCGCGCGCCGGCTGCGGGCCATACTGCAGCAGGCCGCGCCCGCAGCACGCGCCCGCGCCGCGCACCTCGCCGACTGGTGCGTATACAGACCGCGCGCCGGCTGCGGGCCATACTGCAGCAGGCCGCGCCCGCAGCACGCGCCCGCGCCGCGCACCTCGCCGACTGGTGCGTATACAGACCGCGCGCCGGCTGCCCCCCATACTGCAGCAGGCCGCGCCCGCAGCACGCGCCCGCGCCGCGCACCTCGCCGACTGGTGCGTATACAGACCGCGCGCCGGCTGCCCCCCATACTGCAGCAGGCCGCGCCCGCAGCACGCGCCCGCGCCGCGCACCTCGCCGACTGGTGCGTATACAGACCGCGCGCCGGCTGCGGGCCATACTGCAGCAGGCCGCGCCCGCAGCACGCGCCCGCGCCGCGCACCTCGCCGACTGGTGCGTATACAGACCGCGCGCCGGCTGCGGGCCATACTGCAGCAGGCCGCGCCCGCAGCACGCGCCCGCGCCGCGCACCTCGCCGACTGGTGCGTATACAGACCGCGCGCCGGCTGCGGGCCATACTGCAGCAGGCCGCGCCCGCAGCACGCGCCCGCGCCGCGCACCTCGCCGACTGGTGCGTATACAGACCGCGCGCCGGCTGCGGGCCATACTGCAGCAGGCCGCGCCCGCAGCACGCGCCCGCGCCGCGCACCTCGCCGACTGGTGCGTATACAGACCGCGCGCCGGCTGCGGGCCATACTGCAGCAGGCCGCGCCCGCAGCACGCGCCCGCGCCGCGCACCTCGCCGACTGGTGCGTATACAGACCGCGCGCCGGCTGCCCCCCATACTGCAGCAGGCCGCGCCCGCAGCACGCGCCCGCGCCGCGCACCTCGCCGACTGGTGCGTATACAGACCGCGCGCCGGCTGCGGGCCATACTGCAGCAGGCCGCGCCCGCAGCACGCGCCCGCGCCGCGCACCTCGCCGACTGGTGCGTATACAGACCGCGCGCCGGCTGCGGGCCATACTGCAGCAGGCCGCGCCCGCAGCACGCGCCCGCGCCGCGCACCTCGCCGACTGGTGCGTATACAGACCGCGCGCCGGCTGCGGGCCATACTGCAGCAGGCCGCGCCCGCAGCACGCGCCCGCGCCGCGCACCTCGCCGACTGGTGCGTATACAGACCGCGCGCCGGCTGCGGGCCATACTGCAGCAGGCCGCGCCCGCAGCACGCGCCCGCGCCGCGCACCTCGCCGACTGGTGCGTATACAGACCGCGCGCCGGCTGCCCCCCATACTGCAGCAGGCCGCGCCCGCAGCACGCGCCCGCGCCGCGCACCTCGCCGACTGGTGCGTATACAGACCGCGCGCCGGCTGCGGGCCATACTGCAGCAGGCCGCGCCCGCAGCACGCGCCCGCGCCGCGCACCTCGCCGACTGGTGCGTATACAGACCGCGCGCCGGCTGCGGGCCATACTGCAGCAGGCCGCGCCCGCAGCACGCGCCCGCGCCGCGCACCTCGCCGACTGGTGCGTATACAGACCGCGCGCCGGCTGCGGGCCATACTGCAGCAGGCCGCGCCCGCAGCACGCGCCCGCGCCGCGCACCTCGCCGACTGGTGCGTATACAGACCGCGCGCCGGCTGCCCCCCATACTGCAGCAGGCCGCGCCCGCAGTGTACAGACCCCACTGTATATACTGACATATCCCCCGTCCCGCCCGACAGGCACAAGGTGGCGGCCACAGTGTTCCTGCAGACGCAGATCCTGGACAAGGACGTGGCGAGCCTGGAGCTGAAGCTGCTGGCGCTGGCGGCGCGCCTGCAGGACGCGGAGCAGGCGGTGCGGACCGCGCTTGATGCCCAAGACAAGCCCATGGTGAGATTTTTTCTCTCTTTATTATACCCAAGTCGATGAGGGTCCGTTATCACCCACCGATCCGCTCTAGGTCCATTATCACCCACCAACCCGCGCTGGGTACGTTATCACCCACCAATAAAAATAAAAATAAAAATAAAAAATCATCCACCAAGCACTAGATTCATGTATTTTCTGGCGGGTATTGTTCATTGTTTACCGATGAGTCACCCGTGCGCGCGTAACGCAAAAATCGTCACACATTCTCCAATTTACCCCCCAAGTCAAGCGTGCCTAAAGAAGTTTCACTTCAAAAACTAAACACTTATTATTTGTGAAACTAAAGTTGTCAAACTGTGCTCTGTATCGTAAATAGGAGGAAGGAGCGGACGAGGTTAGATCCAATGATAAGGCGGGGTCCGGTCAGACGGCGACACCCACAGCCTCAGCGCGGGGCGTGGGGTGCGCGGGGGCGGGGGTCAGGGCTCTACTGTCGGCACAAGCGGAGGCGGGCGCCGCCGTCAGGCACAACGCCGCGCTCCTCGCCACACTCCGCGCCCTCACCGACCAGCTGCAGCCCTAGCGCTCCGCCCCATCACTGTCCTCCAGCGATGCCCCGCCCTCCAGCGATGCCCCGCCCTCCAGCGAAGCCCCGCCCTCGAGCGATGCCACGCCCTCAAGCGATGCCACGCCCTCCAGCGATGCCCCGTCCTCCAGCGACGCCCCGCCCTCAACCGACACCTCGTTAGACTCCCCCTCCCCGCCGGCCACTGTCATACATCACTCTTCGGAGTCTTCGTCGGAATCGCGCTCCACCTGTGCGCTCGTGTAGTGAAGTGCCCGGGATACAGTGCGATCCTCAAAATCCCGCTCCAATAGTGACTAATATGATTATAGTGAGATTTATTTTAGTGAGGATCACGCTCCGAGTTCGTGTTGCGACTGATATAGTGGGATTCAAACTTAATCGCGCTTGTGAAGTTACCGTAAATATGAATAAATCTGTATTCGATATCAATTATTATATGTACTTAAAAAAACCAAAAGGTGCAGAAGACTACATAGCCTGAAATAAGATTGTCCTGTGCTTCAGACAAAAGGATCACAGATCTACTTGAAATATGTATGGGTTATACACCTTTAGAGAAGAGATTGCTAAATAGAAAGTCACTGGAAACAATTACTGAGAGTTTATTGGGATAATTTACACTACTATAACAAAGTCTATAAACAGGAAAATTAAAAAAAGTATGGTAAAAGTATGGTTTACGTATGGTGAAAAGGTAAGAGTGAGTACGCGCGGTTGGTAAGGCTACCGGATAGACACTAATTATAGATTCAATATGTTATTATTGCGAAACAATGAAATTAATAAATTATAAAGTAATAAGTCGCGCAGCGGGTCATATTGCTGACGCGTTAACCTACTTAATATGAGTTTAATGTGCGGCTAAACCCGTACAAAATAATCAATAGCACAATCAAAAAGAGAATAACAAAAAACAAATATACTTAATCTTGTTATAATGCTTGATGTTTAAATCTAAAGAACTGCTTGATGTTTAAATCTAAAGAAAATGTAACTAGAAAAAATTCCACGTGGACCAGGCAGCAGACGGGACTCGAACCCGCACCCTTCGCAATCCGGGCGAATGCACTGACCAATTATGCTACCGCGGCCCTCATGGACCGCGTCGAAATACCTCTAGCCATTCTTAAGCTGCAAGGCAGCGCCATCTCTTCGCATTATAGGTAACCCACAATGTCAAATGAATACTGTTACAAGTATTAAACATTTGAAAGAAGAAATAGCAGTTATAGTTATAATTTAAATTTTTAAAGCATGTAACTGCTTGATGTTTAAATCTAAAGAATACTTAATCTAATTTAAACGTTTTATTAATTATGATATGCTAATTACAGCCCTCCTGGCTAATTACATACTGACGCTAAAGCTTCACCCCTTCTGTTTCCTCGAGCAATGAATCATTAGGCTCCCCGCCAGCCACTGACATACAACACTCTTTGAAATCTTCAACGGAATCGCGCTCCAACATGCGCTCCTTTTACGACTGATAAAGTACCAATCAAACTATTTGGCGACTGTAAAGTTAACGCAACCCACGGTAACGAAATGTACAGTACCCCTAGCACGAACCAATATCGAATTCGAATAGTTTGCGAGTACGAAATGTCGTTGTCAAATGTGTACTGATTTTTAGTTCTCGTTACGTACTTTTTGCCGCTGCTGTTCAAATTTCCATACAAAATTTGTCATCGACATTTCGCACTCTCAAATCGAATTCGAATTCCATAACACTACGGGATATTGGCGAAATTTCTGTGTAAAACGGTAACAGCCACAGAACAAAAAAAAATGATTCGTGCTAAGGGTACTGTACAGTGCGACAAGGATTTATATGAATGTGAGTGACAGTTCAGGGAGGGCGTCATTGTCTACGTAAATGACATATAAAATATGACGTTTACGGCGTTTAATACGGCGTTAGTTCCAATTTTCGCCACACTCATAAAGATTCTTGTCGCACTATTAGATGATTTAGGTACGCGTAGGATGTCATTGAACGCATATTTGCAGTTTTTATTCTAAGTTCACAAACAAAGTCATATACAGTATGAATCACATTATAAACACATCGCACCAAGTTTTTTCAATTTAAAGTAATTACCGGATTAGTCTCTCTGATATATCGCCATGTTTTTAATGCCATGACCAATGAAGTTACTGAAGTGGGTAATATGTGATTAGTCTCTTATTCTTCGAAGTCAAATATGTTATGAGACAAGACAATTTATCCAATATTATATCCTTGGATTCGATGTTACAAAGTAGATGATCTTAATTGGCCTTCAAAATTTTAAAAATATTTTTTTCATGTAGAAATATATCGAGCTGTGATTATCTTTACAATAATAAAAAAAAAAAAAATCAAGTGAAAGTGTTTTTGAAATGTACTGTCCTATAATGCAATTTAACTTAGAATAGGACCGACTGGGCGCCATATTGTGATGTCATAGTTGTCAATTCAAACCAAATAGGTAGAGTGAGCAAAAAAAAGTTATAATTTAATAAAACTTATTTACTAAGATTGAGAAAAAGAACCACCGATTTTTATTGATATTTATTTATTAAGACTGTGACAAAAAACATTAATCAGAATCTAGCTCTTCTATTCCGCTCATTACCGCCGGAGTAATTATGAATAATCATGCACTATTACTAGGTTACATACGAACATGCATCCTTTATGTAAACGAAAGTTTGAAATCGAGTTTATCCAACTTAAAGTGACATTTGGTTGACGATTTAGGTTTAAACCATTCACGGCCAAAGCTCAATAAGTGAAAAAAAATATCAACCGATATTTATTATCAATATTTGTTATTGTTTGTTTACAAATGTTTGGTTTTTAGTCTAGAATTAGCAGAGTGCTAAAAAAGGGTTCCAAGATTTTTTTGCAAACCGTACTTTTCAAGCAACATTTGACAGATAGATGTCATTGGCTTTCCTATTCTTATTTGAATCGCATTATAGGTTGCGCAGTGCTTGCGCACGATTTACCAGTTTCAAATTGCAACTGAGGAGCTGGCGAACAAAACGGTATAATTACGCATCTGGTCAAACTACATATTTTTACAGTACGGAGGTTTCGGGCCCGTTGAATTTGAATCTCAAATAATTTTCAATCAAAACCTCCTAAAACAGTGTTAAAATTTATAAATTAAAAACCATGCCAAAAGCTCACTACAGGTATGTCATTCAGTTTTATACGGCGCCTGTAAAAAATATTTTTACGTAATTTTACTGTTTTGTTCGCCAGCTCCTCAACTATTATTTTTTATGTTTACTTTAAAACACAGAGTAATAGAGATAAAAGATACTATAGTATGTATAATATATGAAACTCAAAGGTGACTGACTGACATAGTGACCTATCAACGCACAGCCCAAACCACTGGACGGATCGGGCTGAAATTTGGCATGCAGGTAGATGTTATGACGTAGGCATCCGCTAAGAAAGGATTTTGATCAATTCTACCCCCAAGGGGATAAAATAGGGAATGAAAGTTTGTATGAAACTTTGTCAATTTTAAACCGATCGGGCTGAGACTTTGCATGCAGGTATAAGAAGAATCAAAGATGAATATCATTGTGTATAATACAAGCCGGAGAACAAAAACTGTAGTCTACACTTCAGCTCTACACCGAAGCGAAACGAGGGCGGGCCGCTAGTAGTAAGACGGAAAGCTAAGACTTTCTATCAATAGCTGGATTGTATACAATCACCGCACCTTTTTCTGTGACGCAATTTTCTATACATGTATCTTTTGTTGTGATCCTGAGATAAGGAAAGAACGCCACTTACTCGTTTCGGTGAACAGAATAAAGAACAACCAGCTGGGAATATCTTTCCCAACAAGTGTCAGTACTTATACTTGACACTCAATGAGCTATGCGAGTTGTTAATCGAAAATCCTAAGTACTTAATAATATAAAATATTTTTTATAGTAAATTTTTCTTTAGATTTGAACATCTAGCAGTTAAATGCTTAAAAATAAATAAAATCATAACTACTTAATAATAGTTTACATTTTGAGATAGTGACTCAATGAAATCTTTGTTTTACAAACTTTAATACAAAAAAAGAATGAGTTTTTTGTTTATGTTTACACATGTTATTTAATTTTTTTCTTGGCAGTGTATAAGCGTGTAACTAATTTTCGAAATTAAATGTTGTCATGTTTGAATTACTGAACAAGTCGTGATGAATTTTAGCATAAGAAAGAGCGTACGTTGGAGGGCAAGATATGACTACATTAAAAAATATAATTTTAAACGGGATCAAATAGGGAATGAAATGTCGTATGAGTAACAGAATATTATACGCAAAGGAAATTAGCAGAATAATAAAATGTGTATTTTCCAAACAATAAAAATACCTTTTCAAATTATGATCTATTTATTTTATTTTGGTGACCGAAACGAAAATGAACAGTGCGATTCAAACTTCATAGCGCTTCTGTTTTTTATTTATATTTTATTAGAGTTTACAAGACTTATCAAAACATAGCAAATGTTATTATTGATATAATAATACATATTTCTTGTTAAGATCTCAAGTTGTTGGACATTCCTCATTTTTGCGTTTATTTTATATTTATATATTTACTTGGCTGTATAATAGTTGAATAATATTCATTTTATATGAATAATAATTTAAATGAATTATAATAATATCAAAAACATTTTTATAATGTAAATAATTATGTTGGCAGCATATTTTGTGCCCTAAAAATAATTTACAAAATGTTAAAGTGCTCTCTTCTTGTTGTAAGTTTTGTTTAAGTTTAGAGAGGAATAATAATATAAGTATTATGTGATGTAATAAATAAAATAATAATAAACATTTTACATATTCTCAGTAACTATGGGGCCGTCCATTAATCACGTGATGTTTTCTTTGGCTTTTTAGCCCCCCTCCCCCTTGGTGATACATGGTGAGGTTAGACCCCCCCCCCCCCCCCCCATTTCACATCATTTTATTTTATTTTATTAGGGATAACAAACAGTTGTACAATATATGTTAAAGGCTTACAATGAAGTTATACTTATTGTACAACCAACAACATTATCCACAGATTAATACTAGGATTGTTTTGTTTTATATATATTTCTAGTATTCTTTTTCTATACTAAAAGAAAAATATGTATCATTTAACTTTATTATGGAAAATAAAATAACGTTTAGAGGTAGACAGAAATGTTGCAGGTTGTTTTTGGCTGACATAAATATACTGAAAGAAACCGAAAAACTTTTTTGAAACTTATACATGAACATTATTTAATGTACAGTATCCTCGGACCACAGAAATACAAGTGATATATTACTACACCCCCTCCCCCGTTGTGATATTTCGCGATTTTTTATGGACCCCGCCCCCCCTTTCGAGCCTCACGTGATTAATGGACAACCCCTATTGTTATTTTATTTTCCAATGCCCACTTAATAATCAGCAGTGCTATTCTGAAGAATTATCACGCGCGGATCCGATGTGGACCCGACTGAGTCGCATTATGCTCTGTAATTGGAAAGCATACTTAGTTGTCATTTTGTAATACGGGCCTTAGACAACATGTACATATGAGAATTTATATATTTTTTTTACAATGATCTATGGAAACACTTCTTCCCAGTCATATTACTGTCAATGTGAATCCCCAAGAATCGAGCAGTGTCGGTTCTATGGACATTTACTACTTGTATTTCAATGTTTGGGATAAGAGTATGTTTTCTTTGAGAAAAATGCATTTTGTTTGGCTTTCCTAAATTAATTTTAATATTGTATTGGATTTAGCGATCACAAATTACTGACCAAGTTTCTATGTTAACCACGTTATAGACACCAAGGGTGTGTGATAGTAAACTATCAAACACAATGTATAATGGAGACTCGGAATTCTAAGAACTGTAGCAGCTAATTACTCCAGAGATATTCTATGATGGTTGACTTGACAGAGCGACAGCATAGATGCGATACAATTCACACTAGAGTCTGTGCGGATATAGAATGGGCGTGGCGAAAAACGGAACTAATATTAAGATTTTTATTTGGCAATCAAACACAGCAATCTGTAAAACGTCAAAGTTTTTTATTGATATGGATTTGTTTGTTGTTGTGATTTCTTGCGGTTTTTTGTATTTAATCATGTCTAAAAGGGGTAAAACGTTACAAATACGGTAGAAAAGCACTACAGCGCCCTCCAATCTAAATCCCATTCTCTTTCCGCACACTATTATTATATAGGCGAAAGTTTATGAGTGTGTATGTTTCTTACTTCTTCGCGTCTCAACGGCTGGAGCGATTATAATAAAATTTGGTATGGAGATAGCTGACGCCCTGGATTAACACATAGACTACGGTTTACTGCGGGAAAATATCCCTTATAAAGAGCGGGGCTCAGCTAGTGGATAAATAAAACGATGTCTGGAATGTATAAATATTTATTTTTTACATAATGTAACTTACCATGTTCGTTTGCTCTACTTTCAAATAAAGTATTTAAGTAAAACTTAGGTATATATTCAGCATACTTTATGCCTCATAGTGTAATAAGTACACTCGAGTTCAAAAACACTGACTTTCACTTTTTAAATAGTCATTGTTGACACTTTACAGTGCAGAATTATTGACTCCGAGTGTACTTTCGACACTGTCGTCGAATCAGTGCAATTTATCTAAAGCAAACTCATTTTTAATATAATTATTCGTAATATTATTAATTTAATTGCTATATGATTTATTGGTAAATCAGTTTATTTACATAATATAACATTATTTTAATCACAAATCCTTTGAAGTGTTTATGGATTTATAATACCCATTACTTAATGATATTTATAAATACAACATGACGCTTTCATGAAAGATCAGCAAACCATTGATTTGTCGACCTGTAGGTTTATAATTTTGGTACTCAACATAACTATTCGTATTTGATATTTGTAAGCAAGACAGCAGCCTCTGGGTGTATTCCGAAATATACATTAGTATACTGGCTAGTGGTAATGACGTCACGAATCCGACGCCATCTTGTACTGGTATGCTACCATATTTTTACCGGGAAAACGGATATGACATATGACCGAGCGTGCGTGAGATGCATTCGAATTTTATTTCTTATTTATTGAAAGAACAATAATGGCATCCGAACAAAAAGAAATTCCTTTTAATTGATGTGATGAATAAAAAATCTTCTTTATTGCACTATTTTTAATATTTCGTCGATTTATGACGTCAGTGCACTGGCCAATATATTTCGGAACAATTCACCAGTATAGCGTCGATTCATGACGTCATTAGCACTGGGCAGTATACTGGTTTATATTACGGAATACACCCTCTGCTTGTCATTCGTTAAAGAGTATGACATACGTCATTTTGACAACGGGCTGTCTGCTGTCAAAATGATAATAAATAGCAAATACAAATAGCGCATGTGAAGCGGATTAAAATACCATTCACTAAGATAAGAAATTGTGTACTAGTCATGTTACGAAGGGGCTGGTATGGACCATTTGGTCCAAGAGTCCAAAAGAGAGAAAAAAATCATTTGTTTGGTGATAAGTAGGTACTGAAGTTTATTTTTATGAACTATCAACTGTGAAAATTTTTACTATTCGAAGCAGCTTTTTAATTTAACAGCCCTGGCGTGTAAAGTTTAATTTTAATCCAACACTACAGATGGCGCGCTAACTGGGGGTTTAATTTCCAGAAAATCCTTGCGCACGCGGTTTTCATGCAGTTACTCTTGAAACGAGCAGAAATCTATATTTTTCTGCCAAACGTGCATATGATAATTATAATATCAGGCTTAACGCAAGCTCTATATATATTTATGTTATAGATAGATCTAACAAATGGCTCCACCCCACCTGATGTTAAGTGACGGTGAAGTCCAGACGCGAAGATAGCTGATACAGCAGTTCTACCTGCCACACCAGCCATCCTCACCCTGCCGGCCTGCATATTATAATGTTACAAATGCGGGGTACGTTAGAGTACTGTGACGTCATCGCTAGTGATGTGTGTGTGGGTGCTATGAGTATCTGCCGTCGATGTGTTGCGAGGCGCGATGTAAGGCGCGGTATTGCCTGTGAGCGATCTGAACGCGGCGGAACTCTGCCAGTAACTCATCGTAGTCTATATCCATACCCTCCTGGGTCTTCGCTGGGCTGACAACCGCCCTGTCGAATGGAACAACTGTTTTAATATACAGTGGATCCCCGGTAGTCCGACAAACATTTTGCAGGGCAGTGTCGAACTATCGAATTTGTCGGATTATAGAGTACTGCCTAAGACCCCCTATAGTCCCTTTTTTTCGACAAAAGAGTACTTTTTAATCCGAAAAATTACAGATCCAATGATAAGATTACAAATCATACTTCGTTATGTATGTCAAAGGAGATTGCTCAAATTGGCCCAAATGCACAAAAAATATTGACATACACGGTAATTCTTTTATAGAAGTTCTCAGGGGTGTCCGTCAATAATATTCGTTTCTACAGTAATTTATATATAATTTCGCGTCTAGGAAACAATTTTTCATGATTATTGGTCTTTAGGCCAAACATGTATGGAAGCTGAGCAATCTCCTTTAGTAAATTAAACAACACAATAGAAAGATTACGTTTTATTATAAAAGTAATAATAATAAATAGTGATGGTGGGTACAAGTTGTAACTTGTTCAATCGTGAATTAGCGAATACTTGTATGTAATAGACGATGTCGGATTATAGGGGGTGCCGCATTAGCCAGGGGCCGGATTACCGGGGCTCCACTGTATATATATATATATATATATATATATACAGTATATATTCCCGAAAATAAAACTGTAGTGTAGTGACCAAGCTAACGTTTAATTTGAATCTTCTTATTACTTTACAAAATCAGTTATGATTGCCAAGGTACAAACGGATTGCTTTGTGAAGCGCGAAGACTTCTGTGCTAACGTCCGTTCACTATCGCGGCTCACGTCTGAATGCCGAATGCCGAATGCCCCTTCCAATGACGCATAGCCCCTTAAATACTACCCTTAGCATAGACCACTCCCAAGTGATGACAGCTGTCACTGTCATTACTTGACGTTTCACAAGGCAATGGTACTCTTGACTGATGACATTTGTTGTCGGTATAACGTTTCGAAGGAGCGAGTGAGACGCCATCCGCCGACATATATATAAGACAATATCTTTTAATGGAAACTGTAAAAGTAATTAAACAAATGTGTTGCTCTGAAAACGTATGTAGGTTAAAACATTTATAATTCACTACACTTTTTACTATCTACTATAAATCATTCTAACTTACCTGAAAACAAAGAAACGACATTTCAAGTCTTTTACTTAATACAACAATTCCTTCCTTTACAATAATATTTTAAAATAATCAAATAAAAATATGACGGCTCGTTCTGTCAAAGCGACACCATCTGTCAAGTGACAGTTTTATTGTTATGGTCGCCCGAGAGCTACACAAACTACTTAAGAAATAACAAATTAAAGAACTGACTGTAAAGAGGTTCTTTACATATAGATACTGGCAACAGTGTAATCTTGTCATTGTCTATACAGAATGACAAGGAGCGACTGATGTTTTTTTTTAAACACACCAATAAGCCTAGCCCCAAAGTAAGCACTATAAGGCTTGTGTTACGGAATACTAGGGTAACGGATAAAATACATATACTGTACATATATAAGTATATTTATTTAGAAATACATATTAAATATCCATGACTGGAGTACAAATGCTCATATTCAACACACAAACATCTGGCCCCACCAGGATTCGAACCCGGGACCTCTCGAGTCGACGATACTATGAAACCCGGCGAATAAACCACTCGGCCGCGGAGGTCGTCGAATTTAGTTTTGAGAATCGCGCCAGAGTCGACACTTTTACCTTAAAGTGGAGACATATTTCGAATGGCGCGGGTGGTTGACTTGTTCGGCTGACTGAAGTTAAGCAACTTTCGGTGATTGGATGGGTGACCAAAAATCTTCTACCTCGAGTTCCTCCGTGTTTCGGAAGGCACGTTAAGCCGTTGTTCCCGGCTGCATCTGCACAGCGTGTGGAAGGCGGCAGTCTGCGGCAGCAGCATCAGCAGCCCGTACAGAGCGTGTATATCACCTGCGGTCGGGCCGGCAGAGTGCGGGCGCGCACTGCAGCCGCGCCCGCAGCGTGTGGAAGGCGGCAGTCTGCGGCAGCAGCATCAGCAGCCCGTACAGAGCGTGTATATCACCTGCGGTCGGGCCGGCAGAGTGCGGGCGCGCACTGCAGCCGCGCCCGCAGCGTGTGGAAGGCGGCAGTCTGCGGCAGCAGCATCAGCAGCCCGTACAGAGCGTGTATATCACCTGCGGTCGGGCCGGCAGAGTGCGGGCGCGCACTGCAGCCGCGCCCGCAGCGTGTGGAAGGCGGCAGTCTGCGGCAGCAGCATCAGCAGCCCGTACAGAGCGTGTATATCACCTGCGGTCGGGCCGGCAGAGTGCGGGCGCGCACTGCAGCCGCGCCCGCAGCGTGTGGAAGGCGGCAGTCTGCGGCAGCAGCATCAGCAGCCCGTACAGAGCGTTCCGCAGCTCTACGGCCTCGTCACCGTCCAGTAACTCCAGGCGCAAATCTGACCACACATCAAAAAAAAATATTCGAGTGCAGTCAACTTCAATAATCTCTTACTCTATGATGTTTTATAGCTATAGACGCGTCATCCAAGCCTCTCATTTGACAATACGAAAGTCAGGTAATTGCCCAACTTGCAATCAGACTTGCATTCGTCATTCTCGTGTCATTTTCTATACAAAATGATAGGGAGGGACTGGTGTTGGGTTTGGTGTTGGGTTTGGTGTTGGGTTTGGTGTTGGGTTTGGAGAGTCATGCCGGAGTCGGCACCATTATCGGATGCGGTGCGGGTGCGTTCGGAGTGCTGCGCTGCGTTTCTTTATTTATTTATTTAGGATTATGTCATTATATGTATTTAATGTTGTGAATATATATATTTATATCAGCGTGTATGTGTGTATGTGTGTATGCGCAATAAAATAAAATATGATTAGTTAAGCATAAATGTATTGTTTTGTTACTTGTTAGCGCCTAATACGTCCTCGCACAGGCCCTGCCAGAATACCAGCGCTGATACAGTGAGAGAGTATTCTCCTACTGTGTCAGCATAAGCTGAGGCAGGGTCCTGATTGGCCGTCTTAGTTTTATGTTGTTATTTTTTGTTTTTAGGTTAAGTTCTTCTTTTATTTTTTTGTTTATATTTATAGTATTTTTATTATGTACGATGGCTAATAAAGGTTTTTCATTTCATTTCATTTCATTCGAGCACGCTCTCTCGCTGCGGCTACCCTTGCTACGACGTCTCAATATTTATGTTTTTCCAGACAAAAAGCTGTGTGTGTTTTAAAGTAGTACACAAATTACACGGGAACTATTAGAGACAAGAAAAACGTTTGATTTCATGCGTAAGTACAGTTTCAAAGAAATTAATGTAAACATTTTTAGTGATTAATTATTTGGACAGAGGAGGTCGATGGCGCAGGTGGTTAGCGCGTTCAGCTGCGATGGTTGAAGTTGAGCAACTTTCGCAGTGGTCGGTCATTGGATGGGTGACCAAAAACTTCTATCTGGAGTTCCTCCGTGCTTCGGAAGGCACGTTAAGCCGTTGGTCCTGGCTGCATCTGCAGTCGTTAGCATCCGCCAATCCGCACTGGGCCCGCGTGGCGGGTCATGGCCCAATCTCCCTATTCCATCCATAGGGAAGGCCTGTGCCCCAGCAATGGGGACATTAATAGACTGATGATGATGATGACTTATTTTGACAGTTGCTGACACCGTTGACAAAGAGCGAGACTCCTTAGTCTCCACGTGTCGTGTGTTAGTCTCTGCTTTATGCATGAGAATGAAAGAAAATACTTCAACGTGCTCTATACTTGTGCCATTTCAAAATGCAATAATGTGGGCGTATAACCTAACAATATATAACTGACTTTTATCATAAACACTATCAAGCTATACTTAGATAATAGGGATGATGACTATTTTTTTTCTTCGTTTATCAGATAGATTATCAAAAGGTATTGGACAGGTATTTATTCTTTTTTCACATAATATAAACATTGCAGAGATATATTGATTTGAAAAGTCGCATGACGTCACGTTTTATAATTAAACAAGTACAATTTTCACTCAAAAGTGACGTCACGAGGCCCTACTCCCAAACTTTGACGCGCTATACCTTTGTCATTTTTTGGTTGATTGCCCAAAGAAAAAATACGTGTCCATTATTTTTTAATCATCTAACTGACGGACTAAATAGAATTTCGTTTACTATACCCCGTCATCACCCCTATTTTTGTATTGTAATCATAATAATTGTACTTGAAAACCGAGGTGGTGGGAGCCCGATACCTGTATAACAAGTATGTTAAAATACGATATCTATCTCAGGCATCAGTCTTACACAAACATTTCATCAGTGCAGTTGTTATGATTAAATGGAACTTGTATAAAACTGTTTGTGATGAGAAAAATTGTATTCAGTTAGAAGAGTAATCATAGACCGTTGGTACGTTTCACTTAATAGATCAATCAAACGATGCGACATCAAACAATCACCCAATCAGCTCTCACATCCGCGAGCAACGACGTAATCAGAGCCAAGTTTTCGTCACGTTATGAGCATTTGCTCACACATTATTGTGTCACGCCTGCCCCGCCCACAAGGCCACTCTAACCTCTTTCTGTGTCCTGAGGTTTAAGACTAACGATCGAATGTCCCGAGTTCAAAGTCTGAAGGTACAAACATTTAATCCGTCTTTATGTAGGCAATTAAGTTGGGATAAATCATGAATTAATTTAAGAATTCAATATAAACTGATATCAAGATATACTTACATGCGAAAATTGGAGATTCTATTAATTGTACTAATTTGTCTACTTCTGTCAAGAAGTCCACGGTTATTTCTAAATCACCGCTGCAAATTCTTGATAAGGTCATATATTAAATTACAATTAAATAAAAAAAATACACTTCAATAATAACTCATTATGCTTACATAAAAAATATTTTTATTATTCTAAATTATTATTTAGTCTGAAATAATGAAAATATTTTTTTCTTACGAAATTTTTACGTCCAATGTTTTGTCCCTTTAAGCTCTCAAATCTGCATAATGCCAATGTTGCCAGCATCGAACTGTTCACATAAAAGGAATTGAAAATGACAAGGTCTGATGACCCTTTCGTTTTCGACTTCATCACTGTTAACTTTAGTTTCGCATAACTTTCATAAGTGAAAAAATCAAAAGGACATTGTTCTGCATCCTTAGATTGTTAGCCTAAGAACCAACAATCATGAAAGAAAGAGTAAAAACAAAGATTATTGACGGACACTTCCGAAAAATGAAATAATCAGGAAAACTAAATATTTTTTTGGGGTTTGTTTAATATTAAATGAAGCATAGGTCAAATTATGAACATAGGATGAATTCAGTGCGATTTTAAAGAATAACTATTACTAAAAACTTGGTTAGGTAGGAATCTTAAAAAAACCTGTAGTTTTGCTTCTTATTTATTAACTATTTTTCACTCAATATAGGTATCTTTTATGGACATCTATATTATTTTAATACTAAAATGTCATCTAAGAATTGAGCAGGGGGTTGACATTTTCTTGGTATCTAGCCCAAATTGTTATTAGATTCCACAAAATCTGACAAAGAATTGTTTAAAAATGTTTTTAAACAATTCTTTTCCGTAATCCGAAACGAGAATGCCACAGATTATTACGAATGTAAACTGCCTGCACCACAACCACAGAGTATCGAGTTGTATGCTGGCCATTCACTTGACAACACTCTGTCCTTGTCATACTTAATAAGGAATGAAAAGGACAGACTGATGTCAAGTTTTCAAATAGCAAACACGAATAGCCAAGTAAGTGCCGGAAGAGTGTTTTGTTTGCAGCGCTGTCAAAGATTATACACAAAAAATGATAGTTTTTGTCTCTGATTATTTTTTAACTTTTTAGTATAGCTAACTTAACTGGAAGTGTCCGTCACAATCTAAATACTGATAATTATCGCAAAAAATATACTAAGAATTATCATAAATGCCAAATTGGTGTTGGTTCTTAGGCCAACTTTAACACTGTCCTTTTATTAAGATTGACGAAATCGGTAAAGCCGTTTCCAAATTATGGCGTGCTTAAGGGGAATAGGAATTTATTTTTATATTATGGAGTAACAAAAGTGAGATAAATCATTTTTTAGATTAGGGCAGGCGAAGGACTCCCCTCCGGCCGCATTCGCAACTGTGTTTTGCCATCAGTAATTTACGAAGATTTTTTTTTTTAATAATAAATGTTTATTTCAGATCCTCTAGATCCATATAAATGTAAGTAACAATCAACCTTAAAAACTATGTTATAATCTAAAGAAAATTTTACAAGACAAATTTCCACAGGCACTTGGCAGCAGACGGGACTCGAACCCTGCACCCTCTACTATCCGGGCGGATGCACTGACCATTATGCTACTGACGAACTTTTTCTAGTATTTCTAAGGCTGCAAGGTAGCGCCATCTTTTCGCATCTTTACCCACAATGTCAAATGAATAACTTTGCAAGTATTAAAATTTGAAAAAAAAAAATAGTAATTGTAGTTATATTTTTATTTTTTAAGCATTTAATTACTAGATGTTCAAGAAAAAAAAATGTATTTTAAAAATCAAGCATTCTAATTTAAAAAAAATATGAGTAGCTTTATTGCTGTTTTTTTATTATTCCTTGGCAATCGCAGCGTGAAAAGGATACAATGTAGTGATGAGTCTGCTGCAGTGTCGGTACTTGTGTGTGAGCAGGCACAGCGCCAGCAGCGCCACCGGGCTGTGGCACCAGCACCCGTACAGCCGCCGGAACAACTGCAGCGTGGCCTGTTAGAGGATACAATGTAGTGATGAGTCTGCTGCAGTGTCGGTACAACTGCAGCGTGGCCTGTTAGAGGATACAATGTATCCTTCGATGACCGACTCACCCACCGGCCGGTCATTAATTTAGCCCGCCATAAACTCAAACTCACCTATTCAGTCTACGCTGTTACAAGCTCTTGTGAAAGTCAAACGCTCCGCCTTTAGAAAGACCTTATTTTTTTATATAGGTTATAAAAAAATAAGGTCTTTCTAATTCTTCCGCATATAGCAATAAGTCGTAAATTTTTTCGAACATTTCGAACTGTCATAGCTCTGTGACGCTTACGTTTAAATTAAGACCTTAAACGGTATGCATCAAAGGTGACTTTCAATGTTTAAAACTATGCCTTATATTGTTTTAGACTACGCGATCATCTTACGGAGCTCCGTGGATCGTCCAATGTACCTTTTGGACAAGTTTCGGTCACGATTCTGTTCGTGTTGTTGTATTTAAGGAATTTAATATCAAGACCATCAGATACTATTAGTTCTTTTTGTTTGCATAATTTAACATAAGAAGGAGATAGAAAGCCTCTCTTGAGTTTGTTTCGCCGGTTCTTCTCAGGAAGGTCTCCCAATTTTGGAACCGGTGGTAGTTTACGGTAGTTAGGGTCAAATAAATAAATAAACTCAAAATTACAAACAAGAATTTTAAATAAAATACTTTATTAAGTAAATTAAATAATAAATTCATACATAGACAATAAAATTTTAAAAATCTTCCAATGAAATAACCGAACGCTCAATATAAGTCTTTCGAAGGTAGCTCGACAATTTTAAATAAAAAATCATTATTCTGACGATGCAGACTTGAAAAGGCTGCGAAACGTCAATAAATAAATAAAGTTTCGTGCATTAACCCGTAATAACTAGTTTTATTTAATGAATTTAATATCGTTAACTTAGAGCCTAGGTTCCGAACCTGGGGGTAATTACCCCTCCGGGGGTAAATCAGTCATACTTCGGGGGTAACAAAGAACCGAATTATTTGGTCAAATCTAAATAATAAGAAAATACTATATAATAATATAATACTACTAAATAGAGCATGCGCTCCTTCTTGCTAGCGAGCCCGCGGGGTGCTGAGTGTGGGAAGCGGGGCGAGATTTACTCCTGATGATGACATATTGGAGACGAAGGTGTAGCGGCCAAATTGGAATTTCTTAGACTGATGATAACATTTTAAAGTCTGGGTAAAATCTGTTTTCCTTATAGGTTACAGGGGTAGCAGTATTGGAAAGGTTAGAAAACACTGGCTTAGAGCGTTTATCACGGTGTCGGTGTAGTGTACTGTAACGTCCGTTACGTTACTACCTCCTTGTTTTGGGTAAACTCTTTGCTCTTGCAATGCCTACGGTTGGCAGTTATATTAAAAAGTTAATGTCATGATTTTAAGATTTGAAATAAGGAATCGTCTGTCTATTGATAGAAGGTTCCATACAAGAGAAGATCTTCAGGCACCAACCACACCTCTCGTAGTTAGATAAAAATAATTATATTCGCCTGAATCAAATATAAAATAACTTATCTCTACCAGGTATCAAATATTTCACTAAGTCTGATACAGTCCTATCTTTCTGCTAGGATTCAGAAAGTAGTTATAAATGAAGCTGAGTCTACAGGAGCACCCATTTCTATGGGCGTGCCCCAGGGTTCAATATTGGGCCCATTGCTTTTCCTTATTTATATTAATGACCTTCCTCACTTTACAAGAGATTTGTGTGAGACAGTACTATTTGCTGATGACACCTCTTTAGTGTTTAAAGCTAGGAGAGGAAATGATTGTTATGACGAAGTAAATTGTGCTCTCTCTGAAGTCCTTCGCTGGTTTACGGTAAATAATTTAAAACTAAACTCTAGCAAAACAAAATGTGTTAAGTTTACTTTACCTAATGTGAGGCAGGTTAATACTAGTTTAAAAATAAATGAGCAGCCTGTAGAGTTAGTGGATTCTACAAAGTTTCTGGGTATTACTTTAGACTCGCATCTGCAATGGGATCCTCATATTGATGCCTTATCAAGTAGACTGAGCTCTGCGGCCTTCGCTGTTAAAAAAATAAGACTCCTAACTGATGTGGAAACGGCAAGAATGGTTTACTTTGGTTACTTTCATAGCGTTATGTCATATGGCCTTTTGTTGTGGGGCTCAGCTGCTAATATAGAAAGTATTTTCGTACTGCAAAAGAGAGCTGTTCGCGCCATATATAATTTAAAGGCAAGAGAATCTCTTAGAGAAAAATTTAAAGAAATTAATATTTTAACACTGGCATCGCAATACATTTATGAAAATATAATATATGTAAGAAGAAACTATGACGCATTTGCAAAAAAAAGTCAAACCCATAACTTAAACACGAGATTTAAGAACAAGCTTGCCGTTCCATGTTTCAGACTCCAAAAATCTAGAGGTTCATTTCTGGGATGTAGTATTGCATTGTTTAACAAAGTTCCCCAAGATCTGATTGAGCTTCCACTAACCAAATTTAAATCTCAGATTAAGAATACTCTTATGAATAAGGGCTATTATAAAGTTAATGATTATCTAAATGATCGTAATGCATGGACATAGTGTTTCTTGTAATTTCTTATTTGATGGGTATGAGTCAGTTTTGTAACAGTAGTATGGTACCTATCTAATGCCGCTTCCTATATATACTAAATATAAAATTTGTTGTAACTATATATCTATACCCTAAATAATGTAATGGAAGGTGACTTCAGAAGTATGTCTGAAGTCATTTTTCAACTTGACGACTCTGTATATATCAATACAGGGAGAAAAAAGCAGCCCTTGCTGAGTTTCTTGCCGGTTCTTCTCAGTACAAGGTCTCCCGCCGTAGTTTTGCGAACCGATGGCGTAGCTTCTTGACTTTCACAAGTGCTTGTAACAGCCTAGACTGAATAAATGACTTTTCATTTCATTTCATTTCATTTCATTTCAGTATCTTTTAATTAGTAGTTACCTCCCTGAGTTCTATCCACTCTGGCTAGAGCTCCTCATGGTGGACGCGCCGGGTAAGTTAATATTCAAGAAAACATTAAGATTATGATAAGTCTTTAGAGGTGTAGAATAGTGTGGTTTAGTATGGTGTAGTGTAGTGTGGTATAGTGTAGTGTAGTGTAGCAGTACTCACCGGCTTGTCGCAGGCCCGCAGCGTGTGCCGCAGTAGTGTAGTGAGGTGTAGTGTAGTGTGGTGTAGTGTAGTGTAGTGTAGTGTAGCAGTACTCACCGGCTTGTCGCAGGCCCGCAGCGTGTGCCGCAGTAGTGTAGTGAGGTGTAGTGTAGTGTGGTGTAGTCTAGTGTAGTGTAGTGTAGCAGTACTCACCGGCTTGTCGCAGGCCCGCAGCGTGTGCCGCAGTAGTGTGGTGTAGTGTAGTGTAGTGTAGTGTAGTGTAGTGTAGCAGTACTCACCGGCTTGTCGCAGGCCCGCAGCGTGTGCCGCAGTAGTGTGGTGTAGTGTAGTGTAGTGTAGTGTAGTGTAGTGTAGCAGTACTCACCGGCTTGTCGCAGGCCCGCAGCGTGTGCCGCAGTAGTGTGGTGTAGTGTAGTGTAGTGTAGCAGTACTCACCGGCTTGTCGCAGGCCCGCAGCGTGTGCCGCAGTAGTGTGGTGTAGTGTAGTGTAGTGTAGTGTAGTGTAGCAGTACTCACCGGCTTGTCGCAGGCCCGCAGCGTGTGCCGCAGTAGTGTGGTGTAGTGTAGTGTAGTGTAGTGTAGTGTAGTGTAGCAGTACTCACCGGCTTGTCGCAGGCCCGCAGCGTGTGCCGCAGTAGTGTGGTGTAGTGTAGTGTAGTGTAGTGTAGTGTAGCAGTACTCACCGGCTTGTCGCAGGCCCGCAGCGTGTGCCGCAGTAGTGTAGTGAGGTGTAGTGTGGTGTAGTGTAGTGTAGTGTAGTGTAGTGTAGTGTAGCAGTACTCACCGGCTTGTCGCAGGCCCGCAGCGTGTGCCGCAGTAGTGTAGTGAGGTGTAGTGTGGTGTAGTGTAGTGTAGTGTAGTGTAGCAGTACTCACCGGCTTGTCGCAGGCCCGCAGCGTGTGCCGCAGTAGTGTAGTGAGGTGTAGTGTGGTGTAGTGTAGTGTAGTGTAGTGTAGTGTAGTGTAGTGTAGCAGTACTCACCGGCTTGTCGCAGGCCCGCAGCGTGTGCCGCAGCTCGCACAGCTCGGCGGCGGTGAGCAGGATGGTGCTCAGGGTATCCACCATGGTGGCTGCGAACCTTAGATCCCTCTCCTGTTGTAGGATGTGGGACAGCGCCTTGTAGATATCCTCCGCGTTTAGGAGCACGCATAACTGTCTGCCGTGGGAGTACAGCATACGTTTATAAGAGAGGTAGAACATAGCTGATTTTCCGCCCGAATTGCAGCATGAGGAAGTACAATACAATACAAAACACTTTATTGTACACCACAGAAAACATTACAATAATTACAGAGCCGTTTAAATCAAGTGTTACAATTGACGGCCTTATCGCTAAAAGCGATCTCTTCCAGGCAACCCTTGAGAGTAGTAGAGAAGTGACCTTCACCTTACATTACCCCTAGCACGAACCAATATCGAATTCGTATCGTTTGCGAGTCCGAAATGTCATTGTAAAATGTGTACTGATTTTTAGTTCTCGTTAAGTACTTTATGCCGCTGCTGTTCAAGTTTCCATACAAAATTTGACATTGACATTTCGGTTTGCAAACTATTCGAATTCGATAATGGTTCGTGCTAGGGGTACAAAGAGTGCAGTAAAATAACATTACCTTTTAGTGGTGTTACGTTTTTATTGGTGATAAAAGTTCCAGGACTCCACGGGGTAGGTCAGCTTCGGCAACGACGCGAATATTGTTTTTGTATGGCAAGCGCCTATATGCTTAGATGGCCGCTTACCATCAAGCGGACCATAAGCATGTTTGCGACCCATTTAACATAATAAAAAAATTTAAAAAAATGGATGCGTGTAACTTATGAACGCGCGTGAGAAGTTATACTTCTTTAGCATCATTAAAAATATTTTTTAATTGCATGCAAATAATTAATAATTACAAGAAAATAATAAAAGGACTGGAAAAGGATAGTTAACACAGTCAATTAAGTTCAGTTTTAATTTGAAAAATTAAATAAATATTCAAAATATTCAATTAAAATCACTACTGAATTTAAGTTATTAGTCCATATGTAATTAGCACTTGTAAGTAACTAAAACACGTTGTGTCTATATAGAAACTAGAAACATGTGGATAAATATTATAAATATGAAAACAGTGATCAGAGGCGACGAGCGTGCCAACATTGTTTTTGACAACGCGATCATCTTATGGAGCTCCGTGGATCGTTCAAAGTACATTTCGAACAGATGTCTAATAATGGTGGATTATTAACCACTAAGTGGTTAATAATCCACCATTATTAGACCCTAACATTCATAACGCGCCCGCGGCCAACTTCATGCAGTTACTTTTGTGTTACAGTGAAGCGCGCGCATCTAAAAATTTCACTCTCATCATTTTTTCATAACGCGCCTAAAGAAGTATAACTTCAAAAATTGTAAGTCGAAATTTACAAACAATAGTACAATATTTGAGGAGCTCGATGGCGCAAGTGGTTAGCGCGTTCGGCTGCGATCGTTGACGTTAAGTAACTTTCGCAGTGGTCGGTCATTGGATGGGTGACCAAAAATTTACTATCTCGAGCTCCTCCGTGCTTCGGAAGGCACGTTAAGCCGTTGGTCCCGGTTGCATCTGCAGTCAGTAACACCCGCCAATCCGCACTGGGCCCGCGTGGTGGGTCATGGCCCAATCTCCCTATTCCATCCATAGGGAAGGCCTGTGCCCCAGCTGTGGGGACATTAATAGGCTGATGATGATGAAGAGTTTTTTTATATTATATGACACAAACTTTATGTGTATTTACACTTAAAAATAGGATCTCAACAACAGATCACTTTGACCAACTTGAACACAAATAAATTTATATTTTCTCTTCATAAACTGAAAATGTTACGTTTGTGTATACGTATTACAAACTCACCTAATAATAAAAGCGCCTCTGTCTTCCAGTAAATTGTCGTCAGCAGCGAGTAACCTCAATAGAGACTGTAGAAATTTGTAGTAGTATGGACTCGACTCCAAATCACCTAAACGAGTAACACATATTGAGTAAATTGGATAATATAACAGGCAAAATGGCATTTTTTTGAAAACGATCCTACGTTATTTGTTAGTCTTTATGGACCCCAAAAAAAGTGGTTATTTATCATCCAGATGTGTATTTCAGTAAAACAACGAATTAAAAAAAACAGTATTCTGATATTAATATTCGTGTAAGTGTATTGAAATAAACATTTTTCTTTATTAAACTCACACCAATTAATTTAGCCCCAAAGTAAGCACTGTAGGCTTGTGTTATGGGATGCCAGAGTAACGGATAGAATACATATACTGATACATATATAAGTATATTTTTATAGAAATACATATTTCACATTCATGGTTAGAGTAAAAATGCTCGTATTCATCCTACAAACATTTGTCCCCACTAGGATTCGAACCCTCTCGATAAATAACTATTTTCTTTTTCGTGGGTATTAAGTAAAATTACCACTAGCTGTTTTTTGTAAAAAAGGTAAAAATCGCTGCCAATATACATCTTAAATACAGTTGCCACTTTATTTAAATAGTCTAATTCCCTATTTCATTGAAATTTTCATCATAATTGCAATCTCATGACGCAAATAGAGCTACATGTCGGTACAGTCAGTCAAATATTAATCATAACTGACAATTTTTCTCCGCACGAGACACTCACCCTGGGCAGCCCCCGGGGCCGCGGGGTCTCCGCACGAGCAGATCTCCGCGAGGACGGTGAGGGGGCGGATATGTGGCGGGTGCAGTATGGACGGACACTCACCCTGGGCAGCCCCCGGGGCCGCGGGGTCTCCGCACGAGCAGATCTCCGCTCGGACGGTGAGGGGGCGGATATGTGGCGGGTGCAGTATGGACGGACACTCACCCTGGGCAGCCCCCGGGGCCGCGGGGTCTCCGCACGAGCAGATCTCCGCTCGGACGGTGAGGGGGCGGATATGTGGCGGGTGCAGTATGGACGGACACTCACCCTGGGCAGCCCCCGGGGCCGCGGGGTCTCCGCACGAGCAGATCTCCGCGAGGACGGTGAGGGGGCGGATATGTGGCGGGTGCAGTATGGACGGACACTCACCCTGGGCAGCCCCCGGGGCCGCGGGGTCTCCGCACGAGCAGATCTCCGCGAGGACGGTGAGGGGGCGGATATGTGGCGGGTGCAGTATGGACGGACACTCACCCTGGGCAGCCCCCGGGGCCGCGGGGTCTCCGCACGAGCAGATCTCCGCTCGGACGGTGAGGGGGCGGATATGTGGCGGGTGCAGTATGGACGGACACTCACCCTGGGCAGCCCCCGGGGCCGCGGGGTCTCCGCACGAGCAGATCTCCGCTCGGACGGTGAGGGGGCGGATATGTGGCGGGTGCAGTATGGACGGACACTCACCCTGGGCAGCCCCCGGGGCCGCGGGGTCTCCGCACGAGCAGATCTCCGCGAGGACGGTGAGGGGGCGGATATGTGGCGGGTGCAGTATGGACGGACACTCACCCTGGGCAGCCCCCGGGGCCGCGGGGTCTCCGCACGAGCAGATCTCCGCGAGGACGGTGAGGGGGCGGATATGTGGCGGGTGCAGTATGGACGGACACTCACCCTGGGCAGCCCCCGGGGCCGCGGGGTCTCCGCACGAGCAGATCTCCGCGAGGACTGCGAGGGAGCGCCGCACGACATCGTCGGAGGCATCCGTCAGACTGCCTACCACGCTGGGGAACACGCCGCCCGTCTCTTTCAACATCTACACCGGATACCATGGATAAGTTAGCCTATACGTTATATGTATTCCTTAAGTTAACACCTCGATCGATACCTGGCTATATAAAAAAAATAAAAATAAATATCCCAGTGGTATTTTTGGTATCGCAAGCGTCTATAGGCTATGGTGGCTGCTTACCATCAGGCGGGCCATATGCTTGCTTGCCACCCTTTTAACATGTAAAAAAAGTGTTATTGCCAAATTATTAAAATATGGCTAAGAATTAAAGTGACTTATCTATACTTATAATAAATCTGTAGAGATGTCAATTCTGTACATGAAATATATTTTTAAAATAACTATCAGGGGGTGATTAGTGATCGATACTGATGCCAAAAATGCAATCAGTAAAATTTTTGTCTGTCTGTCTGTCTGTGTGTATGTTCCTTATAGAAATAAAAACTACTCAACGGAATTTAACGAAACTTGGTACAATTATTCTTCATACTCCTGGGCAGGTTATATACTATAACTTTTCATCACGCTACAATCAATAGCAGCCGAGTAGTGAAGGGAAATGTTGGGAAAACGGGAGAAGTTACTCCATTTTTAAGCTTCCGTCGCGGGTGCAGCCTTAATGGTTAAAGTTACATAGAAATCATGTATGACGGAAATATTCTACATAAAATTGTCTAAAAAATATCCCGCAACAGCATATGTCTATCTTTTATAGTTGACTCACAATAACACGTGTAACTATATAAATAAAGTCATTCTTTATAGCACAAGCCTGAGAACAAAAACTATAGTTTACACTACAGCTCTACACCGAAGCGAAGCGAGGGCGGGCCACTAGTTTATAAAATAAAACACTAAATTTTCATGCAAACATCTAATAAGGTTTACCGACCTGCGCAGGCAGCTTGTTGTACAGATGCAGGATCCAGTCCAAAGCTGCCACTTTGGTATGAACCGACGAATGGTGCAGCATTTGAGTCAACACTCCCACCACTCCAGCCAGTTCTAGGCCTCCCTGGCTGCCTTCTTCTTGCCCCTGGCTACCTTCTTCTACCCCCTGGCTACCTTCTTCTACCCCCTCGCTGTCCTCTACTTTCTCTGTGTGTTTATGTTCCCCTTCGCCAGCTGTCACAACTAGATTGGTGAGCAGCAAGTTCACCGTCGCCGCAGTCTCGCGGATGTCTGATGTTACTTGTAGCATGGACATATTTATTTATTTATTATTCGATATGTGTTTCTTGTAATTTGTTATTTGATGGGTATTAGTATTTTTTATAACAGTAATATAGTACCTATCTGATGCAGCTTTCTATATACTAAATATAAAGTTCAACTATAAAATTTATTGGAACTATAAATCTCTATTCTAAATGATGTAATGGGAGGTGACTTCAGAATTATCTCTGAAGTCGTTTTTCAACTTGACGACTCGGTATATAATAATACAGGGAGAAGAAAACAGCCCTTGCTGAGTTTCTTGCCAGTTCTTCTCAGTACAAGGTCTCCGAAGATTTGCGAACTGATGGCGTAACTTTTTGGCCTTCACAAGTGCTTGTAACAGCCTAGACAAGGGTTACCAGATGATAAAATCAAAAATCCGGAGAAAAGGATTGATTTCCATTGAAAAATCCTGAGATTTTTTACAGTTTGAGAATTTTCTCGCAAACGTACATAACAATTTAAAAAAGTCGTAATATTATCGTTTATACTCGGCTTATTCTTTTAAATCAATATGATTTGAAGAGCTTAACATTTGGTGCATTATATGAATGTATAATTAAAGAAAAAACCTTACTTAAAAATGTATCATCACATATTTAGTATGATAAAACTGAAAAAGTACCTACTTGGATAATAAAGTACTGATTTTAATTGTGCAATTATTACCAATAGAAGATTATTTTTAGTTTTTTTAACTTTTTAATTAAAGAGATCTTTAAAATGTAAGCTGTATTTTATTGGGAATTCAAAAAATCCTGAGATTTCATGAGATTTGCAAAATCCAGCCGCAAGCCTGAGAAGAGTCCAAAAATCCTGAAATCTCAGGACAAATCCTGAGATATGGTAACCCTAGCCTAGACTGAATAAATGATCTTTGATTTTTTTTTAATCGAAAACTGAGCTGGCACGTTCTACAGCCGCACTTAGAGCCTCATTTTAATGATTGTCAAAATTTATGTATACAATAATAGAATTGGGGTGTTGTATTCTTGTAACAATATCTTAGTGAGTGTCAACTTTAATTTATTTTTAAGTTAAATCTAAGATCTCAGTTTAGTTTTCAGACGGAATGGACTTGGGCCGAGGGAATTATTTTCTAGTAAAATTTTCTTTTCATTTAAAGATCTATTAGCTAAAGGCTTAAAATAAAAAAATATCCATCAATAAATTTGATCGAAAAGAGGAATGATCGTTTTATACTATTTAAATAGATATATTATACAAAACTTTAAGATACGTAGTATTATTCGACAATAAGTAATTAGTGACGCATGTGTTTCTGACGCTCAGGGCCAGAGCAAATTTTGCCACGCCTCTGTTTGATACTGGCGAATTCTATTTTTATGTCCGAATGTACAATAAAATGTATATGCCAATGAAATTTTTAATTGCTGGCTCTTCACATGGCTGTAGTGTGTGTAGTATCTTATACATCAATATATACGTACTCTCATCTTCGCTCCATATATACAGGGTGTAAAAAAACCTATGACAAGGACTAAAACTACGCATTCTGTACACCCAAACAAGTAATATTACAAAATATTATACGTGGGAAACATTTGTATTTTTAAGTAAAAAAAATACATTTTTTTCCAGTACGCAATGTATAGCGCGGCAAAGAATGTGCCTGTGTGTATGTGCGTGTGTGTAAGTGCGTCGATAAAAAAGTTTTTGTAAAAATCTTGAAAAAAAAATGTGAATTTGACCTTCAATATCTCCATAACCATAAATTTCCCAGGTATGGTCCAGAAGAAAAAAATGATCGTCATGATGTGGATTATCCGTGGCCTTCGATTTCGTTAAAGGTTTTTTACACCCTGTATATATGATCATGTAGAGCAATAGTAAAGAGCGTTATAACTGCAGTCTATTATTCGTTGCGCACTCAATAACCAACATCGCATGGCTGTTCATGTTTGCTATTTGTAAAGACAACAGTTTCTTCTTTTCATTCACTATAGAGTGTGATAACATGTTGTAAAATGTTAAATAGCAAAATACTGTCGGTGACTTAGGTTATGCATTTCTCCCATTAATAAAGAAAATACGTTCCAGGACTCTACAGGGTAGGTAATTGGGACAGGGGGCCAATCGCCTAACGGAAATGCTTTGGAAAACGCTAACGCTTACGATTTTATTTTGTTATTTCTAGCCGCCTGAGGTATTCAAATGCCTCGCGCTCTTTCTTTTTCTTTTGCATTGGTAATAACAATTTAAAAAAAAATGAGCGTGAGGTATTCGAAAACCTCAGGCGGCTAGAAATAACAATATAAAATCGTAAGCGTTAGCGTTTCCCAAAGCATTTCCGTTAGGCGATTGGCCTCCAGGTCAGGCAGTGCCCCAACGATATTTTTTATATCGCAAGCGCCTATGGGCTACGGTGGCCGTGGTTACCAGCAGGCGGGGCATCTGCTTGTTTGTCACCCATTTAAGAAACAAATATACAAACAGCCATGTGTAATGCTAGCATAAGAGTTAAAATCAATGAAATAGGGTATTTAATAGTATTAAAAATAAAATGCCAATTGTTAGCATCTGTGTTTAGAATGAATATTGGCAGGGGTTTTTACTATTTTTACAAAAAAAATATTTATAATTATAATTTTTATTATTTTTAAAGCATGTAACTGCTTGATGTTTAAATCTAAAGAAAATATAACTAGAAAAAATTCCACGCGGACCAGGCAGCAGACGGGACTCGAACCCGCACCCTTCGCAATCCGGGCGAATGCACTGACCAATTATGCTACCGCGGCCCTCACGGACCGCGTCGAAATTCCCTCTAGCTATTCTTAAGCTGCAAGGCATCAAGCAGTTACATGCTTTAAAAATAATAAAAATTATAACTATAATTGCTATTTCTTCTTTCAAATGTTTAATACTTGTAAAAGTATTCATTTGACATTGTGGGTTTACCTATAATGCGAAGAGATGGCGCTGCCTTGCAGCTTAAGAATAGCTAGAGGGAATTTCGACGCGGTCCGTGAGGGCCGCGGTAGCATAATTGGTCAGTGCATTCGCCCGGATTGCGAAGGGTGCGGGTTCGAGTCCCGTCTGCTGCCTGGTCCGCGTGGAATTTTTTCTAGTTATATTTTCTTTAAATATTTATAATTTTACTAAAAACCCACGAAAAAGATAATAGTTTTCTTATCTATTGTCACGTGACCCAAAACGCTTGGCATTGGCGGAGCCTAAAATGACGTCACACGCAAGTAAACTTCCTGTTAAAGTGACATTACATTGTATCGTTTGACGTTTTAATGACAATCGTGTGACATCACACACTAGTAAGACGCCATATTGTTCAGAAAAACGTTTTCGCGGCAACTTGAAAATGGAGTTTTTGATCTGGTTATTTTTACTGAAATACACAACAGAATGATGGATATAATTTTTTTACGGACTCCATAAACATTAGTGAATTACGTGAGATCGTTTTCTAAAACTTGTCTAATACCCTGTTAGGAAAGTGTTCCATGTGTAATGCTAGCATAAGGGTTAAAATCAATGAAATTAGGAAAGTGTTCCGCGGGTGAATGAGTATTAGAGAAATAACAATAGGGGTGTAAACGGGGTAAAGTAAACGAAATTCTATTTAGTCCGTCAGTTAGATGATCAAAAAATAATGGACACGTATTTTTTCTTTGGGCAATCAACCAAAAAATGACAAAGTTATAGCGCGTCAAAGTTTGGGAGTAGGGGCTCGTGACGTCACTTTTCAGTGAATTTTCACTTATAAGTGTACTCAAACGTGACGTCATGCGACTTTTTAAATCAATATATCTCTTCAATGTTTATATTTTGTGAAAAAAGAAAAAATACGCGTCAAATACTTTTTGATAATCTACCTGATAAACGAAGAAAAAAAAGTTAGTCATCATCCCTATCGGGTATGGGTTATAGTAAAGGATACTGCGCCTCGCGTTGTCCGCATTGTCGGGGTAGGCGAGGCAGGGCAGCACGGCGGCCAGCACGCCCGACGCGTGCGGCAGCAGGCGTGCGCCTGCCAGCTGGACGAACTGCTGGAGCCACTGCACCGCCGTGTGCTGGTCGGTACCAGGGCATCGAGTCACAAATCAGAAATCAATATATCTTTATTCAAATTGGATGTATAGTACGACTCTTTTGAATCGTCCAAAAATATTTTTTTTCCCTACCACTAGTTATGGACAAATTTTTTAGCTGCGGAGAAAAACGAGCAAAAAAAAACTCCACATTAAAAGTCTAATGTAACAACGTTTACAAATCATTATGTTGTTACAACGTCAATACAATTATGATTTGTTTAATATAGAAAACCTGTTGGAATGATTGGAACAGTTCAAACCCAAGCATTTTTGTCTGTAATATAATCAGACACTTTGTAATAAGCTTTTTTAATAAGTGTTTTTTTTTATAATATCTTTAAATTTATTTATGGCTAACTCTTGGATATTGCTTGGGACTTTATTGTATAAGCGAACACAAAGACCTTTAAATGAATTATTAATTTTGTGAAGCCTAGTAGCAGGTAAAGTTAGTTTATTTTTGTTTCTTGTATTAATTGTGTGAACATCACTGTTTTTAAGAAACAAATTAATAGTCAAATCGATATCGCAACTATACGTACGTAAGAACCAACCGCGGAACACAGAAAGTGGTCACAAGTGCCTTGAGGGCGGGGCAGGCGCGCCACATTCATTGCGTCGTTGCTCTCGGGTGTGAGCGGTGGTTAATAATTATTTATTTTTGGAGTTTATTGGAGTTTACTCCTTAAGAATCGATTTGCATATATAAGGGGCCCGGTATGAGAAAAATGTGAGGAGTGAAATCTATCGATGAATGACCTCGTTACGTTTTTACTGTCTACGCTGTAGCAGCCGTAGTGCTATACCGTAGCACAGTATCGTAGCGTACCTTTATCGCCTACGACGACAAAGAAACCGCGTCGGTGTACCACCGCGCCATTCGTTGAACACGAAACCATTGAGCTTTAGAAGTAAACGTGGATATGGCATTTACAGTATCAATCTTTTTTAAGTTAAATAAACTCTTTTTACGTCTGGTTAGACTATCGAATTTAAGGAGTAAACTCCAGTCGTGCGTCGAAGCTGACACACATTTTTTTTATTTTATTTGGGAAATATACAGTTTTACGCAATTCAATTAAGTAACGCTTATAACTTTTCCATAAACCAGTCAAGTTTCCGCAGACTGAAACATTAATACTCTTACATTAATTTACTTAAAGTTACGTACAACATTTAGAGTTATCTGAATAGAATAAACATGATAATCAAAATTTATGGTAAGAAAATAATTACTGAGTGTTAGGGTAAAACGACCGACCGATGAATAATAATAAATTTATTTATTTTTCTTACAACAATTAAGGCACATGCAATACAGGTTAAGCAAGACTTAAATAATATTATTAAATAATGTTATTAGGCGTTGTAAAAAGCTGGTGTCCGAAATAGGAGTTAACGTAGGACCTTCTAATACAAGGAAAATTTATGCCAATATGGATCGAAAACATTTGAAATTTGAACTTTATTCTCAATACAATAGATCATGTTATACATACAATTGGAAGAGCAGTTTGAATTTCAAAATCAGTTTTGAAATCGTAAATTTAATAGAAACTCTTTTAATTTCTTGACATTATAAAAAACGTTGGTAAACTTATAATAAAATCCTTAGTATATAGGCAAAACTCCTAATGATTTAATGTAAAAGTTATGTTACAACAAAGCGGCAAAAGCTGTCGCTTCAAATATGATTGTAAAAAATACCAAATTTGTTTTCAGTATTATGTACACTCAAGCAAAAATCTACCTTATTGTCTTGAAATAGTTGTAACAAAATGAGCTTTTATGGTGGATCAGGAATCAAATTGACTAAGCGTACTTTGCGTGTATAAAAATTTTCTTGACATGCGTATTGAAATCAAATTCAATTATAGTTATAATTTTTACTTTAAAAAATAAAAATTATAACTGCTATGCTATTCCTTCTTTCAAATGTTTAATAAAAATGTAAAAGTAATCATTTGACATTGTGGGTTACCTATAATGCGAAGAGATGGTGCTGCCTCGTAGCTTAAGAATGGCTAGAGGAATTTCGACGCGGTCTGTAAGAGCCGCGGTAGCATAATTGGTCAGTGCATTCGCCCGGATTGCGAAGGGTGCGGGTTCGAGTCCCGTCTGCTGCCTGGCCCGCGTGGATTTTTTTCTAGTTATATTTTCTTCAAATTCAATTATTCAAATTCTATATTGTTTCGTACTAAGGGTTACTGTGGTTTAGACTCAATGTCAATTAGAGTGCGATTCAAACTTAATGACAATTATGGGCTATATAAGTAAACGCATATCACGCTTACTGTGCTATTTATGTGTTCAACAAAATTTAGTTTGCTCTCAATTGTAATGCCCTAATATTTTAACAGTGTCTGCGTATATGATTGTATGACACTTCACAGTTTGAAGAAAAGTACGTATGCGCTTTGATGGTTTGTATTAAATTCTGACTTAAAGGAGACAACGTGAATAGATAAAGGTAGAAGTTTGATTTTGGAGGCGTTAAAGGTCAGAGAATGAGATGCTAACCAATGACAAACACTATTAAAACCTTTCTGCGCCAGGCTAAAAACCTCATCCCAGCTGTCGCCACAAATGCTAAAAGTATTGTCATCTGCGTATGACAAGCTTTTACAATTTACAAGATTTAAGTTACATAGGTCATTATTGTAGCACAGAAACAGCGAAGGGCCAAGGACACTTCCCTGTGGGACGCCATAGAAAATTGAATATTCATCACTTACGACATTGTTAATTCTGACCCTTTGTGTACAATTTTTCATTTTATCTTTGAACAACTGTAATTAACATTAGCAAAAAAGCTATTAACTGCATTTATAGATGCCTCACTCGAATAGCCAATATCAAGTAACTCTAGTGGTGGATTATTGTTATATTTTAAGTTAGCTGTAGTTATCTATTTTTTGATTTTCGTATATTAATTTAGTTTTTTTAATAATATTTTTGAGCAATAACGGTGCCTTATATATAAATGTAGTTTGTAATATGTCATTATTAGGATCTTTTTTCAGATTACAGTGTGTTCGCGCCCCTATAAACCCCACATATACATACATATAAAAGAAAAGGAATATTACAAATCATAGCGAAAACTTGCATTTGTATAACGGATGGCGCCATCTATTGAATGGGACACCGGAGCGCTCTTAGCCCAAGCGTCATTGGTTGTCGCCGGCAGATAGCAGATGTCGCCCGCGTTCGTGTGTTCGGCTGGTTTTACCGACCATAATGTCATGACTTGTTAAAATTGTTAAATTCATTCTGTCAACAAAACTGTTACTGCTAAATTGATTTTATTATAACATAAAGAGAAATTACTAAAAACACCGAGTTTTTATTGAAGAAGACTCCACTTCTATGCCCAAACATAAAAAATTTTTGGCGACCGTGACAGGACTCGAATTATAATCTTCAAATAAGAAAATATTTTTTCCGTTGCCCGTGACCGGCGTCCATGAAGAAGGAAACCTAAAACCTTAAGGATTACACTACGAAAAAGGACAAAGGAAGCAAAGCAAAACAGGAAACTTAATAAGTCGTGTGTGGCTTGCGAGGTCCAACGAATCATCGAAAGAATCGTGCTGAGCAAACTACAAATACTTCGAGTTCAAAGTTAAGTGCCATCCTTTGTTCCTAAAATCCGCAAAATCCATTCCTATCAATTCATTACCATAAATATTAATAAATTTATAAATTGTTTCTACTGATATTACATAATTTTAGTGCATTTTTCGGCAAATAATCAACTGCAAAACCGTAAGTACCTACCTACCTACATAATTTTTATAAAAAAATCTGCTTAAATCAAGGTTAATTGTATAATTCATTGTATTTCCCTCTACTCAATAATAATAACTTTCCTAAATTCAATTAATTTCATACTAATAACTTCCAAATTGATTTGAAAAGGATTTTTTTTTGTGACACTATTTATTACCCACAATTAGCTCAATCCATTTTCACCAAAGAGAGGTAGGGCATAGCGGATTCGCCGCTCGAATTGGAGCGCCCGTCTGGGGAAGTAACCTCCACCTTACAGAATACCGCAGTGAAATAACATTACCTTTTGGTGGTGTTGTGTTTCTGTCGGTGAGTAAGGTTCCAGGGCTCCACGGGGTAGGATTTCTAGGGGTGTAATTTTATGTGTGTTGGGATTTAATATAAAATAAAAGAATTCTTCAAAACAGTGTAGGTTTATTAATTGGTTTTATTATATAACAAAAAAGGAAAAAGTTTAAATTATTTAAAATCAATATCAGTTGTTAGTTAACAAATAGAGCATTTTAGTGTCACAAAAGTGTTATTTGGCTGTTTTCTCATCCGATTTAACGGGCATTTTCCAGGCAAATCATTTGTGGTGCGGAAAGGTGACAGAGCGTTTGGAGTTCGATCGCTTGCGTTACCGGAGGACACCCACCGAGACATTCCGGCAAATTGGGAGCGTCAGATAAGCCTGTTCAATTATTCCTATTTTTTTTTTGCAAACAAGTTCAATATTTCCTCTTTTGCCGTCGAATTTTGTTGATTGAATAAGCATTTTCGTAATTTTCCAATTAATTTGGTGTCAAAATGGCTACTGCATTATCACCTAATCCAGCTGTTTCTAATTTAATTGCTACAACAACAAATTTAAAATCTCTTTATACAAAACGCAGTTCTATAAAGGGACAAATAACTAAGTTTAAAAATTATATAGAAAAGATAAGTGAGAACATAGAGGAAAAAACTGATTTAGAAATTGCAGAATTAAATTTAAAATTAAATAAATTTGAAAGCTTGTCAGCCAGATTCGACGATTTGCAGACTGAGATAGAAGATATAAATTCAGATAATTTATCATGTGAGGTTGATGAAAGGGAGCTCATTGAGGATTTGTTTATTCAATGCATTGCAAAGGCTAAAGCTATAATAAAACAAAATGATGGCTCGATAAACAAGTCTATCCATGAGTGCCCTGACATAGAATT